CACCAGTATCAACAACTATAGCTCCAGTATCTAACGTTATTGCACCAGTATCATCAGCTTTGGTGCCAGTATCAACAACTATAGCACCAGTAGCCACAGCTATAGCACCTTAGCACCAGTATCAACAACTATAGCTCCAGTATCTAACGTTATTGCACCAGTATCATCAGCTTTGGTGCCAGTATCAACAACTATAGCACCAGTAGCCACAGCTATAGCACCTTAGCACCAGTATCAACAACTATAGCTCCAGTATCTAACGTTATTGCACCAGTATCATCAGCTTTGGTGCCAGTATCAACAACTATAGAATCAGTAGCCACAGCTACAGCACCTTAGCACCAGTATCAACAACTATAGCTCCAGTATCTAACGTTATAGCACCAGTATCAGCAGCTTTGGTGCCAGTATCAACAACTATAGAATCAGTAGCCACAGCTACAGCACCTTAGCACCAGTATCAACAACTATAGCTCCAGTATCTAACGTTATAGCACCAGTATCAGCAGCTTTGGTGCCAGTATCAACAACTATAGCACCAGTAGCCACAGCTATAGCACCTTAGCACCAGTATCAACAACTATAGCTCCAGTATCTAGCGTTATAGCATCAGTATCAACATTTTTGGTGCCAGTATCAACAACTAAAGTATCCGTGTCAATCGCTGTCAGTATCAAAGGCTTTTTTTGAAATTTTTTAAGGAAGGCTGAAGAATACATATATAAGCTTTTTCAACCCAGTAAGGCACTGAATCTTATAACTGAATTGATCTTGTCATTGCTATCGAAAAAGCAAGCCAAGTTTTATCAGAATAAGAAAAGGTAAGAATATGCGAAAGAGCCTCATTGATTCAGTTCTTAATATGAAAATTAAAAACATGCAGGATAGGCTCTTTTGCGTAGACCTGTGGTTTGAAATAACAAGAAAAACAAATATCTCCTTCGCCATATATTGGGAAGTGTTTTGAGAAGCTCCTTCATTGTTTTACCTGGCGATTTATCCCATTTCTTGGAATTTCGATTCCTTCTTTTTGGGGTTGTCTGACAAACACTGCAGAGTGTGAACAGATCGTTGAAGATCTGCAAAACTCCCATATCAAAATTTCCGTCTTCTGAAACTGGACTCGTGTTCGGGTCATTCTCGTTTCCAAACAGACTTACGTTTGAATACAGGCGAGGTGGCAGAGGGGGTGCATCGTCGGAATGGCTATCAATAGACAAGGAATCGATTGGAGGGAACATTCCTGAATCTCGTGACTGTCCTGAAATAGAATAATAAATATTTGTTACTGGCATTTGCACGAGCGTCCAGGGAGCGCCAAACGCATAGTGACGATAATTTTAAAACCATTGGGAAAGAAGATCGTCCCTTCAACTTAGGAACCTGTCTACCTTAGATTACAAATTGCTAAGAGGGATTTATAATTAAATAATGAGTTAACAAAGAGCACACCCAAATAATGTAAATAATAACCATAAAATCGGGGTAATAAAATCAAAGCATTTGCTTTTAAGTGAAGCATTTTCATTTTCAATGAAATCATCCGCTCTTGGGTTGGCTGTTGATGGCTTTAAAGAATAAAAGAACTTCAAAAGAACGCAAAGAACTTGTGACTTCGTATCTCCTAAACGTCTTTTCTCTAATTAAACTTGATGACTTAAGTGAAATATTCCATTAATTAATCATAGACTATTGGCGATTTAATTGTTACATACCCTTATTGCCGTATAGAATAAATCTTGTAAGCTAAGTAAAAGCTAAGTACTTTTTAAAGAGTCAGTCCTTGACTTCAAAGACCCTATTCTCATCACTGGCTTTTCTGTGGCATTTTGAGTAATCGCATCATCATTCTCGAGAATACTAAAAGTAAAGCATGTAATTGTCAGGTATTTATATTGATACTGGTGATATATTAAAGTAATAGACGATATTTCATAAATAAAAAAATGTGAAGAAATAACTCTCTAGCAAAATACCGATTAAAAGACAGCTTTTGTACATGGAAGCTGGATATTTTTGTGACGTTTCGAGCGTCACGCCTCATCAGCTGGTAAAGTGACTACTTTCAAAACAACGCAACAATTTTCAACTTTCAAGTAAAAAGTCGTATTTTGATTATATTATTTTGTACTTATCACTAATTCAACAAACAACACGCTGAGCTACATTGATTAATAACTCTCTTACATGGTATCTTTCAAAGTAATACTGTAGAGTAGCAACTCTCTTACATATCAATGTAAAGTAATAGCATTCTTACATGCTATTATTTAAAGTTCTACTATAAAGTAATAACCTTCCAACACGGTATCATTCAAAGTAATACTGTGAAGTAGCAACTCTCTTACATATCAATGTAAAGTAATAGCATTCTTACATGCTATTATTTAAAGTTCTACTATAAAGTAATAACCTTCTCATCCTGGTATTCATGCAAGTAATACTGCAAAGTAGCAACTCTCTTACATATCAATGTAAAGTAATAGCATTCTTACATGCTATTATTAAAGTTCTACTATAAAGTAATAACACTTCCAACACGGTATCATTCAAAGTAATACTGTAAAGTAGCACTCTCTTACATATCAATGTAAAGTAATAGCATTCTTACATGCTTATTTAAAGTTCTACTATAAAGTAATACCTTCCAACACAGTATGTATCATTCAAAGTAATACTGTAAAGTAGCAACTCTCTTACATATCAATGTAAAGTAATAGCATTCTTACATGCTTTTATTTAAAGTTCTACTATAAAGTAATAACCTTCCAACACGGTATCATTCAAAGTAATACTGCAAAGTAGCAACTCTCTTACATATCAATGTAAAGTAATAGCATTCTTACATGCTATTATTCAAAGTTCTACTATAAAGTAATAACCTTCCATCACGGTATCATTCAAAGTAATACTGTAGAGTAGCAACTCTCTTACATATCAATGTAAAGTAATAGCATTCTTACATGGTATTATTTAAAGTTCTACTATAAAGTAATAACCTTCCAACACAGTATCGTTCAAAGTAATACTGTAAAGTAGCAACTCTCTTACATATCAATGTAAAGTAATAGCATTCTTACATGCTATTATTTAAAGTTCTACTATAAAGAAATAACCTTCTAACACGGTATCGTTCAAAGTAATACTGCAAAGTAGCAACTCTCTTACATATCAATGTAAAGTAATAGCATTCTTACATGCTATTATTTAAAGTTCTACTATAAAGTAATAACCTTCCATCACGGTATCATTCAAGTAATACTGTAAAGTAGCAACTCTCTTACATATCAATGTAAAGTAATAGCATTCTTACATGCTATTATTTAAAGTTCTACTATAAAGTAATAACCTTCCAACACGGTATCATTCAAGGTGATACTGTAAAGTAGCAACTCTCTTACATATCAATGTAAAGTAATAGCATTCTTACATGCTATTATTTAAAGTTCTACTATAAAGTAATAACCTTCCAACACGGTATCATTCAAGGTGATACTGTAAAGTAGCAACTCTCTTACATATCAATGTAAAGTAATAGCATTCTTACATGCCATTATTTGAAGTGCTACGATAAGGTAATAACCTTCCTACACGGTATCATTCAAGGTGATACTGTAAAGTAACAACCCTCTAATATGGTATCATTAAAGAAATAGCATGAATTATATTATCTAAAGTAATCATGTAAAATATTTATCGCATGAAATTTTTTAAATTTAATACATTTGTCGGTGACTCTTTTACATGAAATTGTTAAAAAGAAATACCGTGAAGTAATAACTCTCTGACATGATATCATTCAGAATAATACCAATTTATATATTATATTATATTAATTATATTAATTATTAATTATAAATATTTGCGAATTGACGATTGAACAGAGCATATAGTCTGAGCCTAGGAACTTTGTGATTCGTTGGCGGCGCATATATTCGGTAATTTACCGCTGACACGTGGATCAGAAATGCGAGATAAGATATTCTCAGTTTACGCAAAAAAACAAATATATAGTTTTTACTTGCATTTGATTTAAGGTTACTATTTTGATATCGTGAATCTTGAAACTGTATGCAGTGATACATAGTTTCAAAACGGAAAATCTGAGTGAGACACTGTCTTACAAGAAACAACAGATCTGATATCAGCTTTGTCAAATGTCTAAGCTAACACAAACATGGTTAAAAAGGATCTATCACAGGATTAAGAAATATTCACCTTTGTCCATTAAGCCGACAAATTTTCGAAAGAGGGAATATTCACTGCCAGTTTTGCAAGCATGAGAAATGAAATAAATCTATTTGGTTTCTTTAGAAAGGAGACACTCATTGCAGACTTGCAGCGTTTATATCTATTCACTACGAAGCAAATGAAAAATAAAATTCTTTCATGCTGGATCAGGCAGGTTTTTCAATGTTCAAAAAGCCATTTAAGCATATTTACCCTTTCTGTGAATTTGATCTATGCAAAAATCCTGGTATTCCAAACTTCTTGACCAAACTCTATAAAAAGACACCATTTGCGAAAATTAATGATAAAGGTATTTCGATTAATGGAAGGTTAACTTTTGATAAGAAGGTAAAATTTATCACAAATCTTGGAAATGATGCTAGCGATATCCAATGGGGCTAGATACATGAAAGGGGGGTTCGAAATAATTAGGGGGTACGTTTTACATTATAAAGAACTGTAAAAATGTATTATATATATAGCAAAGGCCCTGGTTAAATTCAAAGGGCACAAAAACATTTTTAAATTCGTGTATGTCAATGGGGTGGTATTTGAGAAACATATCTTATAATATTTGTAGCATGGAAGTTTTAATGGGAGTTTAAATTCTTTGGCATAGTTTGAGCACGATAAACATGGGTAAATGAAGATCCTTAGTACTAGATATTCGAAATTGTTAATTTCTGCAAAATCTGATATTTACAAAACTTGATGTCATAGCCAACAGCCTTTCCCAGTCTTCTTTGGAACAAAATTCTGATAACTTATACATTTTGATAAGCAAGTTTTCATGGAGGATTCAATCAAGTAGACAAGTATCAAGGTTGCAATAGTTGATTTTCTACCTTAACCTCTTTGCAGATGACAAACATATTAAATGCACTCTAAACTAGGGATTCGGGGGATACTTCCACATAACAACAAACGAAGGCCGTTGATTGGTTTGAGATCTTGATAATGTAACAGTATATAAGTTACCATAAGGCAGACACATTGAGATAAACACATTTCAGATCGAACTTTCTAGGGACGCCAGAGAAGGGGGCAGCCACTCCTGTTGCCCTTTGAAATGAGGGGACAAGGGGGCAAAGTGTCCTTTTTCAAAAAGTGCCCTTGACATCGGCCTTTTGAAATTATTAAAGAATCGTATGATATTCTGACTGTCCAACCTTTTTCCGACAAAATTTTTCAAAGCATTTAAAAAAATTCTTGTGACAGCAGTTAACCCATTAACAAGTTGCCTACAGAAACAGAACATCGAAATAAATTGGCAGTTATCAAAAGATTAGTAGATATTGGGTTTTTTGTTTGCAAATAAACTTTTGCTGAAGCCTGTCCCCCTATGCCCTTTTGGTCTTTCTTTTTGATATCAATCAAAAGAACAAACAAACTCAACGAAATACAGCTATGGTGTCGCTCATTGCAGGAAATGGAATGTACTATTCGACACGTGTACACCTTCTATATTTCGACTGTTTGATCACTGGCATAAAGACTTTGGACCCCTGATTCGATACAAAATGACAGTAAATTAGCTTATTCATCCCTCCTCCTATTTCGTTTTATGCAGGTTAAACTCTAGTGATACTTATTGTATTCTTCCTCCTAAAATTCCCTGAAAGTAGAAGTATGAAAATATCTTCCTTCAAAAAACACTTTTGTCAGCATAGCTTAGCTGGCAAGATGTAGTTACCCCCGTCTATAATCCTATCCTCCATAACTCTATACCCCCTTTATTTTGTTGGTTTAGTAGGCCATTCGTTTGTAGAGTTCTAATATAAAAGTTGCGATTTAAGAAGTTTCTTCTCTTTCGATTATTTTACGACAAAAAGCTACGATCCCGGACAAAAATGTTGAGAGAAAATGCAATTTTTGTAATTTTCTACATTACCTTGCCCTTGTAAATTCGAATCCCCCTCCTCCCCCTCCCTCCCCCTCCCGTTGGATTTGCAGTTCTATAACTTTTGCTTCAAAATCATGCATTCAACATTGAATTGGGGGAGGGGGGAAAGCTATATTTCTTGAAAAGTCTCAACTAATTTTGTCCGGGATTGTAGCCTATAAATGAGATGTTGTTCTGGACATACCTCTATGTTTGGGTTGAAACGGTATTTGTAGAGCAAGAGGATCCACCTGAACTTCTGCTCGCAAGTCGGTGCAGAGAACCACACTTGTTTTCCATCGTCAAACTCAAGTGTAAAGGTGTGGTCAAATCCGGCGTGAGGGTTGAAGCAACTCTTAATGCTTTTGCACTGAGAGATGTTCAGTTGGCCTGAATATAAAAAATGTGATTGTTACAAATAGTAACAACTAGTAACACATGTAACACGAAGTTAGGCGATTGGTAACAGCTTGTAAGGGCTTTAATGACAGGCAACGGGTGATAAAAATAAAAAAAGGGGAAATGCCCTATGTTTTCTGGGATATGCAGACGCATACAGATGGGATATGGGAGTGCTATTTAGGGTTACGAGTAATCTCCAACCAGAGCTCAATCTGCTAAAATGCTAGTTCAAGTATAAATTTTGATTTATTCCTTGGCTTCCAAAAGCAAATTCGTCAGTTCATATTCCACTTAAAAGTTGAAAAGAATTATGGTCTGGTAACAAATTGCGACAAGTGGAAAACACCGGTGAGACAAGTGGAAAACACCGGCGAGACAAGTGGAAAACACCGGTGAGACAAGTGGAAAACACCGATGAGACAAGTGGAAAACACCGGTGAGACAAGTGGAAAACACCGGTGAGACAAGTAGAAAACACCGGTGAGACAAGTGGATAACACCGGTGAGACAAGTAGAAAACACCGGTGAGACAAATCGAAAACACCGGGGAGACAAGTGGAAAACACCGGCGAGACAAGTGGAAAACACCGGTGAGACAAGTGGAAAACACCGGTGAGACAAGTAGAAAACACCGGTGAGACAAGTGGAAAACACCCGTGAGACAAGTAGAAAACACCGGTGAGACAAGTGGATAACACCGGTGAGACAAGTAGAAAACACCGGCGAGACAAGTAGAAAACACCGGCGAGACAAGTGGAAAACACCGGTGAGACAAATAGAAAACACCGGTGAGACAAATCGAAAACACCGGTGAGACAAATCGAAAACACCGGTGAGACAAGTGGAAAACACCGGTGAGACAAGTGGAAAACATCGGTGAGACAAGTGGATAACACCGGTGAGACAAGTGGATAACACCGGCGAGACAAGTGGAAAACACCGATGAGACAAGTGGAAGACACCGGTGCGACAAGTGGATAACACTGGTGCGACAAGTGGAAAACACCGATGAGACAAGTGGAAAACACCGATGAGACAAGTGGAAGACACCGGTGCGACAAGTGGAAAACACCGGTGGGACAAGTGGAAAACCGCGATGTAACAATTTGCCAACATTCAGGTGAGCGGTATCTGTTCACTAGGGTCCTAACGAAGAGGGGGGCTTAATTGTAGCTCCCCATCATTCTTTATTTAAAACCCCAATTTAAAAAGCGCAAAACCCCAATGCATAGATCATCACAGTTTCAGAATGATTTTCCAAATGCTAGTCTTATTAACCCCAATCCCAGAAGGCGTTCTTTAGACCTCCTTGGAACTGAAACTTCTCCATGACTCAAATCAATGGTCATCCCAGTCCGGATCGTAGTCCCAAATTGATCTTCTCGGTCCCAGTTGGCTTAACTTTAATTCCCAGTACCGATATAAGTAAATCCGGTCCCAAAAGCCTGTCCATTGTAATTGAACAAGTTCGTTTTTACATCAATCGATGTTGCAATTCCTTCTAAGGAAGTTAAAGAGAAAATTTCTAAATTTTTGAAGCTCCTTTTCATGTAGCCTTAGCATTCTTGTACGCCAAAGAAGCTTTTTGACAATAAAGCGAGATTCAAATATTGGTTTTTGCGAGCAGGTGAACAAAAATTAATTTCCTCTTTTGTCATTTTACGGTTACTGGTAGTGTTTCCGAGATAAATCATGGCATTCGGACTTTGATTCCAAAAGGATTAAATTTCAATAAGAAAAAATATTCAGAAGAAGAGACGTGGCTACTAGGGAGTCAGGCAGCCTTTCCACTAGACCGGGTTAAAACAAAAACGGATTAAAAGTTATACGTTTCTGCGTCGCGTTCCCACTCACCCACTTGAAAAACGGATAATCTTGAAAACGGTTCTCAGAGAGACTCAGTTTTAACCCGGGTAACTTAGTTTTAACCCGGGTAACTCAGTTTTAACCCAGGTAACTCAGTTTCAACCCGGGTAACTCAGTTTTAACCCGGGTAACTTATAGTTTTAACCCGGGTACCAAAGCAGTAAACAGGTCTTCAAATTAATTTTATGGTGCCTTGTTTTCAGGCCAACGTATCCAGCCACAAAGTTTTGGAAATTTGCCGGCTTAGGCCCTTGGCCACTGCGAGCTGCCAATTTCTACTACCGTTTTTTAAGCGAATATTTGGTAGTTGGTCAAATACATGTTATCGTTGGACTCATTTCTTCCCTTGCTCAAAAGCAAAGCTCCTATCCCCATCCCTGGAAAAATTAAAATGCAGTCTAAGTGAAGGATCAGATCAGAATCAGGAAAACATTATGGCCCCATGGCCACTGGCCGGAGGGAGGTTGTAGAAACAAAAGCAAATTGAGGAAGGTGACGAAAAAATCGAATGATATTTATAAAATTCCTGTTTTTCAATATAAAATTTGTTGAAGAACTGCTTTGCACTGTAAAAATTAGGTGCAAACTTTTTATAAATTATATGTAAATTATGACATGCATTTGTTATTAATTGACATAGGGATGTTACTTTTTATCTGTCCCAAAAATATCTTTAACTGAAAACGAACTACAATTTTTTAAAAATGTTTTGGAGAACAGAGTTGGAAGAAAAGAGATCAAAAGTAGTTGGGTAACCCCAAATTACAGGCCACGCCCATTTAAAACACATTAAAAATGAGGAAGGTTTTGTAGTGAGATATGCTTGGCCAGAGGAACATTTACAACTATTCTGGAATCTGGATCAGGTAGGCCATATTTGGCAAAGAAAGATAAATATCAACTTAGATATTATCGAGTAGTATTCTCTTTGAAACTAAGTGTTTATCAAAGACAAAAAGTCACAAAAGCAATGTAAAAATTTCGAAGCCCTGAGAAATTATGCGATTTCTCAGAAAACATTTAGTAAAAATCACCCACGCCTCAGTGATGGGAGTTTACACGGTAGTTTACAACACATGCCTCTTCTTGCCTTGTCCTAAAACAATAGTGGTAAAAGAATCCGAGACGAGCAATTACTGATGGGCCTGGGGCAGAGGCTGGCTACCATTTAGGAGGGGGCTCACCTCAACGATTTTCCAACAAGAAAACAGACAAAAATGGATTTCATTGGTATGAAAACCTGAATTTCCTGACATAGAATGCAAATGGGGGGGGGGGGGGGGGTACGAGCCCGTTACCCTGGGTACCAGACTCACTTTATATAAAATAAGAGTGTAGATATGTTGTCGAGCTGAGGGCTTTGGGAAGCCGAGCCTCCTTTCTAAATCCAAAAATAGCCCTTTTTTACTTTTTGCTATTGTTTTTTCGAGATATTTTTTCGAGGGCCCCCTTTGTACTTTTCATAGCAACACTCCCCTGGTTTAGAGGGAGAAATATTGTGAGACCTAAAAAGTCCATTTCTACAGTAAGTGTACGAGAATGAATCTGTGTACGCTTTTAGTCGACAATACTCGCTCAAACTATTGCACTGACGATACATATTTGATAAATTGTTCCAGCCTTTGCATGAAGTTGACTTTTTACAAATGTTTATATTTTAGCTTAATTAAAGTTTGTTGAACAGCTATAGCTTGTGTCAATTTAAAATATTTTGCTTTCAGTTCGAAGAGCAACGCTGGATCAGTGTCCGTGTCAGTTAACAGATTAAATGTCGATAGAGGGTCAAATAACAAAATTCTTTTTCCACCATCAGCTTCTATCAGATGGTTTCAGATGTTGAGACCTCGGGTGAGACAGCGGACACAAATGAAATGAAAAATACAACTCTGAAATTAATTCATGGCATATTGACCAATGTGATTGCAGGAAGTGATCTCGGGACTGTTTGGCGAGGGGGCGGCAAGGAGCTTTGCTGTTTGCTCCATAAAATATCTCGATTTATCTGAGATGGGGTACCGGTCACTCCACTCTCCGTCGGAGCCCCCCAGATCCAATGACCCTATCATTTGCAATTTCTATTATTGGACACGTGATTTAGGCTAAATTCTACACTAGAGTAGTGCATAGGCTCCGACGCAAGTTGGAATGTGGGGAGGGGGGAGCAAGGGTAAATTAAAGACTCTAGGCTTATAATTAGAGAAGAGATTTTGCAAAAATTTCTATTGTTTCGCTAAAAAAAGAGGGCAAGATCTCTCTAGCTCAATCTTAACTCGACAGAAAGGACTAATGCAACGAAGAATTACAAAAGACATAGGGTAAAACAATTCCTAGTTCGACCCTACTCCGGTAGGTATCTATGGAAAAGGGAAATTTTGCCCCCTCCCTAAAATACGCTGAAAAGAAAAACGGTGTTATAACCTTGTCTGGTATTGGAAATTGGTGAAGCATTGATACTGACATCATATTGAGGTAAAGCTATATATTCAACCCAAAACAAATTTAACTTGATCACTAAGCGCCATTTTCTTTTCTCTTCAGTTAAAAATCCCTTTTACAGGGCTTTTTATGATCGTTAAAATCCCCCTTGCCCCTCCCCCACTTTCCAACCTGCGGCTGAGCCCATGTTTTAGCGTTTAACATATAATTTGAATTAAAAGGTATAATTTCTATGATTTAAGAAAATGATATCATTTCCAAGCAGGGTGTGCAAAATCAGAAAGAAATATGATTTTAAAAAAATCAAGTCGGGCTAACAATGGCATCACAGGTTCGTGCTACATAGGGAAGGGGACAACATAGGAAGGGCAGTTTGCCCCGTATCAAGATTTGCGGATTTTATCTTTACCGGTGTTCGTTGTCACCTTTACCATTGTTATAAATTCTCTCATTTTCTGAGGATTTCCTCAAACAGAAGAGCTCAAAAAACCAAATACAATGTGACAGTGCTATTAGCCAACAAGCATGTCGCACGATCAAGCAAAGGACAATGCAAGAGTATGCTTTCTAACCAAGGCCTTTACTCTGGCAATATTTTTAGTTTTAGCTAAAAACGCTAATTAAAACCTTACCTTTGAAATGGTCGTCTTTCTTGTAGCTTTCTTCGTCTTTGTAATAATTCACTACAAGTTTGGCATCTTCAACAAAATCATTTATATCGATATACAACACCTGGACTAAGACACACCATCGGAGATTCCAGAATTTAGAGAAGCTAGACTTGTCTCGACCTCCCTTCTTCACCGGCGATTTCACCAGATATCCTTTAGCAAGAGTCTGCTCTCTTCGATCCATGATACGATTTACATCATTCAAGCAAATCGCACAATGTTGAATGCTGGATTGGCACTTCCTTATATGTTCTGTCGACTTTTTGATTTGGTTCCTGACCGCTTTTGAGTCACTTGATACATTTGACTTCCTCCTTCCTTGTAACGCAAAGAACGATTTTTCGTCTCCACTGCCACTGAAAGAAGTTCTGCAAAACACTGGCAAAAGGGCACCGCGAAACAGGGGTTTTTTTGCCCCTTTTTGCAAAAAAGGCAAAAATTTGAAATGAACCACCAGTAAAACCTCGTTTTATCTGGTTTTATTCGCCCCCTTCCCCAAATTTGTTAAACCCCCCACATTTCTCAACGTTCCGCGGTACCTGGGGAATGTTGACTAGACTCCCAAAATAAACAAAAAGACTAGAAGAATCAGAGGAACTGTAGAAAATGTTCTACAGTGGAATAAAGAGGTCAGAATAATTTGGGGGGGGGCGGGAGATTTAAACTGGTAAACATTTGTTCTTTTCTTGATACACTCTTTTTCAAAAGAGCCAGATGACTTTCGTCTAGGCTATACGTTATTTTTTTTGGAGATACGAGGCTCGCGTGTTCGTAATGCTGTTCTTATTTTTGTATTAATTGTCTACAATTACTTCCTAACATTTTTTTTATATCTTTAGTAGCTCGATGGATTTGCTGATAAAATCTGCTCTATTTTGTTCGCGTTAGAGCAGATTTATCAACAACACATTTTTTCTTCTAGTTTCGTATCTGTTTCGTATCAAATCAGCTGAATTAACACAGGTCCTTTCTTGCACCTGGACCAAGAACATGAGCACTTATTTTGAACATGGAAAGATACAGCCTTTAACGTATTAGCGTGTTCTGTTGTTGACACAGTTGAACAAACGTGTGAAACACTTTAGTTTGAAGTCTACAGGTTTACACGTGTTTAAAGTCTGCAGAGGCAAAGGAATTTGGAGAAGCATTTGGTATGTGCCCCAATTATTTTTTCGAAAACATACAATAAGACCTCTTCAAACGTACCGTAAATCCTCGAATTGGCCCCCCCTCGAAAAAGCCCCCCCCCCCCCTTGAATAAGCCCCCACCCTAGAACTACAAATTGTCAATAAGCACCCCCCCCTACCCTGGGTACCAGACTCACTATATATGAAATAAAATAGAGAGTCTGGTCTAGTCCGCCCCATTCTCGTTCTGGTGTGCTGATATTAACCAATCAGGAGCGAGTGTACAGATTTCTGTACGTTCAAAGGTCACAGCGAAACAATAAACTTAGAGTGTCGGGGGACACTCTAAATTATTTTTTTTAAATTATTTTATTTTTAAATTATGAAAAATTATTTTATTTGCGTCCCTGTGCTCATGTGGGGGTCAGTAGATTTTGTCTCTTTGCTTCATTTCTCATGGAAGGACCAATTTTTTCTCGACGATACAAAGATAGGAAATATTCTTTTCCCTATTACAAAGTAATGAAATCCATTAAGACTGGAATTAATCAAACGCACTAAAAGCATGCCTTAAAAATAGCAGAATTTTTGAACGATTTCAAGAAAATAACTGGAAGAAATATTTTGAAATGTATTTTAAGCTTATCTAAAGGGTGTGGTGGCAAAAATTATCAGCTCGCTACGCTCGCAAGGAAGCCTCTATTCAGAGTTATACCAAGGGCCTCCGACAACCTCTCGTCGACCCTTTCCAATGTTGGTTTTTTAGTCAAATAAAGCTATTAACTCGAACCTCCCCCCCCCACTTTGAATTTCTTGGCACCGCCCCTTGACTGCCAATATTTTCAGGAAAAAGACAATAGTGTTAATTATGGAGGGCGCCATTTTGATGCTGGCCCCCCTAGGCGAAAAGGGCCAGGCCGCCACTGCTATGCATCTAGTTAGAAAAAGAAACTTCATTATTGTCGGTTGCTTTTGTACAGATGGCTTTTATCAAATCTGCTGGTGCTCCTTATTTCTAGGCAAGTCGATTGTAAAGCCTTTTAAAAGGGGGCTTTACCTACGTGAGTTCGTTGTAGGCAGAAATGCTCAAAAATATGGCAAGGGCGGATAAAATCAAAATTTTTCTTTTTACGGCAATGATACGACCAACGGCCAACAACAAAATCGACAAATAACGACACGGCTTCAACAGGCACGACAAAACTAGCGACAGAGCTCCTAGCAGTACGGCCAAACTTTCGACAAGACTACTCCTAACTTATGAAACAACCCTTTATATACCCTAAGCAGAACCTTGAAATAATAATTACGTAATACAAAAAACATATTTACAGACGCTGATGCCATCACAGCGCAATGGTGCAATTGTCACGTGATACTGTCCGTAAGGGAACCCTGTGTCGTTACACGACTGTCAAACGAAGAGACTCTCTGCAGTGCAGTCACAGAGGTACTTGGTTCCTACTGTCAGAAAGAGACAAATTGAATTTCTGATCCATGCGATAAGAAAGAACGGCTCAGATATTCTTTTACTTAAAAAAGAAGACTGAAGGAAGATAAGATAAATAGAGAATGCAGTTATTGGGATTATGTCGTAAAAGTTAGTTTAATTATTTGGAAAAATCAGAAAAGCTGAAAATAACAAAGAATGTAGATTTTTTCCGATCATGTATTCATTACATCTATCTTGACATCTTTCTATTAAATTTTACTTAATATATGTATTGTTAAGGATTTGGACTTTTATTAGCTGTAAAAAACCTACTTTTTAGCAACCTACCGTCAACAAATTGATAAAAGTAATAAATAATAATCATAATAACAATAATTGGAGAGAGGGGAGGGAGGCGAGGGGAAGGGCTTGCGAGATAGGAGTTTCAATAGGGGAGTTATATATTGTTCTCTTTTCAGCCGTATGTTCATTTCCTTTAGTAATTCTAAACTAAATGCCGAGATGGCCTTAGGGTTGCAAAAAACCTTCTGCGCCGTGGGATATCGTTTTAGTAGCATCGAATAGTTGAAAATTAATTTTGTAAGGTAGCTTAGCTTGAAAAATTTTATTGATATTTTTGAGTGGAATACTCTGGGTGCAAAAGTCCCCATAATTTAGTCTCAGAAATAAAGTTCAAACAAGTCACAGAAACAATTGTTTTAGCGTGAATTAGAAAGAGACACTGACTTTTCTTTATCTCCTCCGCATCTACTCATTGTTTCCAACGCATCGGTCTACAATACTTTCCCCCGGTTTTTTGAGGCTCTTGTACCCAAGGTATAAGTGGATATGAAAAAATGGTGGAGTGGCTGTGCTCAACGAAAAACCAATGACGTCGAGAAGCAAATTACTCAGTAGAAATTGAGTATACTTTTAATGGAAATCCGATTGTTTTATCTGAAAATCTTTCGAAGTCCTATTGTTTCAATCTTGTACACTTTCTTCCCCTCGAATAACGCTACAGTATGGTTTGATGAAGGATAAGTACATAAACATGATTTAATACAGAAATAAATTCGTTTACAGGCGTTTTGTTGTTTCACGTCATTGCTTATTTATAGCATGCCGGCGCAAAACAAGAAAATCATATGTTAATCTGCATCTTTCTGATTACTTTGGCGGTAGACGTTTAGCAATACAGGTATTTGCTAAGCTTTAAACAAATACTGCAGCTAATCAAAGTGCAGAAGCAGTCAAGTCTAGAAAATGTCGTCTTCATTTTAGACCCATCGTTTTCCAATCGTATCTATATTTTCGAACCAGTACAAAAAACCAAAACATTAAAGTTTCTCAACAAGTCACTTAATAAGTTTTATATCGTCATTTCAAACACGCAGTTTTCTTTGATCTGACTTTGTAGCATCAAGTTTTCATGAAGGTTGGTATTTCCAGGAACAATCGATACATTTTGGTCTTCAGAATTGGTGTTTGGTGTGTCCCTCGCATCTAAAAGCTGCAATGCTTCGTTCACTTCATCCAAGAAAGAATCATCCATTTTAACATAACCAACGTCATCGTAATCGTCTTCATGATAAGGCAGACTCAGAGCTTTTTGCATCCAATCTTCATCGATTTCTGTATACTCATGTCCACTGGAAAGTACTTTCTCGGGTAAGGGTTCAGTATCCAATGAGCTAGAATCGGTTGATGATCCGCTTTTCATTGACGTTTTGTCTGCCAAATCAAAGCTGTTATGGCGCGAATTGCTACCAGGTGACTGAATTTCTCTGTCTTTGCTCATGTGAAGGCTTTCCCGCTTCTTCTGACTCCATTTTCTTGGAATCGAAGGTCTTCTCTTTTTTTGATTTTTCGTACATGTTTCGCATAACATAAATAAATCGCTGTAAACCTTCTGCATTTCAAGTTGCTCCTCCTCCCCAGCACCTGACTTCAAACCACAATCTGGTCGCAGCTCCGGTTGATCAATTACAATCTTCTCGAGAAGAGTCGACAACGAACCTGGGAAAAATTTTTTACCAATATATAGTGAAACCAAAAAAATTAAATGATAGGACTTTTAGGATGCAATTCCTTAACAAAAATAACGAGACATCTCCATTACTTTGGCTGAGGATAATGATCTCAAAGAAAATTTCCCTCCCAAATTGTTTAGAGATTAGAGGAAAAACCTTGTTGCTACTTAATTAATTTGCGCTTGTTGCTACTCAAATAAAGCACAGCATTTTGAATTGTAAGGATTATTCAATATCAAATAGGATTTAGGCAGTGCCAATTCAGGATGGCACGAAATAGCGGCAACATAGCATGTGTAACGAAGCATGCAAGAACGAAAGCAAATATAAACAATAATTCAGTTTCACTTCTTCTTCGATATTCTCCAACTTAACTTTACAACATCTTCTGCTACCTATTCAACCTATATCTCCGCTTCAATTTCCGTCTCTTCTCTCTCGCTCACTAATCACAACAACAATGACTCTCGTTCCAGTCTCTTATTACTCACATCCTCACACATGATGAACTTATTTTCGTTTATCACTCGAGTATAAACGCCGAATAATGACAGAAAGCATGGACCGCGCACCAGTCTAAGTGTGGGAAGGCTGAAAAGGGCGTGACCGAAATTGTTTGAGGCCACGCCGTTCAGAACCCTTTTAGAAAATATTGGCTTAATTCTACTGGGGTTTTATAAACAATCTGGTTCAGAGAATATATCAATAGCTTTAAAAGAAGATAAAATTAGCTTGGGGATAATAAACCATCAAGAAAAACAAGAAGAACTGCTACTACTTAGGAGTAGGGGTTTACTATCCAATGTTGCGTTGGAGCATAGTTAGAGGAAACTTTTTCTAGAGTAAAAATTTTTCTGATATGTTATTGCAAAAAGTGGAGGGGCTATAGCCCATGCTAGTTTAAATTAGTTTAAATTTAATAATGATATACCAAATTTCTAATGACCTAGTTGAGGTCTTTGCTGAGGGGAAAGGGACAATGTAGGGTGCAATGAATAAGGCTCAAATTTATTGTTGAACCCTTTTTAAATATTACTTACCAATACGTGAATTCTGCCTCCAAAACTTTTGAGTATTTGGACATTTTCCCTCGCCATTTGAAGCATCATCCCCAGAGGCAGCCTCGAGATCAAACGAATGCAGTGAAAAGTTTCCAGAATCTCCTCCGCTACTTTGCAACCTGGACCCTTGAAAATCAAAGACATTCCGAATCGCGCGAAGCACATGGACTTGACATGATAACAAATGATTTATGAAAGGTAAAACAGGAGAAATTCAACTGATGACGAAAAATAATTCTTTAGAGAACAGAAGTGCTATCTTTTTTAAGGATATTTCTCCAAGCAACAAAAAATACCTAAACTGGTGTGAAATTGAATAAACAAAGATGTTACTCGAGGTTTTCCCTTTAAAATGGGATTTAAACTAGCTACTTACGGCGGGCTGAGTCGTCTGTTTCATTCTTGTTTTCCGATCTAAAAAGAAATATAATTCAACATTTGAATATTACAGTTAATGCGTGTCACTGAAAGGGAGATATACAGGAAGTGTATCGGTGATGCTAATGCTTGAATTATTAAATACGACATTTTCCTGGAAGGCACAAAAGTCATTCGTATTTTATGAGGACAAGGCTTGTTTAGTTTCTCTCTTTTTCCCAAACTGTTCTTAATATTCCTAACTTACATTACGCAAAATAAATTCTTTAAAAACACGGCTCGAATGTCTACATGCAACATGAATACAATAATTTAATAAACTAGCATAATTTATCATAATTTTGAATGTAGACATGCATAATTTTTCAAAAGAGGACTAATTTTGTAGGCCTCTGAAAAGTCAATAGGGTCTTTGCTTGGGAGACGAACAAGGGAAGATCAATTAATGTGTGAAGTAACCCTCCGTCCTGGAGTCTTGGAACCCCCAAATGCGTGCCTATTTTCCAGTCGACAGAGGGGTATATCTGTTACTGGAAGACCGTGAAAGAGCCTAGTGTTATTGGTTAAGAGGAAATATGTAGAATAGAGCAAGGAATTTGGCTAAGTGTGAAGGGGTAGAATTATGTAGAGTTTACTGGACTCTGGGAAGTATAGGTGGAAATTTTCCCTGATATTCATGGGCTTTGACACAGATTGGGGAGTGGGGGCGGGGGGCCAAGGAAAAATTCAACACCCAAAATGAAACTTTTTGTGAAAAGGTCTATTGCTTTGTAAAATAGAGAGGGGCCACGGCCTCCCCGGCCCCCCTTCGTCGGAGGCCCTGTTATTGGGGTCTTTGAGACAAACCTTCTCTGGAAATTGCGGAATTGTTCGAGTACACTAGATTCTATTGATGCTTTTGAAAACTATCTGTATCCTTTGCTCAAGGTTTGCGATAAAATTTTCTCAAAACAAAACGCTTTAAAAGAAGCTTGTTATCCTACCTTCCAACTGCTTTACAACTGGATGAATCCAACTACAGGGAAAAAGAAAACATATTCTTAACTAAATCATTCCCACTGTTTTGATGTTGTCAAAGTTGCATAAGAAAGTCGGGTTAAATTGATTCTGTATATTTGGCTTTGAAGTGAGAAGAATTAATGTCACCGCAAATCACTCAAGAATGTATTGAAAATGAAAATGCAATAAAATTAGATAATGGTTGTCTTTGTGTTTAGTTAAAGAATATATTTTTCTTGGTTGTTTTTAAGGCCTAAACGAATTTAAAACAGATTAATACCACTAAAGCATTCTACACATAACATTAGACAGAAAACTTCCTCATATCATTTGTTATCAATTATGATTTCGAAATTCAAAATAACTTCAAACAAACGGTGCCAGGCCAACTCAAGAACCACTTTCCCACATCATTTCTTCCGTGTTGCTGACATCTTTCTTTTTTCAACTTTACATTCTCAGAAAACTCTTACAGCATCAAAAAAATACAAAACTTCGATTTTGTCAAGTTTTAAACAGAATTCAGCTTAGCCTTAGCACGTTCCTGTCAGAAGCTGAAAGGCTCTCATAAAAATAAGAAGGGAACAAGAAAAAGCTTCTGTTTTCAAAGCATGATAGACGTACAATGCCTGCCAAAAGTACTTGGAACACCCACCAATTTACGCTGCATTTGATATCTTTCATTCCTTTCATGAAAAAAATTTGCTACTTCCGCCCCCTTCCCCCTCAAACAATGTTGATGATTTAGAGAAATATCATAAATGAAGCGCAAAAGAAAGTGCTTCCTAAAATCCTAATCCGTTTCATGGTAAACCAACATTGTTCCGTGGGGGAGAGGGGGATGATTGGTTTTGACCTTGGAAATTGATGTCAGTGTTCCAAGACTTTTGGCAGGCATTGTAGATGCGACCATTTAGATTCCACCAAGTATATTTACAAAAATAAAACATTGACAACAATAGCAACAACAACTGAGAAAAAACAAGAACAACAACAATAACAACAACAACAGCAACAATACAGCAACAACAACAACAATACAGCAACAACAACAAAAATACAGCAACAACAACAACAATATAGCAACAACAACAAAAATACAGCAACAACAACAACAATAACAAAAACAATAGTGTTCCTTTAATCCCCTCTTGGCTACCTGGTCATAACTATAAAAAACCTAAATTAAGTTAGCTTGTTTCGAAACAAAGGACTGAAGGTTTCGTCTCCCGAACAAGAACATGATGATAATACCTTTTCTTGGCTAAAGTACAGTTTGTAGTAGTAAAGATTGCGTATCCACTGTGACTTCAAGCTGCACGATGGTGCGGAGAACTTGACGAATTTCCCATCATTGCATTCAATGCTAAATAGATGGTCAAATCCAGATTGCGACTCATAGCAACTCTGTATTTTCAAACAGTTCTTAATGTCCAATGATCCTATCGAAGAATAATAATAAAATATATATAAATTATAACAAATAATTTGTTTACAGTTGGCGTACTAGATGACAGTCTAATAGCTATAAAGAAGCCAATTAAGGCCAACTATCTATGAAGAATTAGTATAAATGAATATATTGTACAATGTTAAAAAAATGTTTAAGGTATAATATTCTAAATAAAACCTAACTCAGCAATAAATATTTTACATAACCTACAGTCACATTCTACAGGGCGTACTCTTAATTCTTTTTTAAATGTTACTAATTATATTGGGACTCTCTTGTACTGTGAGGTAGTGTTTTCCACAGCTTTTGACCTAAGATAAAGATTTACATATATTTAAAGGGGAAAGGGAGATTAGTGAGAGGCTCGGGTACCCAGCGTAGGCCTAGACAGATTATGTGTGATATTTTATATAGGAGAATAAAATAAAGCAAGAATGGAATTCATATTGCAAATAGAGTACGATTGCCATGTACCCCATTAGTCAATAACTATATCCTTGAACTTCTCTTTAACCATGTTCCATTCTAATTCCTTTGTACATTTTATTTGTTTGTTTGTAATCTTATTTTAAATCGAATATATATAATTTCAAGCTACAATACCGTAACTTGTCTAATTCGATTATTTACAAAATTTACACATTAAATTGATAATTTTAATAGCTTTTGAAAACAAATTTACAATAAAATCATTAAGTTTTGCATACGTTGCATGTACAGATTGCCCCGTCCCAGTTTTTAATTAATCTTTTGAATTGGATAAGATTTTCTGCAGATTTTATTTCCTGTGGTAAGCCATTCCAAACATACAGGCCTGTCGCTAATGGGGGCGTGTGGGGTGTGACATCCCCTTGAAAAAAAATTGCAAACTGCACCTAGGGGTGCTTAGTCGGCAAATTCCACCCAATAAATCGGTGAATGGGATTGGAACCCATCTTGAGCACAATAGCTAGCGATGGACCTGTGTACATATCCTGTTTTTCTTACAGTACATTTGGAATTGTGCAAGCATGAAGATAAAAACTTTGAATTTGTTCGACCAGATTTTTTTTTTAGCTATACATTTAGTTCATTAGTTTGAAAATACCGTTTTCAGAAAACCCTCAACTTTACCGGGATGAAAATTTTCCGTCTTTTCCTTCCTTAAAAATTTCTTTCTACCTTTCGAACAAAAGTTGCATAGAAATAGAATATAAGTAAAGACATCGATGACTTGGTTTAGTAAGATGGCGATTCCTTTCACTTGAAATTCTCTTGTCAAGTTATGCATTGGGTGCGTTGGCCTTCCTCAAAACCACGTCATCGTTGTATAACCTTCCTCCGGCTCACAGCCGTAGAACCGTAATGATATTTGGACTCTTGAAAATTAGTTAAATGTCGAAATTTTTATAGAAAGGCTTGAAGCAGTCAGCATTCACATGGGGCACGATAAAGTCGTTATACTGAAATGATTATATTTAGAATATTTATGCTGAAAATTAAAGTAGAAAATTAAAGTAGAAAAGGTTAAGTTATCTTAACAAATGCATCGCCTGGAAAACAATCATTAGCCATGGTACAAGTGAAGAAAAAAAGTGTAACATGTCTCGTTTTGAAATTTTAACGACCAACAGGAAGAAAAATGTGTTCATAAGGCCAGATAAGAAGTCAAAATGTTGATATTCGCGACGAAAAGTTATCATGACACGACACATGATATATGCATGTTTCAATACCGAGGTTGTGATAACTGAGAGGTATTTTTGCAAAAGTTGGATCTCTTCTTCTTGGAAGTTAGAAAATCGGGTTAGGTTAAACGTTGGTTAAACGACTGCAACAAGGGGGTGGGGGTTAAAATAATTGGTAATTGAAGTGCTACTCACATTTAAATATATTTTTGTTTCAGTCCAAATTTTCGATTTTCGGTTTCCTTTCCGTATGACAAGTTTGTGTAATATGGAAAAGTTTGAACATGTGTTATAACAAAAACATTATTCACTATTTATTGTATGGGAACAATTGGAAAAACTGCTGCACAACTAAGATGTGATAGGGGAAATCAGGAATTCTGGCTAACTGGCAGGAGATTTGCAGGTGGTTTCAGATTATTCCAGATGATTCCAGGTGATTTCAGATGATTTCAGGTGATTTCAGATGATTTCAGGTGATTTCAGATTATTCCAGGTGATTTCAGGTGATTTTAACTTTTATAACATACGGCATCCTTTTCCAGTTCAACCCTCCTTAGAAATATCAGGACGAGATTTGCCCAAAACATAAAGACAACAAAAGAAACAATGAATTTTACTCTGATGAAGCCCTGTATGCCGGGGCGAAATATTAGTATATTCTTTAAATTTAATTTATTTTGAAAATTTTATTTCGTGACATTGGATTCTCGTATTGCTTTGTTCCTGTATATCTTTCATTTTAAAATCTCATTGCAAGATACATAGAATCCGGCGGACAGCCTATCCTGCGGTTCTTCCTTCTCACACAAAAGAAACAAGACAGGTTGAGATTCAACAAGACTCAAGAAATATAATTCCAGCAAAAATTGAAAAATGAAAGAATAGCAACATAAAACAGAAAGCCAAATAGCGTTAATTACTTTATAAAGCACATGTTATTTCCAATGTGAAGACCTCTAATGCAATGACGAGCTAGCCAATCGGCCTACTTGAAGAAACAAAGTTCACCTACTCGACAAAGGGAATCCTGCGATTTGAACACTAATCCTGCGAATTGAATAAGTTGAAAATCGACAAAGGGCATCTCTTTTCATAATAACTGTACCAGCTCCAAATCTGGTAACTTCATTGATTTGCTAGACCACATTAGTTGCTGTAGGCCGCTTTTTGTTCATAAATGGCTTAGTGCAAGGTTTGGAGCAGTACAACCCTATGCAAATGAAGGAAGCTAAGAAAGTGGGTTCATTAAAAACAAAAGAAACTTTCAGTCTAAAGGCAAAGTTTTCTCAGAACAATTTTGGATTGAAGAAGTAGGTTTTGATGCTTGAAGAGAATCACTGCAAGTTGTTCTTTGAACACTAATCCTGCGAGCCACAAGTTGGATTTGCAAGCCTCTCAATTGAAATTCAAGGTTCTCTTTTCGGTAGACGGAACGAGATCTCAAATGAAAATTGCTTTTTAATTTAGAATAAATAATATTGTAAATTGTTTACCTTCACGGCCTATTGTAAATTGTTTACCTTCACGGCCTCTTTGAAATGCAGCTTATGCTGAAAGTTACTGTTCCAAGAAGATATAAACTTGGATAAACAATGAAATATGCCAAATTTATGCTGTCTAAAAAAATTAATAAGTTCGTCTTGACAGAACGGGAAATCAAAACACAATAAAATATCTCCGGCTGGCAAATTTGCATGGATTTTCTTTGGGGGAGTTAATTTTCTATTTGCCAGGAAAGTGGCTGAGCAATCCTTTTATTGCCGCAGGTCCTAAATTTGTTAACGATTAAAGGCCAACGGAGCACATGTCATGGTCATGATTTCTGCAATGAAATTTTTTTTAAGGGTGGTGTCATCTGTACGTTACACCGTAGTGACGGCTCTGCTCGCCGAACTAAATTTTACGTATCTGGTTTTTCCTGTTAAACTCGAATACTTTTTCGTTAACACAAACGTGGCAGTTTACAGACAACAGGATTTTTGAAGACAAACTTGGCATGAACAAACAAACCTTTATGCGGCTGGTTCGTTTTGAAACTGTCCTCATCTTTGTAGTAGTAAAGAAAAACCTGACACTGCCCATCGTTGATTCTTGTAACGAGTGTCAAGACACACCACCGGAGTTGCCAGCATTTCGGAAAAATCGCTTTAGCTTTACATTTTGCTGGAGATTTCGCAAGGAGACCAGAGCACAGCACTTGCATTCGTCTGTCGTCCATGATCCTTTTCTTTGTGGACTGATTAGTGAAATTTAAAACCACTTCCTTGTTGAAAACAAAGAGTGGCAAGCAGGTATTTCAATCCTTCTAGAAGGGAAGTTCCATTTTGCACACATGACGTATTTTAGTTTCATCTGTTGTTTGGGCACGTAAATATGTCTTGAGGGGTAGGCCCAAGGTGTTCAAACTGAACTAAGGATTGCAACATATTACGTCATACCTAAAATGAACTCTTTTTTGTCATATGGTGTAGTTGTTTGCGAAGATGTACCAGACTCACTTTATATAAAATAAAATAGAGAGTCTGGTCTAGTGCGCCCCATTCTCGTTCTTGTGAACTAACTAAAAAGAACTGTAGTCAATTTAACAGACTAGGCTTGTGATACAAGACTGTCGGATAGATAACAAAGTTTCTCAGAAGTCAGAGGAGTTTTGGGAAATCTTAAAGCAGAGCCGCCGGACGCAAAATTGAGCAGGGGGGTTAGGGGGCAAAACGAGTAAAAAGGGCACGAATATTTCTCCGAAACATTAATGAGTGCCAAAAATGGTACAGACTTCATGATAATTTAGACATTTATAAAAATAATTACACACTTTGGACACAGTGAGAACTATCTTCGCTGACATGGCTATTTACTCTATTTAGGAGCCACGCACTCTTGATCATAATTAACTGTATAGCTGCACATCTCATGGCCTTCAAAGTTACGTGTAAATATTTCTTCCATGTATGATTTATACCTCTATTACAATACGCGATACTTATTTCCGCATACCTATTCGAATAATGATCCAAATTTTTTTACTTTTATTCTTAAACAATTTAGTCCCCCCTTGGAATTTGTGCCTTCCCATCACCGCATAAATTTGTTCGCCTCCATCAATGGCGGCGCCAGCCACTAAGCTCTGGGGGGACAAACCAAAAAAATTTAAGTCAACCCCTTTTAATCACCAGAAAACGCTCTTTTACCAACAGGGAACGCCAATTTTATCCGAAGGGAACGCCTATGACTAACTTTTGTTTGAAAATTGGCGGTTTGAAAATCATAGGATTACATCACAAAAAGTACGGTGTCAAAAAATTACCCCTCCCCCAACATTTTCTCATCGAATTTAGACGAAATACAAAATCAATTCTGCTGAGAACTGGGGGGGGGGAGGCGAACAAAGTCCCCCCCTGTGGCGCCGCTACTGGGCCCTCCATAGACTATTTTTTAAAAGCTACAAAATTTTATGTTTCAGTCATCTTCACGCAATCGGCCGAAGGTGCGGACACATTCTTCACTGCCATAGGAAATTTGATTCTCATCAGTCTTATGAACGAAACAAGTTTTTAACTCTCCTTAGACTTGATCCTGGTGGGCTCAGTTAGTTGGTCAAACGTATTACATGCGAGTTCCGAAAAACTCTGAGAAATAGCGCTGCTCAGAGTTTGGTATTTTATTTAACTTCTAAGCGCAGAATGTCTGGCAGTGAAAAAATATTCGTAATATATTTTTCGAAAAGGGACACTTGTTTATACTTGTTGCAAACAGGGGGGGGGCTGCGCCCCCGTTTCTCCGGCGGCCCTGGGAAGCAAATGTATTTTATATAGTTCTGTAAAGTCGACATTATTAATACAGTGATAATAGACTTTTCTGCCATCAAGATTCCTATCAAATCAGGTGTAAAACGCCTTGGCAGCAAAAAACATGTGCGAAGCACGAAATTAAAGTTAGCACAATGCAGTTATTAAATGTTAATCATTGTTAAATTTCGTATACAACTTAAAATAAGTCTTTTGTAATTTTCCTCATAGATTGTGTATACTTTCAAAGTCTACTTTCTCACTGTGAAGGCAGCGCGCTTGGACACCGCAGCGGTTAGAATCTTCACGTTGGAAGTTCATCACAGCAAAAATGGCCAATACGACAAGCGAAGCCCAGTATGCCGGGCGAAATATTGGCCATAACTGATTTACTTGTGTTTGTTGTTGTTTGATCTCGGCGCCTTGCGGTGTTTCTTATTTACAGCATTTCACTACCAGGCCTAATTTCTTTGCAATGAGAGGAACAGCCTGAAATATCAAAGCCAGTTGGCAATATGGCGAAGGTGTCTCTTCTCTCTACAAACAAGGCTTTCAATGCTGTTCTGTGGTAAGTTCCACAACATGCGGAAAATATTCTTTGAGTATAGTTTTAACAGCATCTTCAAACTCAATCGTTACCGTCCCTAGCATTTACTTATGTTGTGTTCTGTTCAATGGAATTAGGCAGAAGGGGAACTCCTGCCTATCAGGTGAAGCCTGATAAAAGTAGCGCATGCGTTAACTTATACGAGGCTTAGCATGTATCTGTCGGGGAAATTTAAAAAGGAATGAAAGTAGACAACTTTATTTGAAACGAAATGCCCCATGATAGTGAACAAATTCAATTATTACTTCACATAAAAATATAAAACTTCGTAGAGGAATTTAGTCCCATAGAAGCTTTCGCCGTGCTTTTTAAAGCCTTGCCCCTAGTTTTCCACCTTTGTTGCAGCCTTATCATTTACATGTTTTTTCTATAAGTCATTATAAGGATGAAGTATACGGCTCTCCAAATAGTTTAGAAAGTTCAGTACTGCCCGTAGCGCCGCTAGGGGGTCCTTGAAAGGGTCCCGTGCTCAAAATCGAGGGATGTTTTTCTTTTTAACGATTATGAATCAAGGTATATTTTTTCAACGATTATGCACCACCCATGTGAAGTTTTCTCCTATAAGGGCCCCTAAAGGCCTGAAATCAAATATTAAAGTATTTAAAATCATTTGTGTATTATTTATGTTTAAAACCTACTTTCGACGATCTTGGACTTGCGGGTCCGTCAAAACCACAAGAAATGATGGCTTACTGAATGATTTGGCTGTGCTGAGTATTGTAAGCCAGGGCCCAGGCCACTGGGGGACAATGCTAGCGAAAGTGGGGGGGGGTCAAGGCTTTGTCACCTTCATTGTAGCTTTAAAATCATTTTCTTCGGAAAAAATTGGGGAGGCAATGGCTACCCCGGCCACCCTGGTGGCGTGGGCCCTGAAAGTATGTTTTTAAAAAGATTGACTTTAGTTATGCTGTCGATGCTTTTACCCTAAAAACTCTTAAAGTAGTACTGTAAAGGTTTTGAAAATAATGGGTAGCAGTTTGAATTGAGTATATCGGAGAGAGAAGGGCTTAGCCTGTGCTCCATACCCCTAACTTTCAATATAGGGGTCTGAGGCGCAGGCTAGAAGGGCCCAGAATCATAGCTAATTGTTTTGAGTTAATTTGTAATGGCGCATTCATACCAATTTTGTATAAATAGAGCCCCAGGCCAAAGGTTCGGGAGGAAGATTTAGAAAAGATGCAAAAGATGAACATTTTAACCATGATACAAAGAAAAGTATAAAGCTCATTTTAGCCCTCAACTACAGAACAAGGGCGTTTCTAGGAACGAAAGCAGGGCGTGACCCAAAACATTGTTTGCGTCTTCGCTGCAAATTGGGGACCTGTCAAGGCTTATGCCCCGGGGCCCGTCCCGCCTAGCGGCGGCCCTAAGAGGAATTACCTTGCAAGCGTGACTATCATATACAAAAAGGAAATTCCTAAGGGTCGAAGGAGTGTCTGTATAGAAATAGATGATGTGAAAATTCTTTATTTATAAATTTGAATAATTGATATATACCCATTGCAATCTGTTTGTTGTTTCTTTGATAGTTGATGCTAAAATTGTCATTGATACTATGTGATGGGTGTATTTCTGAGAAAAATTGTATATTTTTAGCATCATACGCCAATCAAACGATAGAAAATCATGAAATCAAGGAGTTCTGCCATTCTCAAAATCCAAAAGTTTCTTTATCTTTTTCTACCAGTACTGAAACTTCTTTGTTATTTCGAAACTTTAGCAATTTTTACAGTGCAAAGAGATTTTTGAATAAAAAACCCGCATAAACAACAATTTATATGACAATTTATGCTAATTTATTTAAACATTACATATTCAACTGATGGTATGCAAGCCCCTCAAAGGCACTCGTATATCTTATTCCGAATTGCTTCAGGCCTGGAAGCTAAATGTATAAGAATAGAATTTTTAAAGTCGTAAGCAAATATTTAGAAATAGTTGATGGTATTCAACAAAAGCTAGACTTGCTTCAAATCTATTTCGTCCTTAAGAGAGGAGTATTTGTTTCCTTCCTGTGGATAAAGGAGACGAACGGAGAGGGAAAAGGCAAAAGAAAAGTCTATTCTCCTTGGAGCAAATCTGCCAATTTCTTGACCAGCATTTCAGTATCTAGTTTAAAACTAAAATTTTACAAAGGTTGGCATGGTAATATAAAAGTGTTTCTGGTCCTATATTTAATCCTAATCAATATTCCCAATAAAAACGACCTATTTGATGCGTTTATTGCTCATTTGTGAAACTGTAGTTCCAAGTTTGTGAATAGCATCAGTAATTTTTTTCGAGCCTTAATGCTTCGAGTCCCTTTTTTCTGAACCTTAATTTTTGAATCATGGTTTAATCATTCTTAAGGAACACAATGTGTTAATTTTGTTCGAATCCTTGTTTCTTTATCATGAAAACATTTTGGCAATGAAACATACTAGCAAAACACAAGCCGCAGGGCCCACGCCATCGGGGGGCCGGAGGGAGCCCCCCATACCTTTGCAAGGCAAGTAGTTTTAAAGCTGCAGTAAAAGGGGAAAAAGCCTTCGCCCCCTACTTTTGCTAGCCTTGACCCTCCCCACTTTCAAATTCGTGGCGTAGGCCATGAGCCTGAAATGTGTACGTAAATTTTTTGTCTGAAAGTCAGATAAATCGAAAATAATTCTTACTTGTAATCAAGCTTTGGTAACGATAATCACTGATAATCATCGCTATTGTTGATTGATACTGACGATGCTATTGATGCCGATTGATTATGTCGCTGACAAAGTTTATTGATGTTAGTTGTTTAAACGGTCAGACAGTAGAGTTGTCAAGTGATGACGTCACAAAAATTTATTTTTAGAATTTTTGAAATTTTTTCCCATAACCTGAAAGAGCATCATGAAATACCTCTAAATCTGCAAAATCATTTAAAGGTATCACGAATTGGCTGAGATATGTCCAGATGAGCACAAGCTCTGGCCCCATCAAACCTCTGTTCTCAGTTCATAACTTTATGAACGGAGCCAAAATAACAGTAATCCGTTTGCAAACTCCAGATCTTCTATTGGCCATAGTTCACCCTATTTCTGACAAATTTAACTGATTTTTCATAAACGGGTATATTTTTTGGTGTTCTTCTATGTTATGTGGTCAAAATTCGCAAATTTTAACAATAGTTTTTTTTACGTCAAACTTGAGAACCCTACACCGAATATGTTCGGATCAACCATATATCAACTTCCGTGTTTTCTTTCCATGACACAGTGTTATGTCCCAATAGTGTTATCTTTAAAAGAATTGTGATCATGTTGGGAAATGAAACGACAAAACTCCACTTTTAATATCTGTTATATTTATTCTCCCATAAAATGTTTATATACTTGAAATTCATTTATTATAAATTTAATATCTAAATCACGAAGAGACATTGTATTTAGAACATACAGATGCTAACAACACAAAGTTTTTGGACTATTCTTATTGTGGAAAATAAGACACAATTGGGTAGAAAACAGTTGCTTTTCGAGCCTACAAAATGGCATGACAACAATGGAAAAATCGAGCTGAGAGAAATAATTTAAAATATTGTAAAAAGTGAGGCTGAACTGTTCTTTGTTTTCGATTTTCAGCAGATAAAATGTTGGAGGGTAAACTTTCAAAATGTTCTAGCACTTATGTGTTACAAGATAACCGAGAGCTGATTTGATTGGTTTAGGTAATTCTCTAGTTCAGAATGAACAAGGCAGATTGATTGACAGATGCTATAGGCCAATAACGGGAATATTTATGAGGATCTGTTCACTTTCTGCCACAAAAACAAAACTTCATCAAAAAATGTAACTCTCGGGATATCAGCACTGATCAGTGGATATCAGGAGGCTACCATCTTTTCTCAGCCTCTGTCTATAAAACGTTTAGTAATTATGCCTTAAGTATAGACATATACTACATTGATTAATCCCCTTTTCTTACTACATTTCTTTCCATATTACTATACTAATTATTCAAATTGCCAATGAATTAAATTTTATTTGCACGAAGATATGTCAAATTTCTTATATACAGTTTCAACAATATATCGGTTTTATAACTACCTCGTGATGCGAGCTGCTGTACGAATCGGGTAACACAGGTAGTGGTTGAATTAATAATTTTTTTAAATTTCGCTTAATAATTATGGAACTAGAACTGGAACAAGAAAATCATTATTAATAAACATGAAAATTACCGTTTGAAGTTACATGATCCAGTTTGTTTTTGTAAAACTTACCACGTTTATTCCTTGCGACTGAATCGAATTAGCTTGGCGATTTCATTTTTTTATAATTTTTTTAATTTTATAATATTTATACAGGTTAAAGGTTCATACACATATGTTTTTCAACCTGACCTGTTTAAAAGATTAAAATAAGCGCTAATAACTATGTAATAATACTAATGACAAAAGAAATTTACCAACCAAACCTAATTTACAATATTTAATAATACTAAGGCTATAAAAAGTGAACGTAAAGATGAATTCAAAGTTGTCTCCGACTAAAGTTGTTCTTTGAAGGTTTTCAGGGAGGGGGCCAATTTGGTAGCCCTTTCTAGACTGTTCCACAGTTTTGGACCGCGATAAGAAAAAGCCTTTTGGCCATGTATCATTTTTAGCAGCGGTATCTTAAGATTTTTAGCAGCGGTATCTTAAGATTATCTTTGAAGACACTTATGTTTGTATTCTAATTTTATTTTTATAAGAACAGACTTTCAATTGATACGGTACATACAGACACGGCACATACAGACACGGTACATACACGGGGTTCAAGAGTATCAGAGCCGGAAAAAGTGGGCCAAGGGAGATAATAGCGTGTTCACGCGCATCAAGAACATAAGCACGCCGCGCATACACGCGGGTGGAGTCTTTCATCTAACTTGTGATCATGTGAACCTTGAGGTACCAAAGTCCTTGAGCAATATGACTTTCTGGCACTAAGAAGTTTGTCGTAGTACCGCCCGAGAGTCGAAGTCATTGTGGTTGTTGCACGCTCCTTGCATCAGTTTTAAAAAACCATTGCGTTTTCAGTAGTCAATAAAAAAACATATCAAAATTCTTGTGACTGCATTTCTGATGCTATTCCTTTGAATCCAACACATCGATTCGATCATCTACAAAATGGGACTTAATAAAAAAGCAACAGTTCGCAAAGCAACAAATTTTTTTCCAAAACATCATCGTTCTGCTTGAATAAGGGATATTATTACCTATAATTCTAAATTTTCTTTCTCTTGCGCCAGAATGACATTCATAGGTTTTAGCGCGCTTCTTAGTTCTGTGACTGGCCTGTGCCCGTTACTCCATTCTATAGAATCCCATTACCAGACAAAGTTTGCAAGAATTCCCCCGAGATTTGAAAAACGGCATTTCATAAAACAAGTGCTACATCATAAAGCAGTATCATACTGCTCCGAAAAACCAGAAAAATCTAATCTCTTATGATACCTGTCCGAGAGCACAGGAGACTGTGCTGCTTGCAAATAGGTCGATACAAAAGAATCACTAGAGATTGATTTATCCGAGCTGCAGTTCTCAAGTGTTTTGCCCAGAGCTGTGACCCTTTCGTTGCCTGCGTTTCCAGCTACTTCTTCAGGTTCTTCTGTCACGTTGCTCTCCACTATCGCATCTGTAACGTCTGGGTTTTCCCGCAGAATAGTGTGAACTTTCTCGAGAGATGGCGTGTATTGCCGCGTGTAAATGTTCATTTTTTGGTATATCTCAGTATCTGGGTATTCTTTTACGCCATCAAGAGAAGAAGAGTCCACTTCATCTTTGGAGATTGTTTGCAATCCTTGAGCTCCACTCTCTATTTGTGACGTCATTTGTGAAGTCAATCGCCGAACATCTTCAAGCCAATCGCTATCAATTTCTTGATATATTCGGTCACTATCATCCATAAGAAAACCTTGAGCAATTTCGTTAGTAAAAACAACACTCTCTTCTTCGTTTCTCAAGTTCGATTTTAACTTATCAGAAAAACGCCTTTTTATGCTTCCGCGATTAGGCTTATGCACGCAATTGCTTTGGCATTTCTCACAGAAAAAGTACTCATCGAACAAGCTTGGTTTCCTTGTGTCTTTCAAGCTTCCTCCGCGGGAGACAACCGGGCTGCGGTGTTGTCTTTGAAGCGATCGCGATTTCTGCCCGGCGAAGTCTGTTGTTATTTCTGGCGGTGCTCCCCCGTCTTCGGAACAATCTGAGAATATAGATACTTGGTCCTCCTTATGACTCGGTAGATAACTTTGACTTTTTCTCGGTCCTCGAGGAGGTAGTTCCGGGGGTTCGTCTTCTGTACATACTGAACTTGCAGTCGAGGTGGAGAATCCTGAATCATGCCGCTGGTTTTTGATTCCTTGAAAATCGGAATAATTATGCATTAACAACACCAAAAACTCGTTAGTAGAAGGGAAGTAAAAGTAATAAAGACATTTAGTTTTAAATCAACAATCCCCTTTGTTGCTATTGTTACCTAACAATGGTCCCCCAATAATTCTATCCCTTTTTACGGTACTGGAATTAGTTCATACCTAGAAGGATTACTATTTTAAAGATCACAAAGCATTCTTCAGACACTCCACTCCCTCAAACGAATTTTTTAGTTTAAGACCTGCAAAACAGTCCCCATTCTAAGTTGAAAAAAAGTTTTGTTTACCCTACAAGGCTCGTCTAGAAGACAACGAGAATTTAATAGAAGTCTCGATTGTTGATGATGTAGAAAATTTATCATTATTTGTCACAATGATAGTCCTTTTCACTTTTTTGCTACTTGTTTTGGCGAAATATTTTGTGAGGCCCCCTTTTTCCTTTCAAAGTATTAAAGACTCATTGCTAACAATGCGACGGTCCAAACAATGGCAGTAAACTTCTACGGATTAACCAAAATTGATTTCAGACTGTCTAGAAATGTATTATGGGATGCTTGCGAGGCGCAATGGCTCATTGTTAGCAATGAGTCTTTAAACAGCTCTGGTTGGGTGCGAAAACGGCTCAGTGGCTACAGTGGCTGACTACAGATCCAAGGAGCTGTGGTTCGAGTCCCTGAAATGTCAAAACTTTCATTTAGACCAAGGGGAGTTGCCAGCTCTCTGTAATTTCAGGCTTAGGAATCAAAAGGTGTGGTCACATTAAGTGGAAGGACCAGTACACTGCTTAATTAGTACAGCTTCTCAGTGACCTAAAACTCCCTTCGGAAGCTAGGCAGCAAGCATAAATATAAATACATCCCTGGTTTCATTATAAAGGACATCTCCAAACAGCGGACACCTCTTCACATCGGAGAGTGACTGGGCAGTAGACAAGTACATTGTCTTCTAGGGAAATAGCTTAAAATTTCGTATCGTGGAAGTCCTTTAAGGAATGTTTGATTATTCCACAGATCACCTAAAACCGTCGCTTTTTTTAATTAAGGCAGTTGAATGTATGGCGAATGAGTAACTTCTTATCAAAGAGGTAGAGTAAGGGCATTGGCCGGTTTCTACCAGACTGAATTTGTACAAAATGTAGGAAAAGATATTTCAATCGAGTCCAGAAATTCTCATATGATATGGATATAAGCGTTTGAGGTTTTCTATGTGAAAGAGAGATGAAGGGGGCTGGGGTAGCTTGCAGAGTCAATGTTTACAAAATGCAACAAACAATGCCATACGAGCCAAAAAAGCCTGTCTGTATAAGAGACTGTACCCCCTCCTACCCTCCAAATAACGTGCATCCTATACTTGCAGTGCAAAGGGTAAATATGTTGGGTGCTACCCACAAAAATAAGATCTACCTTTACCTAACGGATGACCAGTGTCAGCTGTAGAAAAGGTGCGAGGCTTCTGATACAAGCGACGCCCATCTGTCGCAAAGGAATGTTCAGTGTCTGAGGCTGACCTGCAAGGAAAGATCGAGATCTCTAAACAATCGAAACTGGGTTCATTGAAAGATAGCATTTCTTTTTACTGCTTGGGAAATTTAAGGCTATGCCCATATAGTAATAAATCATTACAAAATAAATAATGAAAAAAGATATAGATATAAAGAAAAAACCAAAGGACTAAATCTTTGCAGTACGAAGAAAATTGAAATTAGAATGATTGATAATGCGTACCTTATTAAAGATAAAACTAGATAAAGATTTCAGAACTTAGTCAATCTGGATAGCAAAAAATCAATCAATCAAAATGGAAAATGGAAAATGGAAAGCTCTTCTAGTCAATAAATGACGAGAAAGGTTTAGGTAAAAGATCCTAAATATCCAACAAAGGTAATATCCAACAAAGGTAATTGAACTTTTAACACGTCTGGGTTATAGTTCAATATAATTGTCAGGGAAGGATTCACCGGAGATGTAGGGGTGCGTAACCCCTGAAATATTCTTGCGTCATTCGTTAAATTTTTCTAAGATTCGGTAACAAGGTTTCCTGGTGTCGCGAAAATCATACTTTATTTGTCCAGGCACCACGAAGCGTTGAGAAACGTGAGGGGTCTAAAAAAGTGGGGGGGGGCTAAAACCGTATAAAAAGAGGCTTTTCTGGTAGTTTGATACTCAATATATGGCACTTTTTGCAAAAAGTGGGGTGCCTGTTGTCCTCTTTATCTTATAGTGAAAAACAGAACTGTTAAAATAGGTGAGTCCATAATTTTCTCGGCATTTGAAAGGTGCGAACCAAAGTCCAATAGTTATACCCCCGCAATCCTTGCTTTTAAAATTCGTCCTACATCTCATTTTCTATGTTAATTAGGTAAAAAAACTAGCGACCATTTTTGGTTGATGTTGAATATTTTATCAAGAACTCCACTTACATTTTTCTTGTCTGTGATATGACTTTGGACCTGACAACGCCCTAAAATGAAATGAATAGCAGTTATTGATAAAATGTCTAGTTTGTGTTTCACTCCACAACGAACCAATACAAATTATATGTGTAAAAATGTTGCGGTTACGTTGTCATCATTGTTGGCAGTTTGTCATTCTTCCGGGTTGACAGAGTTTAACGGCTAGAGTATTTCTGACCATTTCTACACTCTGTTTTAGGAAAACCAGTAAATTTGAGTTCAGGCTTGATTTTCTTGAAAATTTGTGGGTGAATTGTTCGTAAGTTGTTCTTATATTAATAGGGTGTAAGCAGTGTAATTGCTAGCTTTTTCGCTCTAGGGAGGTGTTCAGGCCTCTTTTCCCAACAAAGTGAGTGAGACAACCTTCATTTGCCGACAAGCTTGAATATTCAACAAAAAAGCACTCACACATGCCTAAAAATCCTAGTTTTTGAGATGAAATGCTGTTCAAAATTGCATTTTACAGTAGCTTAGTCTCAGCTTGTTCTTAATTTGCTCTTAACTTTTGATCAATTTTGAGGCTCCTGTTTTAATAAAATTGTTCTTATTAAAAAGAGTGTAATTCTCGAATTGAAGGACCCATACCTTTTAAGTCTTACTATTATGCATTTTTTGTTTGTACTTTTGGTGATTTTCGGCGGAAAGGAAAGCCTGACGTTCTTTCTCAGCTTGTGATGTGTCTTTTAATATGTTTATTCTAAACAATAAGAAATATTAGTTCCGCATATTCTGACGAAAGACTGAAATTTGAAACTGAAAGATGTTCGTCATTGTATTTTGAAAAAAAGTTCCAAGTTTTGAGTGATGGCTCCTTCAGTGAATCTTTTTAAACTGTACTGTTTTTTAGTATATGGATGTGTTGTTCACACTGAGTCGTTTATTGTTGTTATTTAAATTGAGTTTTCATTCTACATTTGTCTTGAAACAAAAATTACTGAATGACAAAGGAAACAGTTTTCTTATGGTCAGATTACCGTTTTATACCCAAACTTATGGTTTCATATGCAAATCATATGTCAGGACACTAAAGTAGCTTTGGGACATGTTTTGAGAATAGACTTCTCTGGTTTTGCCACCATAAAGGAATAAATGCGAATGCTTGGGTAAGAACATGCAGAGGAGTTAGCTCCATGTTGAAGGTAACAGGTCCAGTTGTTGAAGGTAGGTCGAAGTAGACATAGGCAAAGGGGCTGCGAAAGCGAGGGGGCTGAGGGGTTGAGGGGCTGAGAGGCTGAGGGGACTAAGCCCCCCCCCCTAAATAATTCTCAACATGTACTTAAAACCATACTAAAATCATCTTGCATCACAATATTTAATATGTTCAGCGGTCCTTGCATTGGCCGACGTGATAACAACGGATGTGAGAGAAATTCCCTTACAAAGCCCCGTCCAACGCACTAGCGTGTAAAACGGACGTTAAACCGAATATGATGAACCGAATATATTCCTTCTCTGGACGTATATAAAATAATGAAATGATAAAAAGAAATAAAGATCTACATTATGGAGGTCTTGCTAACATCAATAATTCAGTGATACATCGATAATACAGTTGTGCTCCCTTTAGAAAAATAATAAGTATCAACAAGCCTTTTTATCAGAAAGTATTTTATAAGAAAGTTATGCTCGGTTCTTTCAAAAAGTTACGAAAGTTAAGGGCTGGATCTTTAAAACTTAAGAAAGTTGAAAAATTCAGGTGTTCAAAGTTTCAAGGGGAACTGCCGTGCAAGCGCGAAAAACTTCGTTTTTTGACAATAGTTGATGCACTTCGGTAGCTGATGTTATGACGTTGAGGGTTTTTTGTGAAATATAGCATATTTATAGCATTTCATTCTATCCATCACTGCGCATGCTCAATAGCGTAAACAATACAATGCTACGTTAAGAAAGTATAAAGAAAGTCTGAAGGCCGGGCTGAAAAAAACTTTCTTATAAAAAGCGTGTTCCCCTTATAATGAAGAAAACATTGAAAGCCCCCGTCGACCACCCTTAAAAGAAACTTTTACCCAGAAATCAGTCTAAGGCCATTAGGAAAAACTTGGAGAGCAAAAAGGCGTGAAAATCTTGCACTGTTTGGGCCACTTTAACCCCGACATTAGTCTGTTCCATCACATCTCTTACCCTACCTAGCCTATACCTTAACTATTGCCTTCACTGTTTTGCCCTAAATCCAAAGATTACCAAATCTCATTCTTGGCAGGCGTAATTCAATTCCTGGAGTGCAGCATTAAAAAGCTACCCTTGTACCTAGCTTACCTTCACATTGACTGCCTACAAAACCCCATATATCCAACGCGAAGCGATGCATAAGGTTTAAATCAACAAAATAAATAATGTTTATACATCTGGATCTTCACCTTGATCACGGAAATTACAAATCCATGAACTTACCAATTCCGACGGTTCCTTTTTAGATGACATGTGGTTCGCACTAAACGAATTTCGACGACTAATGAACTTCTTCAAGGATTTCAAGGCTCCTGTTTTGTGAGTTTCAAAGTTAGGCAAGCTATTGCTGCGACTCATCTTAGAATGAAACACGGAAATTGTCCTGGCTAACAAGTCCTCCTCAAATTACGGTCCTGCACCGTCACGACAAACCAATAATATTGATAAAAGGACATGCATGTAAACCGCTACCGTATGTAGGAAGCTTTTGCAGCCAAATAACTCTCAGACTTGTTTCAAGGAGGAAACAGATATTAGAACGGTATGCATCAGTAACCGAACACAAAGACTTGAGGAAACGTCAATTCATACTCGGTTTGATGGCTTCACCCCGGTGAAGTTTTACAAAGCTAATTCACAAGCTTGGTTTCAAAATGTGTCACCCTACCTTTCAATCCCAACACTTCCTTTGTAGGCAAAAGTGACAGCGCAACAAGTACCAACACAGTTTTTGGAAAAACCTGACGATGATGATGATGACGATGATGACGATGGGAGGGGGAGTGGAAAAAAAGCGAGCTACTTTGCCAAGAAAACCGGGATTTGTAGGGAAGGGGTAGACTGTCCAAGCTTAGAGAGATAAAAACTAAGATTAGACTTTGAACTTTATTCCAGAGAGAATCAGCTTTGGTTGTTAAGATTATTTTAAGGGCCCTACAAGGGCAGAAATAGGTTTCGAAATGTTTGGAGGGGGCTTTGATTGTGGCCAATATATAGAACATGATTGTTTCTAAAATAACAAAATGGCAGTTTCGCATGACACATGAAGAAGCACTGCCATTAACTGATGTCTCTGTCTCTGGTAATTATATTCTCTGTTTTCTTAACACGAAAGAAAATTTGTTTACTTGTTATTTGGGAGAATCGAGCCTTGGCGTTCTTATACACTTTTTTATAAGAACAATTTTCTAAGAAAATAAATATGAATGTAAATACATTGTACCATACAAGGAATAAATGAGATATTATTGGATAACAAATAACTAGTAATTTTATAAGAACACGAGCCTCAAATTGGACAAAAGTTAAGAACAAATTGAGGCTGAGCTACTGTAAAATGCAATTTTGAACAAGATCTTTTCTCAAAAACGAAGATTTCTAGCCATGTGTGGGTGCTTCTTCGGTGAATATTCAAACTTGTCGGTGAATGAAGGTTTTCACACTCACTTTGTTGGCAAATTAGGCTTGAACACCTCCCTAGAGCGAAAAAGCTAGCAATCGCACTGCTTACACCCTCTTAATTTAAGAACAAATTAAGAAAAATCCAGCCTCAGATTTTTGAAAAAATTAAGAAAAGTCAGCCTGAACATAAATTTACTTGTTCTTATATAAAAAGAGTGTACAACGTGCTCTTACAAAAAGCGTGTAAGTTTAAATCAATTCGTGTTGCAGGAGTGTGTGGCGTTAATTTATTGATATCATATAAAGTTTTAAAGTGATGACGTCACAAAAATCTATTTTTAGACTTTTTTATTTGGATTTCATAACCTGAAAGAGCATTATGAAATATTTCTAAATAAGAAAAATTAGTCAATTGTGTAACGAATTGGCAGAGATATGGCCACATATGTATTGGCTCTTTCCCCATCAAACCTCTGTATTTTGGTCTCTGTTCATAGCTTGATGAACAGAGCCAAAATAACAGCGATTTGTTAGAAAACTTCAAATCTTTCATTGATAATATCTCAACTGATTTTAGACATATTTTGCCAATTGTGCATGCTTGCAAGTATTTCATGGTGATCTTTAATGTTATGTGGTTAAAATTCAAGAATTCTAAAAATTGGTTTTTGGTGACGTCCCACATTAGAACTCTATTGACTTACATCGGTGTTTGCATCGTATTTGTGCCGAAATAGTGTGCTTAGCCACACAAACTTCTTCTTGCAGGAGGATGGGGAAAATTTAATGCATTTTCCATCGACAGAGCGAATCTCGAATATATGATTAAACCCAGCTGTAGAGTTGTAGCAACTGCGAATGCTTGTGCAATGAGCTAAATCTACACGACCTGAAATGCCAAAAAAACATCAGTTTATTTCATCAATCTCGAATAGGCAAGTGTAATCGATAACTACCCTTGAGCGCCTTAGGCCCAACGTTTGCAGAAGAGAACTATTCACTCAAACTGAATTCTGATTCTGAGCTTCAGGGCCTCCGACGAAGGGGGGCAGGGGGTCATGTCCCCCACTTTTTTGCAAAACAATAGATGTTTTTTCAAAAGGTTCTGTTATGGTTGTTAAATTTTCTCTTGCCCCCCCCCCACTTTTCAACCTGCATCGGAGCTCATGAGCTTTGCTTTTATCAAAAATATGTTTATTTAAGTTCCAATTTGCTCCCGAGGCGTTTTAAAATTTTGTCTTGAATTGAAATCAACCAACAGGGCAGTCTCTAGCTATTGTGCTCAAGGGAGGGGGGGGGGTGTTTAGGCTCAACTTGCCGACAAAGTGGGTGAGCCACCCTTTATTTGCTACAAGACTGAAACTGTGCGTACCCCTGCAAGACAAATTACTCCTTATTTTTGCAACTTCATTTTGTTGCAAGAGTGAATCACAAAGGCCCCCTTTCCCCACGTCCCACTGTAGCGAGGGCCCAGAATTAATTTCTCAAAAGGATGTATTTTGAAACGGTCTAGAGAGGTCTTTGCCGATAACCCTCAATATCCTTTCCATATCTGGATAATATTGTACTCTGGTCGACTTTGTGAACCACTGCCTATCTTGAGTGATGTGAATTTGTGAAATCAAAAAAAGCTTTAAGCTCTTGACATTTTCGATTGTTGGAGCCCCATTTGAGGTGTAACATAATCCTGTACACTATCCCTGTAAGTCGCATCTCGGATAACTAGAACAGGTTTTCACTACCTTGGATTAATCGGACATTAGCTAAGTCGGACGGTTTCTCTTTACTTCCCTGGAGGGGCGACCTAACTGGATTCAATTGTAATTTTCTCCTGACGTTGCAAAGTCACAAAGCTGTCCGTGTTTCTGCGGAGAAAACATGCCCTTGCAGAACCTGCAAGGAAACTTTTTGCATTCAACCATAATTTCGTTTCAGGTTTGGCAAATAGCTTCCTTATAGTTTCTGTTTGCACACCGAAGTCTTCTATTTCATTGCTGTTAATTTTGAACTATATCGCAAAAAATCAATTTCAGTGACTTAAATGTTCTGGCCACCGCTTTTAAAGTTTTCCAGGCCCTTAAAAACTGTGTGGAACAAGCAGGTTTGAGACTTCCTTGCAGAGAAATCGTCATTGTAAACTGTCTACTTGTGTGCCTGAACAGGTACAAGGAACATAATTCTGGGGCATCAGGGGCAGAATTTGAGCCTCGCAGTAGTTGGGCAATTGTACTATTGGTTATCTGGTAGGGGTGGGGTGCAATGGCGGACATATGATCAAAAATTAGGGGCAAGCCTATTGTTTTGACAAGATGACGTAAATTTTCACTTTCTATGGTTTTCAAATAAAGAATCATTGTCTTCAAAATTATAGGAGGGCAACCGCTCCCCCCTTGCCTCCAAGGGTCTGTCAATGGTGGTGTGGTGCCCAAAAACAATACATTTTTAAAGGGAAACACATAGAGCTTTAATATTGACAGTAAGAAACATACGATCTCGTGGGGACTAATCAATCCACTTACTAGCCGGGGATGTGCCAGCTTTTTGTGTCTCATTTTTGGCTGAAAACTCTGCATTGATTATATTATTTGTCCCTTTTTCTGGCACTGATATGATACACCGATTGTGGACATTATGTGAAAGGGTCATAAATTGGCAGGCCTATCAAGTTATTTTCGCCTAGTAAACCCTTCCCCAGGTCATACGATCGTCGATTTGTGAATAAATTTGCGGAAGTTCTTCATGTTTACATAGAGAATATTTTTATCAACATTTAAAAATTGAGACGTAGTGTCTAGAAAATATTTAAACACAAAAGCCAAAACATTTCTTTAGGCCAAAAATTGGTTCCCTTTGTCTGGAAGCTAACAGCTAATCATCTCAACAATAGGTTGCCATGTCAGAATGGAATCCGTGTCGAAAAGGCGGGCGCTTTCCCGGGGTTTGATGAGACGGTGCCCTTTCTATTTCTTTGGGGTTAATGTAATCCTTTTTCGCGATTTTTCAAAGTTCTGGCGTAGAATTTCTTATCTACAGACAACCCTGCGGCGTAGAAGAAATAGGGATTTCACCCTAATGAAATTGTAATTTGACAAAGATTGCCAGACATGAAAGATGGCCTAAATTAGTTTGCACTTACCTTTAGGAGAATCTCCTCTATCGTAGCTTTCTCTATCTTGAAAATAATAAAGCATCAACCTTGAATCTTCCGCAAACGTTAAATGATCTGTGTATGTAACCTCCATAAGCACACACCATCTTACTTTCCAAAACAATGGAGAGAGAGACTTGTCTTGTGATTTCGACGGGGATTTTACTAAGTAACCCATGCAAATTATATTTTGCTCTTTGTTTATCGTTGATTGGATAACACCATCGCAAACTTGATATGTTTTTTCTGTTCTTCCCATTGCAGTGTTGCAATTATGCTTCGGTATAAAATTCGGAGCCTGAAATCAGTTTCAGATCAAGTTTCCTCGCTCTGGCGACCAAGAAATCAATGCAGCTTGAACAACCGACGAATGCTACTTCCGCAATTCATGCTTTGCGTCACTATTATTAATAAGGTGGTCTGGGAATCCCCTAGTATGCTAACAAAAGACAACAAAAGTCTTCATTGTGCTCCCCTGTTTTCAAAAGACGGCGGCAAAAATGGCTTACCCGAATTCTATTTTTTAGGCCAGGGATAACAGCTGACTTTTTTGAGTGGGGAGAGGCAAAGTTGAGGCAAAAACGAAAAAAGGACAAGAGAAAGAATATAAATGCAATACTAAGTGGAAAAAGACCAATAATTGTAAAGAAAAAAGGCTTAAGCAGTTTCAAAGCTAAAGATATTGTAATAAAGCTAACTTTTGTTTGCTTTGATATGCGCCGTGCCTACTTCGTTCGTAGAAATTTCTAGAATTTGCACAGCATGATATATTGTCAGAGGGAATCCCCTATGTTCTGTCCGCATGCCATCCTATTATCACGCAAGGATTTATCCCCATTAGGTACGTTCAAGAATATTCCATTGCATTCTATTATTACATCATCGTTTATATTTGGTATTATTTTTGAAGTGTTATCATAATATATATAGCCCGTAGAAGGTAGTTTGAAGGAGAGTTAGGAAGAGAGTTTTAGAGTTGTGTTTATTAACTGCTGTTGGTGCTTGAAAAAGACCTCAGTAGTGAGTAAGATTTGTTGTGTCAAAAATACATGTGAAAACGTCAATTGGTCGTCATTTCTCCGTCTTTCCTACGGAACGTATTACAATATCTTTCAGGGACGGACTTAGCGGGGGTGTAGGGGGTGCGACACCCCCCCCCCAATATTTCTGTCTCCTTCGGTAAATTTGGTTCCATTCGGTAAAAACCATCTTTGGTAGTCAGCAGTAATAAATTAACGCCAATATTTTACTTTATTCATCTCCTTAATATCAGTATTTATCTTCTTATCAGTAGCGTAGTGGGGGTAGCCTGTGCTCCAGACCTCTACTTTCAAGTTAGGGGTCTGGAACAGGCTAAGCGGGGAAGGCAAGGGGAGTGGCCGCTCAAAGTCGGTGTCTGAGAAAAGTACAAATCTGCAATAGAAGGGGGACTTTATATTTCAGACAATATTAAAACGTTTTTAAAGACTGCAAACGACTGTAAGAAATATTCTGCAATGTATTTCAAGCTAATCTGAAGGGCGTCGTCGCAAAAATTTTCTGCTCGCTTCGCTCCCACAGGGACGCTTTCACGTTCTTTAGACAATCCCGATAAAATCGAAAGCTAAAGCGCTTCAATCCTTAAAAAAAGGATTCTGAAATGCTTGTCGGGGATGTTGTTCCAAGGAGAACGGAATTAGTTTAAAACATTTGAATCCTGTTTGTTATTTTTAGATATTTGATTAAAACTGTGGAGAATCAGTTTTTACACGTAGTGCTTCCTCGCCTTACTCAATTCAGAATGTAAGCGTTAGATGAATTGTCAAGGAAATAGGCAGTTGTAGAATGGGGTTAGCCACAAAAAGCCAGATATCACGTTGTATAAAGCGAAATTGCCACGTAAAAAAGCCATAGCTTTTTCAAATGCCTTTGCAAAATGGGGTGCTTTCCTAAATTCTTAAGGGTGTGGTTAGCAAAATTTTTCTCCTATTTGCCCCTCCAATCTTCCAAACCTGGCTATGCCACTGCTTCTTATCGTCTTTACCTTAAAGTTAAAAACCGAAATTTAAAAATAGGCGTTTCCATAATTTACCAGTGACCTGAAAGGTGTGGCATCAAAATTAGTGTCTAACACCCCCCCCCCCCAATCATTGTTGCTTAGATCCAACCCTGATATCTTTGGATTTCAAGTTTGACTTTGTCACTATGTTATTTTAACAAAATGGTGTTTCTCTATCATTGTGTGGAGTATATGAATAAATTATATATGAGTTTATTTTCACATTTTTAATTCCCTTACCTGTAAAGTGAGCGAGACAACCTTCATTTGCCGACAAGTTTGAATTTTCACCGAAAAAGCACCCCCAAAAGTCTAGAAATCCTCGTTTTTGAGATAAAACGTTTTTCAAAATTGCATTTTACAAATTGCAAATTGCATTTAGTCCAGCCTCAGCTTGTTTTCAATTTGTTCTTAACTTTTGACTAATTTTGAGGCTCGTGTTCTTATAAAATTGTTCTTATAAAGAAAGAAAAAAAAGAATGTAAATTCGTCACCGTCAGTTTCGTTTCTTGAAATCAGAAACTCTTTGAAAATGCACTACAATGACTGCGCCAAAAATCCTTCTTCAGTTTTAAAGCAAAGTATATATGAGTGGTGGTACTTCTGCAAAAAATGAAGCAAAAATAGAAAAACATTACTTTTAAGAATTGAAATGATTAAAACCTTTTTGTCTCTAGAGCTAATGAGATGTCTTTCCACAATTTTAAGGAACAAATCATTAAGCTGCATATTTCATCGTACAATAAGTACCAAAAATTTCAGTGGGATGTATTTTCGGTGAAGCAGGGCAACCAAAAATTAACCCCACCTATTTTTTAAAACCGAAATTTTTTTCACCGAAATTTTCAAATGCTAGAAAAAATCTTTTTACACCAATGGGCTTTCGAAAAAACAAAATAATAATCCTTGATATTTCTTCACATTTGCTATATCTCCACAAGATATCAATTTTCAATTTTCTATCTCCTTCGTAATCAACAAATAAGATTTTCACTTTCTTTCGCCCTCTACATCCAAAAAATTGGAGTCTATGGGCTGAGCTTATGCTTCTTTTAGCTTTCTAAAATTTCGCTCAATTATTTCGTTCTAACGTTCCAGCTGTTTCAATTTGGACGCCTAAATCCTTACCTCATAATCGATAAGAACTTCTAACCCCCCGTTGCGATTCGCGATCGCAAACATTGCGAACTTACTGTAAACCCTTCCAATTTATTTCCGTCTATGGGATATAAAAAATGAAATGAAAAAAGACCTCCTCTGAATAAAAGATATAAATTCGTGCCTACACTTCGATTCCATTATTAGGCTGACATCTAAATATTTGATTTTTATAAATTTGAAGACTGCTTTGAAGATAATTCCATGTTGAAAATAGAAGTAACTTACAGAAAGTGTTTCCAAAATGGCAGGGTGGCCCTGCCCCCTCCCCCCCACTTTTTTGCGAAGGCAGTAGTTTGAAAGCTGCAGTTAAGGAGGTAAGAAGCCTTGGCTCCCAACTTTTTTAGCCTTGGCCCCCAACTTTTTTAGCCTTCGCCCCCCACTTTCAAATTCGTGGCGCGAGCCCTGTTTTACCTTTGTTCTGTCGGTATCCTATCGAGCACTTTTGGGCACAAATAAGCGCCGTTTTTGTAAAGAAGAGAGGCTATTTCAAGAAAGCTGAAAGCTTCTTCCATCTGTAATGAAAATGTTAGTGCGAATGCGAATTGCGAATCTATCGAAAGACGATAAAAAATTTCGCTTATATGCTGTGGCACGTAAAAAGCAGAAGGGCACAGAATATTGCTTATTTAAATATTGCAAATATTGTTTACTTGCAGTAAACGTCGTTCTGGTAGAATATAACTGTACAGGAACAGGTTTACCGGGGAGTTCGAGGGGTGCGATACCCCCCCTCCCCAATATTTTTGTGTCTTTCGGTAAATATTGCATCGATTAGGTAAAAAACACTTTTTGGTACTCAGTAGTAGCAAAATGATACAAAAAATTATTTTAAAGCTAAAAATCAAATTTGAAAATAGGCGTCTCCTTCGTTTTCTAGACACCTGAAAGGTGTGGCACCGAAACCCAGTCATTATCTAGCACCCCTCCTTGCCGCTTAAATCCGTCCCTGCAACTGTTTCAATCAGAAAATATGCAGGAAATTAGTTCTCCATTTCCTCTTGTGTTAACTAGGCCATAGAATCACGCTGTTCTTAACGGTACAAAATGTCCACGCGAGGCTTGGGCCTAAAGAGGTGCTTCTTTTCGAAGACTTTTCACGTGGTTCTGAATGAAAACACCGCCTATTTTCTACCAGAGATGGAAATATAACAAACTCACCTTTTGGAAAGCTCAGCCAACTCGAAGCATGATCAAAAATATCATTTCTGCGCCTTCCATGAATGCAGCGACATGGAAATTCGAACTAAGCGTGTTAACGAATGGCGATGTCTGGTTTAAAAAGCCTTAGTTTTGGCAGTTCACAGTAAAATTAAACTGGGAATCCCATAAGAATAGTCAACTTGTGCACTTTTCGGATTCCAAGGTAATTATATATTGTTCTAAATGTCCTAAGGGAATTGATTATTCCACGGATACAAAATGCACGAATACTTTTTCCCAACTGCAAGCTTATGCCTAAAATTGGCATTCGTTTTGAAAGAATTTATTCCCTTGGTAGTAATTAACTTGCTTGCCGTCTTACATACAAGCTTAAAATTGTTACACTATCTCTTATATCGTTTGTTGCCATTTCGTTGTTCATATTATATAGTGTAACTGATATTAAATTTATTGCATTTCAAATTGCGATTTTCTTGTGTCATTGTTAAATATTTTAGCTTATGAAACACAATTTTCTTCAGATTGGGACTTAATCTCTCCGCTTTTCTTCCTTGCTTTTCTTTTCATCAAAACTTCCTTGCGCCCTCTCAATATTTTTATGAAATGGCGCCCAATCTGAACTTTTGACGGCTTCCTCAAAAACACCCCTACACCCTACCTGATACGCCCATGGTATCTACTTTGTCCAAAAATTATTTAGATTTAGCGTGAGATCTTGAGGTGGTGTTCAACAATCCTTGTTCAGTGCATCAAAGTTAGTGAGAAAAAAGAAGTGGTATGTTGCAAGGTCATTCTGGTTCTCTTCGAAGCAATTTATCGTGGATTGTTTTACAGCGTCCATCTTTAATACTGTTGTGTTCATTTATGGAAATTGTCCTCGTTTGGTAGCTATTTGGCCAGGGTACCTTCGGCGTCCCTATAACGTGAAAATTCATTTTGGCGCACCTGATATTTGATCGGCAGGGGGGGGCAATTGCCCCTCTTGCCCCCTTCCAGCACGCCACTGTAAATAAAGAGGTTTGGCAAAAATAGAAAACAAAAGGGAACTTTATCAGTTTGCTGTTCTTGTTAATTAATCCACGTTACTTTTACTAACTGCATTGTTAACATTTATAATTAATCTATCTTTAATTTTATATACATCGAGAAAGAAAAATTGATTTAACCTAATTAATAGCTATATTTTGGACAAATAAACGGTTTAGTTAGTCTTAAAGACAAAGAGTTCTTTCACTGGTAACCTGGGGGGGGGGGTGAGCACTCCATTTCCTCACGAGGCTTTGTTTGTAACGTTATCTAGATCGTCACATTTAAAAAACATTTCTTGGGAGACAAGAGGTGTTTCCTCCGGAAAAAAAGTTTCAAACAGGAAAAAAAAGGGCGTGGACCAAAAGAGCGTGGTCCGTGACACACCTTTTGCTCCCCCATTTATCTCAGGCTGGAGCCGCCACTGCCCCTGACCAACTTTATAGATAAATCATATTTTGGCATAAGAGAGGTATCACCCTTTCCTTAAAATCCAAAACTTAGTGATGCTCCGATTTCACCGATTGACTATTGCAAAACTAAATAGCTTTGAAAATTTCTTGAGAATAAGATTGCACTGGCCAAAATCATGTGACTTAGAGGGTTGGGTAAGACATGTTTTGCTCCCTGTCTAGGCCTTCTCAGCTGAAAACGTCTCGCGCAAAGACTTATAATTTGTACACATACATAGATGACATTTTTGCACGCATTTATTAATTCCTCCGACTTAAGGCAAATAAAACCTAAGGAAAAACATTGGTTTTCAAAGCCAATGGAAATTAGACTGCACGGAGCATATTGAAGAAGCATGCAGAGAGAGGATGGAGGGACTACAGTCCTAAAATACCATGTCAATTTGGAATTTTGGTTCTTGTTATATTTCGAAATACTTTGCAAAAGTACAGTGCAGCAGAGAGGCGTTCTCTGTAAATGCTACGACCAACCGATAGCGAAAAAAACCTAAAATAAAACTCTTTAAGATAAACTATTTCCCCAAAGTATTCAAAGACAAATTTCTACAACGTGCAGGGCGGCCGAGAGGTTTGGAGGCCCTGGGGGCGAAAGCGAAAGACAAGGCCCCATGCGAGCGGAGTGAGTAGAACATTTTTGCGACTATGCCCTCCACGTTCGCTTAAAATGCATTTCAGAAATTTAATTTCTTGAAATCGTTTCAAACGTTGTATTTTTAGGGAAAATTTTGCAACGTTTGATTACCCTATTCTCAAAATTGAACTCGTTACTTTATGTGGCCCCTTAGACCTTGAGGCCCTTGGCAATTTGCCCCCTTGCTTCCCCCTCTCGGCGGCCCGGACAATGTATATGCTAAATTCAAACAATATCCTAGATATTTCATCACTTTCAGAGTGATTGACGTCAAAAAATAAACAAACATAGTACACAAGTAAATTTGTATTGCTTAAACCTTCCGCCATCTTGATTCAAAATGGCGGCATATAAGGACGTAAAATATGTTATCTAGTCTGCATGATGGTCGCCTTAGGAGCATGGGAACGAGGGTCTTTAGGGACAAAGAGGCACGTGGGTCTTTAGAAATGGAATGGACGAAATGACATTGTCAGAACTAATTTTCGATTTCAGTGCACCGTAAAAGTAGTTAACGAAAAATTAACCATTTTGGAACGGGAACTCTGGAAGGCAAAGAAAAGGGTGAGTCCACTGTCAACCACAGTGAATACCGCCCGACAAGCCTGTTTCACGAGACTGCTGAAAGTTGAGGTTTAAGGATGGAGAAGGTATATTGTTTGCGGTGATATCGATAAACTGACCTTTGGATTTCAAGGCTCAAGGAATCCATTTCCTTATTTTATGTTTGTATTTTAACAAAAAAGGTCAAAGCCCGTGTCACCTATATCTTATCTATTCATATTGTTGAAGGAGGCCCAAGAACAGCGGTGGCAAACAGTCAAATCACGTAAATGGATACAGTAAAAATAACTTATTGTGACTGATCCTTAGCCACTTTCATTTATCACATACCCATTATTGTTGTCGAAACTTTGCCAAAATCAACTTTTTCAAATTTGGTAGCCTTGAAGCTGAAAGAGTCTGACAGCGGTTCAAATAACAAAAGATAGATCAAGACACAGTCTTGCCACAGCATATCAATGAAAAGAACTGAGGAAAACCTCGTGACTACACAGAGCAATTACTGCTGCAGCTCTGTCTGTTTCAAGTATCAATGAAATTTTGAAGTACATCTAAATTCTTGCCCCCAGAAGGCGCTAAATTTTTGGCCTTGAAAGCCCAAAACAAATTTTTCTCTTCGTTGTTCTAGGGAATATAGAAGAAAGGGGATGCAGACATTTATAAAAATTGTATTTTAAAGGCGTAGGCCATGGAAATGGGAGTGGCTATTGCTGTGCTCATTCAGATATTTCCCATGCATGTCCCACCCAAACGATAAGCAATACTTGAAAAATACAACAATTAAGGACAAATCCTTTGTCCTCTAAACCCTAGACGTTTCGATTCATAAGCCTCTCCTTGGCCTATAAACTATTAAAATAATTCTTTTTCCCCTACTTTTTGTGAAAAATTAAGAATAAATAATCCCAACTATCTAATTTGATGAAATATCTCCGCGAAATTGACTTAGTTCTTTTCGAATTTCCAAAGTCTATTAGGCCCAATCTCACCCACGAATATCTCATGTCCGTTCTTTGATACAGCCAAGTCGTGAGGTCTGGAGAATTCCTGTAAGAGAAGAGCATATTGTCAGAAACCGGCTTCAAATTTATCCACAATCTTGGCCACAGATAATGAGGTAAAAATTTAACAAACGCTGAATAGCATACTTGTAAAGCCCAATTTCTAATCATCCCTTCTTTTAAAGTTTGTGATATTCCTCTAAGGATATATTTGAGATGTGAAAACAGATCAAGGTTAAAAGGACAGAAGAAAGAATCTGTTCATTGTAGCAAATGCAGATCGAGTACTTCTAGGCCAAGATATGGAAACCTGAAAAACAGATTAGGAAGTTGACTGTAAACATCTAAAAAAGAAGGTTACCTACCGCCCATAGTGCAAGCTGATTGTTCTTGACGTCATAGGTGAAGCCTCTAGGAGATCTAGGACCAGAAGCACCATGAAGATTGCCATCTGAAAAGAAAATGGCGCCAATGAAAAATAAGAACAATGGACACAAATTCTTGATTGCCTAATGCATTTGTAAAGTAGGGGGCAGGGGCAAAGCAAGATTGGGCAAAAAAATCCAAGATATCTGATTGGCAATATGCTCTTTCAAAAGTCTCTTGGTAATATACACTTAAAACCAGGAAGGGTGGGTTAGGAGTTGATACTCTCTTAGATGTAGTGTGGACGAGTCTTCTCTAAGTGGGTATTGGCACTCGACAATTTTTCTATATTAAGGCTTTCAGGCAAACTTGGAGAATAATTTTTCAGTCTTACATGTTCGAGGACTTTTATTTTTAAAAATAAACTCATACATCAGGTCTAGTCAAATCTGATGTTTTTGGAAGTTGTGCAGTTTTGTCACCATCACCTTCCCTAAGATTATGACATGCATCGGGTACTGATAGAAAAAGCAGTAATTATATCCGGATGCGGGTTCAAAGTAGCGCAACCAGCCGAATGCGCCGTTCTTCTTCTCGCATTACTTTCGATCCACATCTAAACATAAACTGCTGCTTATATGTAGCCATAATTTGACGATTATACTCTGCAAAGTGTGGAACCATAAGTAGTTTAGGGCGAAGCTGAAGAATCCGGTCATGATTATACGACCAACCTCGTATCATACACGTCAAGGAGTTTTTGGACTGCATCAACGAATCACAGGTCGCCTAGGTTCAGGGAACGCTCTCCTACAAATATGACATAAAGTGAAGCATGATACCCATCCGCATTCTTCATGTCCGCTGTACTTTAGTGTGCTATGGAGCACAAAAGCAATTTTTGCGGCACTAAAAACTTTTTCGATAAATATTTTACAACACATGGCATTAGATGGAAGATTGTGACCAAGAGATGACTGAAACTAAGGTGCGATGGATAATATTTGGGTTGGATGAGGCAAAATAATTTCACAACAAATACCTTTAAAAGAAATGGCGTAAACTGTATCCCCAAAACCATCAGATATGACGCGAAGCAATTTTCCGGACAGCGCCCCAAAAACCAAGACCCTGCCATTCTCCCGATCAGCGACGTAAAGCTCTTGTTTTTCCTCGTCTAGGCTCACGCTGTGTGGAATTTTAAATGAGCGGGGGGAGAAGAAACCAGCTGAAATAGACAAAATGGTGCGAAATTAGAAAACTTACAAATACATTAAGATGCTACATTAACACCAATCAAGCCCCGATTAAGTAGTTCTCCATTCTAAAACTCTTATTTTACCCTTCTCCTTGCCATTTTCAATTATTTTACCTCAACATGCATCGCTTAGCGAAAGGCTGGGAAAGTTGCTTGTACGCCCTTTGCCGACAAAAGATATTAAGAGTGAGCATTTGGCAGGGGTGATGGGGAGGGGGGTTAGGATAACCCATGCGTAATTAATCAACCCGCATGCATAGGCACAACCATATACCCTGTAGACTAGAAATCAAAATCAAGCTGCAATAATTTATACCCCTAAAATACTGTAATAGCATTGCATATTAATATGGTGATACCTCCAGTAAGATAATTCTACAAAGGACTGACGCATTCAACCAACGGATAGCGCCAACCAATAGACATCCCTATATAAAATATCTGTAAAAATCACGTAGCAGTTATATTTGGTTGCAAAGAAAATGAGCCGAGATTTCTTGATGGTTTGTGAAATTTGTTGCCTGAATTTTAGCTTCTGAAGCTTTAGGCCTAATGAATGGCAGTTCTATAATAAACTTTTTGGAGTAGTTTACTAACATGTATCTGCCTTTCTCCTTCGCAGCTACTGTACATCCCTATTTAACGGATTCCTTTCAAAACCAGACAGCTCTCAATAACAGACTACTACTTCCAACGGACTAATTCAAATAAGCGACACCTCAAATTAACAGACACTTCGAAACCTCTTTTTACCGGACACACTCAATAACGGGGATCTAGAAACAAAGGACACCTCAAAACAACTAAGAAATGATTTTGCTCAAGAAATTACAACAATTTTGCACAAGTAAACATCAAGCGAAGGAAATCTCCTTACAACAGACAATAACCACGAGGTGTCCACAGTAACGTTTCACTGCAAAATGTACATATGGTTTTCTTTATGTTTTCCTACTTAGCCTATCCTAGTATGGCTAGCAACAATGTTAACTTAAGAATTGACAAACCCATTAGCAAGAGTAAATATAGGTGAGATTCTTCCTTTCGCTTTACTTAACCTATGCTGTTCAAATTGTTCATTGCTTCATTGATCTCATATTGACAAGTGCCTCAAAACGTACAAATTTGAAGCAATGAAAATTACTGTTGTACCATTCTGTTACAAAGTACTCGATAAAGGCAGATCTGTACACGCTTTTGTGCGCAGAACAGGACGGTTCTAAGTTGCTACTCTGAGTTTCATGCTTGATGAGATTATCCGGCAACCCATCCTGTTTTATACAAAGCGTATATTTGAATCACTGCAAATTTTAAAAAACAAAAACTTCTTTATTGATCCACTTCATGTATCAACTTTAAAAAATCGAATTTAAGGGCTTATTTATATGGGCACATTTATCCCACCTATCAGTCCATGATCTGGCATGTAGGGGAAATCATCGAATGTTTACAAATAGATTCTATCCCACCTTCCAGCTGTATATGGAGAGAATCATCCCACCTTTCAGCCTGTGTGCTGACAAGTGGGACGAAAATTGACCCCCTTTCTATGAATATTTCATCCCATCTTTCAGCTTCATCCCACCTTCCAGCGTTTATATGGAAAAAATTTATCCCACCTCAGTGAGATCCCACCTCTCATGCAGTGGGATCTCACTTAACCGGGCTGGCTTGTTTTCCATATAAACGCAATCTCAGCTCACAGGCTGGAAGGTGGGATGATTTTCTCCATATAAACAGGCCCTAAGAATCTTCAATGTATAGTTATTAGAGAATAGAAGGAATCAGTTGCCAGACGAAAGAGCAATGTGACACAACAAAGTAATCTTGTTGTGATTAACAAATCCTCTCAACTCACGTGATTTTGCCAACGTTTTGTCATTGATTTCCAGTAACATCTGACCACGGGCCGAAAACATCAATATTCGACTGTTACAGTAGCTGCGAAGGAGAAAGGCAGATACATGTTAGTAAACTACTCCAAGAAGTTTATTATAGAACTGCCATTCATTAGGCCTAAAGCTTCAGAAGCTAAAATTCAGGCAACAAATTTCACAAACCATCAAGAAATCTCGGCTCACATTCTTTGCAACCAAATATAACTGCTACGTGATGTTTTACAGATATTTTACATTTAAAATCATAAACATTAATGCAAATATAAGGAAAAAGGTCGCATCAATTCATTAATTGAAACGTGAAGCTTTCAAAACAAGGCCAAAATATATCAGCATTCGAAACTTCATTTCCAGACACACCATAGCTACATTTGTTGCAATCCTTATTTGAAAAACCAATCTCAAAAAATTTCCTCTCGTCTAGACAAATAAATGACCCAAAACCACACTGATAAAAATGAGATTTAAAGATGTTTTTTGAGACACTTCCTTGTAAAATGTCTAGCATTGACAACTGAGAATCGCTTGGAACAAATTCTTACAGACCATCAAAAATAATCCTTTCAAAACACTTTTACCTATTGCAAAACAGGCCTACGGATCAGAAGAACAAAAGTAAAAGGGACCTGGGTTCGATAAGAGGCTTAAAGAGACCTGGGTTCTAATCCAAGTACTAGTGGCTTGCGCCAGGAGAAGCAGGAATATGTTTTTCGGGTAATCGGCGAATTGACGAATTGACACGCTTTCATGAACGGGATTCGGGAATCGATAACCTGGATTCGGGAATTGTTGATCGGGAATCGCGAATCGGGCTAAAAACGTAACGGGATTTCAGGAATCGGGAAACCTATTAGGTAAACCCCCCCCCCCCACCCCCCAGGAGAACATGGATTTAACGGCAAATTGTGACCTTCTCCTGAGTAGTGCAAGCCTTTCACAACAGAAAAAAGCTTCTAGATTACTTGTTCACAATGCGCTTAATATTGGATAGCCCAGATCTTATAGTGAGAAAGTATATAGTGTATTAGGCCATTCAATCTGCCAAAGTCGGTAACTTCATATGTAAGATTAAATGTGGCTTATGAATGATACTTATACATTCGGTAAAAATCTCAATAAAATCATTTCTTGGCCTTATAACTGGATGTATGTAATTTCCAAGCCATGCTCAAATACCGGCTGTTTTATCCAGCTTAAAATGTCGGCCATATTGCACGAGAAAGCAAAGAATTCTTAATGTTTTGGCTAACGTAGAGCATGTTCATAGCTTTAATTAAGAGAATTAAGGATTAATCGGAATGTTTCTTTAACTCAAGTAAGAATATGCAACTGTCAACATTGGAAATCCGAGAATTTAGGAAAGGTGGCGGTCGCACAGGCGAAGGTGAACAATCCGGTTCGGATAATCCGATTAATCTCGTGTCATACATGTCGAGGAGTTTTTTGACTGCATCAACGAATCACAGATCACCTAGGGTCAGGAAACACTCTCCCAAGAATATGACATCTAGCAAAACATGATACCTCTCCGGATTCTTCATGACCACAGGTCGCACAACTAACTAAAGAACACTCGAGCCTAAAACTATCTTAAAAATAAGAAAATCATCCCATCAAGGCAAAAATTATCTGGTTCTTATGCAAAAGTGTAGTTACTCACCCATCAGCAACGTACAGAACTCCCGATCGGTCCACGGCAACATCTGTAGGCTTGCAAAAATGTTTTGAATCGCTGCCAGGAACGCCAGCTTTGCCAAGAGTAAGAAGAGGCTTCTTGCTTTTAATTAAGTCGAACTTGAAGACCTGTTAGGGAGAAAACGTGATTAGAAGAATGCGTTAGTGTTGGAAAAAGCTAGTTCTTATTAACGGCAAAAGCTGAGTTCAAGAATTGTTCAAGGTGAAGAGGAACGACTGGCAAGAGGGTGAAAGCTAGGCCTATATTGATGACAATTATATACGTCTATATCTACATGAAACAGTGAAAAATAACGTTTTACCGGTCTGTCATGTAGAGGTAGATGCCGTAAAGAAGACGATCGCATTAAGCGTGATACTCGCGGTTGCAACTTAGCACCGTCCTGTTCTATACACAAAAGCGTCTACATGAAAGACTACACAGGGACTGATAGGCATTTCTTGTAGGGGATTTTATATCCAACTTTTATATTATGAAATTTTATATATTTAGGCCAGTCCATCATGCAGTAGGACGACCACTGGGTATTGCAGATTTTGAGCATGCGCTGCCCCTGATAAATCATTTGTAATCTCTCGGGGTTCCTAATTTATGCTAAATTATGTTACATTCTCCTTACACTGAAGATTATTCATTTGGAGATAGCTTGAGTTTCAAATTTACAAATAATGACTTGTAAGCGGTGTCATAGTTGAAAGGCAGAATGATTTAAGAGAGATATCTCGAAGCTTCTTGATCTTTTGAGATTATGTTTCAAAGTAAATTGGGCTTGGTCAGTTTCAGTCAATCATAATTGTGAGAAATATGACCTTAGCTTTTCTGGTAAATATATCACGCACAAAACCACGATCGAAGCCTGGGTTAGAAAATGAATGAGATCCCTGGAAAAAGGTTTGCTAGAGAATTGGTCCTAAAAGAAAATCTTGAAAAACACACTCGGTCCCAGGTAATCAAGGGATGAAGTGGCTTTGTATCGATTTGCACTGAGAGCAGCAAATATTTCAATTTGGGACAGGCTCTTGTTGTTAACTTGTGGGACCTGGTCTGATTGGCTTATAGGAGAATACAGGCCGTATGTACCGTGAAGGTTTGAAATAGCCCTTAGAACAATAGAGATTGCTATTCAAGCCAACTAGATTGAAGCTTGAGAAAAATCATACAAAGAAGGAAAGAAACGAAGCAAAGGTGGTTTTTGTCATTTCTAGTCTTTTGGTAGGCCGTTGTCTATTTACAAAACTTTTCAATCGTATTATTTAGAACCAGTACTACGGATTTCGCAATACCATCAAACAAACGCATTGTATAAAGTAGACCAATAAACGAACCTGATGCGAGCCGACATCTGTAACCCAAATGTTACTAGCGTGGTCAACAGTTAATCCATGTGGCATATAAAACCTGAAAGGAAACATACAATGGACTAAGTAATTTACAAGCTTCTGCATTAACATCATCACAAGACAGTTTCACACCACACAGGACGTTCCAAAAATTTGCTAGATATTGTGATTCACACCTCAGACTCTTTTTGTTTAAGTTCTCTATATAGAATTTCAAACTTCTTTTTCTCATAAAACCAACATTGTGAGAGTTTGAAAGGTTATAATTGTAACTTGAATGGATTTTTTGTCCTATATCGAAAACTGGTAGGGACCAAAATCTTCATTTAGGCCAGAGGGCGATGTTTTGAATAGTTTTCAAAACGAAGCTGCTTAATTGAATCAGTGTATTGCTCTTCGAATGGAATCAAATGGAATGAAATCAAAGAATGCAATGTTTCGAATAATTATTAAAAAATTTATCGCGGTCTGCATAAAAGGTAAGGCACACCTAAATTTTACTGAAACGAGGTAATCTTACGATTCGATTTCGAGGCCATCTACTGATGGTTGGGCTAACAAAAGCTGGCTCAGAGCTGAGTGGTATTTGAGCTGTTTCATTACTTTTCTTATTTTATGTTGCATTTTTATACATTTAGCGATATGTTTAAATTAAGAGTATTAATTGTGTTCGGTTTTTGCCCACGAACATCAGTTTTTCGTTATAATTTCAGCTTTTCATCAGCTTGTATTTTTTTCTGCATTATTTCCTGGACCGCCGAGAGGGGGACAAGGGGGCAAATTGCTCTGGGACCACGAGGTCTCATAAAGTAATGAATATCGCTTTAACATGGTAAAAAATCTTGAGCGAATGAATGAATTTAAGCTATTCTAAAGGGCGTGGTCGCAAAAATGTTCTGCTCGCATCACTCGCAAGGGGCCTCGACTTTTGCTTTTGCCCGAGGGCCTCCAAAACCTCTCGGGGGCACTGATTATTGCGGATACATGTTAATGCTGCATTTTAATTTGCACTGGTGTCAACGTTTTGACATCATGTTAATTTATTACCACGCTTACTCATGACGCCTTAATTCAATACATTAAATACAATACAGATCTTGTTAATATCGTGTCTTACGGCATAAACCAGTTTACTATCAACTTACAGTATCGGGTCAAGTAAGTAAGGCAAAGAAAAAACCCTTAACTCCTGGCACTGCCACGCAAAAACTTCTTGTAAATAAATTGACGATGCTATCTCAGAGAAAGGCGAATACAAGTACTGATATACTTAAGAAGGGAGGACTGCAGTAGAAGTGGCCATTAAAAGCAGACTTTACGAATATAAAAATAAATCTTTATCTAAGGGAGGCTGACTCTAAAATATCCTCCCATTGGAAACATCATTGATTCTTTACGTAAAAATCACGAGGTGTTTAACTTATCGAGACGGAAGCACTTGCTCATAAAAGTTCTTACCGCCAAAGTCACAAGAAAAATTAGGTAAACTTGGTACAAACAAACTCACATGTTCTTCCCCCAGGTCATCAGCCATCGTGTCTTCCTTGATTGGTCCTGGATTCCCTTGCAAAGTATTGTTATTGTTGAAGGTGCTGGAAAGCAACGGTTTTGAAGGGTCAAGGAGAAGGATACAACAGTGGGTAACATAATTGTATGTTTTGTGTAATATCGGCAGCGTCAAGCGAGAAAAATAAATCTAAGGACATAGTTGAAAAATGAATAAACTAATAGATATCGAAGCAAAATAAAAAAATTTGTGACATGGATGAACATTGTCTTGCTGTCATTGACTCATGCTTCTGTTATTGTCCTCAACTCCATTAAGAGACCACCGCGGAAGCGGGGGGGGGGGGGGCTGGGGGGCCCCCCAATAATTTTCAAAATGCACTTAAAACAATTCGCCTTGTTCTTGGTTTTTATCATGTTAAGCCCCCTAAACGTTTTAGCCGCCTTAATCTGTAGTATTATCCGTGGTCCTTGACTCTAGCTATTAGCTACCTTGTCTACCCTACATTACAACATCACGTTAAAAAAGGGTAATATTTATGATGCGAGCGGCTTGCATATAACGAAACAATTGAAAAGGATTAAGTCACAGCTACAGCACAGAAAACATGTAGTTAATAAAAGTCGTTTGTGATTTTAAGAGAAAGTCTGTAGAAACAGTAAACGTAATGTCAACAAACTGGCCGATAAATAAACATTTTACACAGTAGAAACCCCTATGTATCATAATCTACTTAATATCATTGTAAGAAAATTGATAAATTTTTTCTTATTTAACATTAATCAATTACATAGTATAGACACTAAGAAAATAGTAAATTAAATACATTGTCTTTCACTAGAAGAGGTTCATGTTTGATGAACATTCTCCATTTTGGTCTGCTTTAGGCATGTTGTAAAAGAAAGAATGGCTTTTTCCAAAAATAAATATCATACCAAAATCTAAATGATCGTCTGAAGATTATTATGTTTACAAGGTAGAATATAGCTTAACGTGGAAACAATTACTCTATTTTTGCCACAATGAACCTATGATATTGATTTTTGCCCTTCAGTGCGATTAAAAAGCAGTATGATTAAGTTTGGAAACGTTTAGAAAAAAAGGCAAAAATCCACATAAATTAATAACGAAAACATGACTGTATATGTTACCTTCCATCCCATGTGCGGCCAGCGCGATGAAATACCACTACAAATCCTTTGTTATCGACAGCAAGGCCACTTATCTGACCAAAATTTTGCTCTTTTGCCCAGTCAGGAATCAAACGGTACAAGGGCTTGTCTTTGTCGCCGTTCGTTTCATTCTCTAAAAATATTTGTAATTATTTAATTGACTGACTTTTCATTAAAAAAGCATCCTCTTAAACAAATTTTTAGCTATTGCCTAGCTATTGCCTGTTTCTCCAGACTACTATTGCCAATTAACATCGATAAAGAATTGCAAGATTCATACTGAAATGAAATCCTGACTTAGGACAACCAGTGATTCAAATACTAAAACTGTTAAAGAGCTGCCTTCAGATTCGTTTCCCGATCAATGAAGATCTCTTATTGAGCAAGCACACTTCTGTTGATACAACGATTGAAATAGAAAGGTTCATTGGGAAAAAGAAAGAAAAGAAAAATTCCGAATACAAATCTCCGAAAATTCGCAGTACTAAAATTTTCGTAATTTTTACAAGAATTGAGTAGAAAAGCTTCTCTTAATTGTTGTTTTTTCAATTTTGGAGAGGTAGAAAATCGTAAAAGTCAGCAGATTCACTCCATTGCGATGTTGCTGAAATGTTCTGCGTGATAAAGAAGAATCAAAAGTTTGGTATGCGTAGCGGAAAGGATTTTTTGATTATATTTTTCTTGTTGTATTTTGAGGCAAAGGCACAACCGAACACACTTTTAACAAAACCGTACACAAAAAGTCGAAGGATCTACTCGTGGGTAAAAAAACGAAAAATGCCTCCCAACATAACAAAGGCTTACGGAATAATTTTCTTCTCGGGCACACATATCAATGTAAAAAAAATTTGATGAAATAATATAACGACTTTGTACAAGAAATGAATATTTGTACAAAGTCGTTTTTCTATTTTATGAAATTTTGTTCATTTTTGACGAACAACACGCACAACTTGATTGAATATCAATGTAAAACTTTCTTAGCCAGCAACGGCAGTCCCAAAAGTGAGTATAAAAGTTAAACAATGAACAAAAAGCTGACAGAAATTGGAAATCAAGGGACTGATTGGTTCCCTGTTTTGGCCAATTAGCGACCGCTAGGCCTTCTCGTGGTTGAAGAGTCTCATGAAGTTTAACACGATACGTTCCTATATTCAAGTACTCCACGTAAAAAGTCGGTTCTGGTTAAAATAACAGAGAACTATTCTTCATCACAGGCAAAACAGAGAAATTGGATAAACCGTTGCACAAACAGGGGCCAAACTTGGACAACTTTGAATTATCAGGCATTGAAATTATCAGTCTTGACTCTAGAATAATTATTGAGAACGGCATCGTGGCCGGGGTTAATTGATAGCAATCACGTTAAGGGAAGATTTCTGCAAAAAGCCACAAGAAAATTTCAGAGCCACGCCATTTACCTTGTTTTAAGGGTATGTCGTAAACATGCCGGGCATCGAGGGCACACGAACAATGTTGTATTATGATAAAATTATCCCAGGAAATGAAGCCCCGTCAGTATTAGTTGCAAAACATCAGTTATTTTTGAAGTTGATTCATTGGTAGCTCATAGTTCTGATAAGGAAGAAAAAGCTCTAAGGTAAAACCATAGAATAAGTTTCTGTTTTGTGACACAAATGATGCAAAAAATAATACAACATTGATGACAAATTTGCTCAATTCCCTTCACTATGCTATTGAGGTAGATACGTTGCCTACTGCTGACAAAAATTTAGTTGGAAATAAAATAATAAGGAGACTGGGCCCTAGTGACGTCATTGCAGTTCATTGTAAAGCCAGTCAAACAAAAAACAACTTTATTTCATATTTCAAGCCAATGACTGCTGTTTTACAAATGTACGTTCGTTCACATTTGCTCATTGCTATTTGCCTGGTAGTCGCATTAAGCGTGAAATTAGGGAGAGCAACTAAAACAGGCCTGTTTTACCAAAGCATGTACTACATTACCGATGCAAGGCCAGGGTTCAGTCTTATGTTGGGGCGTGTTGTCTTCTTTGGTAGGATCATTATTCTATATTATAGAAGCAAAACGGTATTCGCTACAGATCTATAACACAAAACGCTTTAGCATGACGTTTCGCACCCCCTGTCGAATTGAAATTTCCTTTATTTTGCAAGCACTTGAAATCAACCATTTTCTACGGCTTATATGCTCAGTCAAGGCGACAATCGGTTGCTTTGGAATCTTCAACGGGCGATTTCTGAAGGTAAATATACAACTATATATGATTCTTTGAAAATACTTTTTTCTCAGACAACTTTAGCATGTGGTTTTCGTACAACGTCTGGGTCACTCACTTCCTTTTCACGATCTTTAATTTAACAAAGTAATTTCTCATTCACGTGTGCTTAATGCGGTTATGACTTCGTTTAAAAAAGATTCAAAGAAATTCCTAAAGACATTTGACATGCATAGGTACAGCAAATCCAGAAATAACTTAGATCAAAATAATCAGAGCATTGACATTGCCAAAGACAGTGATAAAAAAATGGCCACTCGAAGGTTCCAACATCATGCAAATATACACGTTTTGAAATGCACAAATAATATCCAAAAGGAGAGAACAGATTTGATCCGTTATTGCAACTTGGTAAGAAAACAAAGAAGTGTCCACAGTCTACCTCACAAAATGATCTTAAGGTTTCGATTAGGTAAACTGAAGTTCTATACCTGGGGGGCCGCCCTAAAATGTAAGGAGCGGGCTATGCTGTAAGCAAAACTTAGAAGTCACATCCATAATCACATTCAATATATTTGCATTTGTGTTGAAGATTCTCTGTCGCGTACCCAACAAATTCATTCAAACTATTCGCTGACCCAACAAAGACTGATAGGAAATTGCAAATTCACGAAAAATAGAACGGGTTACCATCACCGAATTCCTCCAAACCTGTGTGCGTTTGTTAAGGGCACCAAAAAACATCCTTGAATGAAATTAACAAGGGGACTGAGCCCCCAAGACCCCTCCCCAGCACCCCTGTTTAACACTTAATTTTAGTCAACAAGCTGGATTATTAATCGGAGCGGTTAGCGTACAGGAATTATATTGCTGGTGTTTGTAAGGGTGTGGTATAGCTGACTAATTTCCGCTCGGAATTACAACGGTCAACGATTTTTTAAAGAAAAAGAATTCAAGTTGGAAAGAGTTGATGTTAAAGTTAATCGTGAGGCGGTGGAAGATAGTAAATCTAAAGACAATCTGCATGCAAAAACAGTGTCTAGTGTTTGCAATTTTATATCAAAAGCTTGAAATATGGAGGAATATTAAATCGTGAATATTAGGATATTTGCATGATCGATAAATATGAACTTATCATCAACGTATAATTAACCTGGTGCAAAAGAGAACCATAGTTACACCTCGCAATAAAACAACGTTTGTCACCAATTGCCGAATGATGCTCCAGAAAAGAACGAAAACAGTCGATTACATGTTAGTTGTGAGTTAAGTATGTTAATACCAACACCATTTGTAAATGGCTAAACAGTTCTACCGCTAACATTAGTGTTAAATGGCTCAAATAAAGAGGTTAAGTGTCCTAAGACAAAGAATTCTTTCTGCTTCGAAGAAGTGCTTCTATCCAAAAACATGTGCACGACCTTAAAGACAAAACAAAGTGCAGCTTAGCCTCCATTTGGCTAGTGTCTAACTTTAAACGAGGCACGATGACATGGAGTTAGCTATGTGAAATGTGCGTGTTATAGTGTTAGTTGAATTCGTTAGAGTCAGTCGTGCATAATACTATCAGGCCTTGTGGCATCGGATTTTATAATCATTGGCGTCACATTAGGGAAATTATCAAGCGTGCACGAGAAACATACAACATGAGAAAGAGCGGAGTGAATTCTGTTGGCTTTTTCGAATCTGAAATCTTCTCACGAAACATTGTGGTTAGCATTTCAAAAATCATACCGTTAATTGTAAAATTCAAGTTGAAAAACCAATGACGCAATAGTTCTGTCTTTCCGTTTCCATTATCTTCACAAGAGAATCACAGAGGTGTTTTCTCTCTTTCATATCACTGACAAGGGCTCAGATATTCAATTCACTTCAATTACTTAAAGTCAATTCAATTCAATATACAGAATGACGTCATTTGAAAACTGGGGACAAAGGTGTCAAAGCAGGGAGATACTGGTGATGTCATTTGATCAGCAAGGAAACGAAATTGCAAATGAGACCGAAATTTTCTTATGCTCTGATTTTTAAAGGGTGAGCATTATGGCATAATTGATATCAACAGAAGAAGAAAGGAATTACTTTTTCAGTCCCCTCCTAAAGGGTAACCACGCCTAGAGGCTTCCCTGTGTTAGAACTACATGGGAAAAGAGTAAGTGTTAAGTAGTTTTGTTACAGAATTTTTTAAAGGCTGTGTAAGTCTCAATCACTTACCCCCTTGAGACTTGTCCAGTTGATCAGATCCCTTGGGAAACTTCATGTTATCATCCAAACCACCCCATCTGCACATGCCAGGGGGTTCGTTAGGATACTTGTCGGAATCATAGAAGAACATGATGTAGAAATTGCACATCTCATCGTTCATGGTCGCTCTAGGGAACAAAATAAAGGGTTAATATATAATCATACTAAAAAAACAATAAAAATATTGCATTGTTTGCCACCTAGCTTCCGAAGGCAGTTTTTAGGGAAACACTGAGAAACACGCGTTCTGGTCCTCCCCTTCGGTGTGATCACACCGAGTGATTCCTATACCTGGAATTACAGAGAGCTGGCGACCCCCCTTACTCTGAGGGAAATTTTGGTCATGCCAGGGACTCATACAACTGAACCCATTAAATATTTGCTAAACAGCAAAATCAAATTGCTAAAGAAAGTGATGAAAATATTGAATAGATCAGTGTAAACCTGCACAATCATTCGATGCTTTTGGTTTTACTATATCACTGGCCACTTGTGGTGTGCATTAGTGGGGTAATAAGTCTCAGTTCTAGAAAAATCACAACTTTGTTTTTTTACAGAAAACATAAAATACTGTTTTAGGGGCAATTTCTAAGGGGGAAGTTGCACCCCTAGTCCTCATTTTTAGTTATGAACCAAATGATCCAGGAATCTATGATTTTATGATCTACGGTCTATTAATCTATGATCTACATACAATCTATGACCTATGATCTATGATTTAATGATCCACGGTCTATAAATCTATGATCTATGATCTATGATCTATGATCTATGATCTATGATCTATGATCTATGATCTATGATCTATGATCTACGGTCTATAAATCTATGATCTATGATCTATGATTTAATGATCCACGGTCTATTAATCTATGATTTAATGATCTATGATCTATGATCTATGATCTATGATCTATGATCTATGATCTATGATTTAATGATCCACGGTCTATAAATCTATGATCTATGATCTATGATCTATGATCTACGGTCTATAAATCTATGATCTATGATCTATGATCTATGATCTATGATCTATGATCCATGATCTATGCTCTATGATCTATGATCTATGATTTAATGATCCACGGTCTATTAATCTATGATCCATGATCTATGATCTATGATCCATGATCCATGATCCATGATCTATGCTCTATGATCTATGATCTATGATCTATGATCTATGATCTACGGTCTATAAATCTATGATCTATGATCTATGATCTTTGATCTATGATCTATGATTTAATGATCTATGATCTATGATCTATGATCTTATGATCTACGGTCTATAAATCTATGATTTATGATTTATGATCTTTGATCTATGATCTATGATCTATGATCTATGATCTATGATCTATGATCTATGATCTACGATCTATGATCTATGATCTATGATTTATGATCTATGATCTTATGATCTACGGTCTATTAATTTATGATCTAGGATTCATGAATGATCTACAACTTTTAGCTATGAATCCATTAAGATATACACAGCGTCTTAGGTCGATTCAAAGAGAGTACAAACACGATTCAAAGAGAGCTCTTACCCAATTTTCGTAGAAACGTCTTTCTTCATTGTGTTGTAGGTACATCTTGCCTCCTATAAAAATGAATTTTGACTACAATTAATTACAATCAAACCGTTTTTTTGGCGGTACAAAATTTATAAAACGCTTCTCTATTTACAATGTCTACAGAAGGGTGATTTGTTTTGAATAAAATAAATCAGCACTTTTTAAAAATTCATTCCAGACAGACACTACATTTAACAGAACTTCCAATACTACGCCACAAAATTCAACCTTTGCACTATAACCCGAACTTGATAGAGAAAATATTGTACTTTAATTACTGGAGCTTTTTAAGGCAATTGTCGAAATGTTGTAATACACTCTTCGTTTCAGATCAATATCAGTTTGCTAGTATCATAACAATTAGCATGTTTACTCGAATTATGATCTTTGAAAGATGCAAACATTTTAGTGTTAGCATGACTGTCAAGGTGCTGGCATTTCTAAATGGATTATTTCGATCCACAACTGGGTCGATAAATAGCCTAGCTTAAAGTTGTCAATCAATGTTCTTAAGTTTTGTACTTTGAAGAGTTTCAGACGAAAATATTTTGAAAATCACAAAACTTGCTCTTTTCAAAGCCATTTAGAAATTGTGTAGATACACCAAAAAATTTCTGAGAAATATGGTCCTTAATCCGTAGATGGCAAGTACTTATCAAAACAAGGCCTCAAACTGAATTGGAAAAATTATCCTGACAGGAATTTGAGAATGATCCCCCTTGCGAAGAGCAATTGTCAACATTCTAGTAAGTCTACAGGTGATTATAAAAACTTCGACAAGAGCATTTGTGGGCAAAAAGTTGAAGGATTTTGAAGCCAGAGTAATCTGCAAATGAGGAATTAGCAATCTAATAGCCAAATTTCCTCAAAATGCTGGATTTCGAAGCCAAAATAGAGTTTTGAGGTGGTGATGAATATCTGAAAAATTATGACTGTGGCTAGTTCATAGAATTTTACTGATTTTGCGGATAAATTACGACAATTTCAGCAAATAACTCACCAGGTGATCACCTTGTCTGATCGTCATTTCTTTATCAAGCGAGTAGAAAGCCTAAAGGTGATATAAGTTTAAAGAGCGAGGGAGGAAAATTGACCATCTCGGAGTTCGCGACACCATGGCACAAGTCGGGCAAAAACCGCAATAAATAGAATGGCGGCTTATATCATCGAGATTAGTGATTTTATCTGTAGAATTTATCTGTAGCTCAAACAAGGTCCGTTGCAAATCAACGAAATTCAGATTTTTTATGCGAAAAGTATTTTTCTATATTCTAAAGAAGTTTTACGGCCAAAAAAGTGGAAGAGCACTTTCTATCCACCATGAATTATTCCCCACCTGGGGGATTGGAACTAGCTTTAGAACTCCGATGGATTTCCATCATGGCGACGCGAACTCCGTATAAAAAGTCTTTATTGATGATAATCTAAATAAGATAGTAGGTTACTGCTTTAACAGCAGGATATATCAACACAGTGTTTAACAAAGATTCATTCATAACTTTAGCCACGAATCTGTTATCCCACTCTATATATATGCTATGGGATAATCGTTTTTTGATGAGGGAAAAATCCTTCTTTTTGTAGGAGAATTTGAAAAGGCTATCTTACCCTAAGACAAAACGCTGGAAAGTAGGACTGCCCCAAAATGATAAAACGGAGGCTCAATAAACCAGGTTATAGTGATATTTCAAGGTGGCAATATTAATTGCTTTACTGTTTTCGAAGAATAAATTTACGTTGTCTAATATTTATGGCACCTTGAATGGTAAAAAAATGGGGTTTGCGTAGATAGAACATAATAGCGCACCATGTCCATAAACACTCAAATTTCACATACATCTATTCACAGAAATGAAGGGCTAAAATCATAACTTTTAATTTAAAATCAAATTGTACAAAGGAAGAAAGAGCTAATTACATAACTTTGGTTTAATTGAACGTTTACGGCGAAGAAAAATTACCTGCGGCCTCTGGGGATTTTCCTTCCTAATTAACATCCATTTCTTGTTTCGGATACGATATCCACTCACAACAGTTGCTAGAAAAGAAAGGTAGGTGAAGTTAACAAATGCAGATTGTGTTAAAGTTACCAATTAGATCATATTCGCATATCATTGTAAAATAAATACATTTATTTTATAAGAAATTAAGCCAAAGAATGGAACCCAGTTTCTTAATATTTTGTTAATTTTAGTGCTAAAAGTTTTTTAAAGGTTTCCTTAATAGCAAAAGCTAAAGAGCTAATTTTAGAAACACAAAAACATGACATTAGATAACATTAAATGGAGTACGATGTGTGACGTCATCAACAATATTTTCTTAATTTTTTTAAAATTTGACCACGTAATCTGAAAGAACGTCATAAAATACCTCTAGATATGCAAAATCTGTTAGATGTGTTCAAAATTGGGCGAGTTATGGCCAAAAAAAGATTTCAAGTTAGTGTTATTCTGGCTGGTTCACGAAATTTTGAACCAAGACCAAATTAGAAAGGTTTTATGGGGCAAGAGCCTATGCTCATGTGGCCATATCTCAGCCAATTTGAAACACATCAAACTTATTTTGCATATTTAGAAGTATTTCACGATGCTCCTTCGGAATATAGGGTCAAAATTGCAAACTTTTAGTAAAGGGTAGGTTTTTGTGACGTCATCACTTTTTGTGACGGTACTTTATAGAACACACAATAAGACACAAGGAGCTCTTCTTTCTGTTTATCCCAATGCTAATTAAACAGGAAAAAGGTGCCCAATTGTTGAGAATAACACTTAACAACCCATCTTTAAAAGAAGGATTTTGGACAGGTTCTTCATGCTGAGGTGGATGACACCCAGGCCGTCCCTTGTTCTCACAATCTTCTCATGGATGGAATATAGGCCAGAAAGAGGATTGGCTCTTGTTCTGGACTTTGTTAAAAAAGGATAATGTTTAAGAAGTTAAGAAAGATAATGGTTTTTCGTTGCATACTTACACAAATGGTGAGCATGAACTCTGACAGCGAAGGGATACAAAGTGGCTTGTCCCTCGTATGGGCAACCAGTGTCAAGATGCCATTCTTAAACGAGAAATACATTTTTTAATCAGATAGATAAATAAACGATTAATCAAAATTACTGTTTACCAGTCTGTCATATATGTAGTACTCGTAACGACATAGATTTGCACGCTTTGGTCTCTAGAACAGGAAGGATCTGAGTCGAAACTACTAGTTTCACGCTTAAAGGCTCTTGGACAACCGGCATGCTTTGAGACTAAAATTCAAAGAACCGGCCTAATATCGTACTGCATGAAAATACAAAACACAGTCAATTTCTCAAGACAACTACCGCTAAGCATGACCAAAGGTTTAAGGAAATGGATGTCCAATTGCAGATGGAAAGTGAGAAGAAAAATAATCATTTGAATAGTTACTTTTTTGTCACTAGGCCGACAATTTTAAAATCATCTGCAAAATACTGAGGCTCGTAAAGCAGCTATAGAGCATGAATTAAAATTGTTACTCACTTTTTTCATGAGGTGGAATGCTTGCAAAACCTTCAGCCAGAATGAAGATTCCAGCGTGTAATGTCAGCCTAAAGGACAAGAAAGAATGCGTCATCAGCGACAGCAATTAAAACATTTCGCCTCATTTTGCTTCTCAAATTAAAAGCAAAACAAAATACAATTTGATTTAAAATCAGATTCTCAATAAACAAGCTAGCAATTGAATAAATATGTAAAAAAGTCCAGCTGTGTTTTAATCAACTTTCATAAGAGAATTGATAAAATTTTATCTTTAAGTTTAATCATATTTAAATTACAAGGATTCTATTTAATTTTGTTATCAATAATAGCTTTACGGACAAGTTCTTAAAAGGGCCGAAATAAAAAGTTTATTATCAAGAGATCGAAAAACAAGAAACTTATTGCAAGTTAAAGAGCCCTAGGGAGAGCTTTTTCAAGATCACAGAAGGTTGGTGATTGAAAGATATTCTCATGGGTCTGCTGGTTATGGGGAAGGTATTCCAATCTATATATTATTGAAAGGAAATTAACTAAAGTATTAAAAGTCAACCCAAATGATTCGTCTTTTAAATGACAAAATGTAGAAAGATAATCTCATGGGCCTGCAAACTATTCCAAGAATTTCTAAATCCATGATTCTTAGATCAACAATAGTTTTAAACGGAGATGAGAATATTTCACCAAACGCTATCGCAAAAAAACTGAAAAAGTTTCAAACGCCTGGAAATAATTACATAAATTTTCAAAGTTCTTGTAAAAATATAGAAGGTAATAACAAAATGAACAATTAAAGCACAATAAATTGAAGGTGATGAGCCCTGGGCAAGTTCAGCAGCTCTTTACAAAAACGCTTCTCTTTAATAATTAATGAAATACCTAACAGTGCGAAAGATAATGGTCTGTAATGAATTCACAGAAGGCAGGATTTTCTTTTTTGAGAAAAAAGCTAATTTTGACCCATTCAAGCAGCGAGTTAAATGACAGGCAGGTATATCAGGGGGGATGAAGAAGAAGTTTGCTGTTAAACAACGAGTCTAGTTTCAGATAGGAAAGAGAATGGAACTTTTTGAACAAAACGGCTTACTTTCTTTTGGTTACATCCATGGCAACACCAGAATAATCTTTTAGATTCGTTCCTGCAAAAGAACGGAATCATTGTCAAACGGATTTTGCACAATTTTCATTTCTACGCAGATTTTAAACGCCTTGTCTAAAAAACTTTCATCGGGATAAACGTTCAAGGGATAAAATTTTCAATCCTAGCATTTAAACGTTTCTACATTTAAGTTTACCAAAACTATGGTATTGAACTAAACATGATATTGAGGCTTACTGACATAAATCGTTTTTAGTCCTTCTTAATCGCACTTTGTCCTACATAATCGCATGTTGAGATCATATAGATCATATGGCCAATTTCGAAGTAAACTCAGCTAAGTACAGAGTACAAAGTACAACCTTTTCAGGATTGTTTATATTGAAAAGGGATTAAAACAGAAATCGCTGTTTTTTCATAAAATAACCTTGAAAACTTGAAATAAGATGAAATATTAAGTAACCACCTGGTAGAAAATATCATCACAAAATATTTTGAGTACAAAAACATGAAAATTGCATTTGATTTTGAGAAGGTAAATGCGACGATCAACTCAATGGGATTAATGAGGGCTTAACATACCAACAAACTTGTCGACTTTCCCGTAATGAACTTGTAAAACAAGATATTTGATCTTCGTTGAAGGTCCAACTTTAAAACCAACATCTGCAAGATTGGGAATGATTGAAAACGAATTATTTTCCGCATTTATTAATAAAATCTTAATCGAAAATTCATCTCAAATACATTGATTATTAACATCCATATTATTTGCCATAATCAGTGGCGGACACTTGGGGGGCGAGGGGGGGGCGACCGCCCCCCCCAATACTTTAGAGAATAATGGTCTTTTGTTCTAAAACAATGGGAAATGTGACGTCATCTTATTAAAACAATAGGCTTGCTTCCCCAATATTTGACCAAGTGTCCGCCACTGGCCATAATACAAACATTTCCCGTTTGATAGTATTATTATAAAAGTACGTTATATAAAATGGGGTGTTATATAAACATTTCTCTGTATCCGAACAGAAGCATCTCAAAGAAACGGATTAAAAATAGCGACAAGGGTTTCTTGGTTCTCATGAAAAAGAATGTAGTTTATAGGAAAAATCAAAGATTTGTTCAAAGGCGAGTAACTTGGTCAAGTAAAAAAAGCTTTTAGAAAATGTAGTGAAGTCCATTTTGGAGATTTTGTGACACTAAAGAAAATCATTGTGGGGCTAAAAATTTCTGCTTATCGTGTACTCAATGTTAAATTATCCGTTTTAAAAAGGAATGTCTTTAGCGAGGGATAAATTAAAGGCCTATTTAGGAGGGGGGAGGTGATATCTGGACACCATGTTGAAAGTTTTCAGGGAAGACCATTAGTTGGTTGTTAAACGCGCCTACATGGTCGTTATTGCTTTTATCTATATCTTCGTCGATAGATGTGACTCCTTTTACACCACTTCCCTTTAATCAGGAAGATCCATGAAAAGAACCTTAATCATTCCACTATAGCTAGGTATTTCAGTATGATATGCTTTCATCATCACCATCAGGTACCATCTTCTATCAGAAGGTTGGCTACCATGACCCTCCAACTATCCCAAAATCTGAGGGTTTGTTGTCATGGTCATAAATAAAACTTCCTGATAGGCTTTACGCTATTGTAATGAACAAGTGGTTCAGCGAACACAATGAGACATATCAATGAGTCATAATTATCATAATTTGAATATCAACGAAAAACATCCAGAAGGATTCCCAACCTTTTGGTAGCTTCAAAGGAGGAGCGTTCTTTCCCCAAGCGTATAGTATATGTTGACTTCCCGATTTGCAAACTGGATGCATTTCACCGCAGCTCCTGGAAATCAGGAATAAATAAGTAAAAGCACGGACTTTGCTTGAAAACTTGAAAACGATTTTTAGGCGTTGCAGATTTTGAAGAAAGCAAACATTTTACTGGCTCTACCAATCATCCAAAACATGTCACCATTATAATTTTGGCACAACCTGTTCTTTATTTAGTCGTTTTATGTATTCGGTCATTTTATACCATCAAGGGTGCCAGACGGAAAGTTCAAGTATGTTTTTAAATGATTGCTCTTTAAGTTGTAACTGCTCTTATAAAGTTGTAATTATCCAACTATCAAACGTCAACGGTTTTGCAAAATGTAAAGAAAGTTGACTGTATAATAGATTACTTATTTCAAGATTACATTCCAGAAAATGTGATATTACATTCCTGTCTCTTTATATAGATAAATTTTTATATTAAAGGCAACCGCCATATACTAATAGGGCTTAAGCCATCTATCAATCTCAAATTGACCAATCAGTGAGTGTGACTCCACTCATGCGCTCAATGATTGGCTAATTTTGATTGGCAGATGCCTAAAGCCACTTTTATATCTGTCGATTGCCTTTAATATTACATAATCGTTATATATAAAGTACTTTGTGATTGGGAAAGAGGCAGTCACACCCAAACCCTTTGCCCCACTTCTGGTTCTGAGTCTGCCTAATTGAAAAATCTAGAACATTTTCGCTTACATCAATTTGCTCTTAGGATTTTGCCATCATGCACAAATATTGCTAAAATATCTAAAAATGGCAAAATGACGCAATGGGTGCGTTCTACTTACCAGGCCTTTTCTATTTCGAAGGGCAGTTCACAACCAAACAGCAGCATGTGATGGGCTGTGTGCATTTCAGCATTAGGCTGGAACCCAACGTAATACTCATCTGATGGGACCTTTTGGCCATAACAAATGTACGAATCATGCTAGAAAAAAATGCAAGATTTATCAAACGAAAGCCTTTGTCTATTTCCACTTGCTACCTATCAATTATACTCTATTGTAATTAAGGTGCAGTTCTGTTGAAGCCAAAATATGGTAGCACACTTCTTCGTTGCAGGGTAATCAATTTGAGAGAGCCTCGTCTTGAAAGATAATTGAAATTTCGATCGCAAACCATGAAATTTGACTCTTCCTTGATCTAGAGGAACCTATGACGAGGCCCTCTAAATGATTTACGATGCAATACTTCGCAGCGGTACGTGGAGCCTTTGACTGTCTTTCCAAACAACAAATAAGCCATTCAGGTGATGTCTTAATAAAGAAAATTTATGCGAAGGAACTAGCTTTACTAAAGCCAGAATGCTCTAGGTTTATATCTTAAAGGCGAATATGGTAATTTCATGGAGGAATTGTTTCCATTCCAAGAGGCATATTCCATGCACTTGGGGGAGAAAAATCTTACTATAAATTCTATAAAAAACTTCAGCTTTATCTCCGAGACACAAAATTGTTTGTGAATAACTAATAGAGAGTTTCTGAGGTGTCAAACCTCAAAATTGCCCACACGCAGACTACAGTTACAAATGATCCTTGACCAGCATGTGAAATTACATGAAAATAACAGTCATGTTGAGAATCTTTATATTTCCCAGCCTGTAAATGGTTCTTAAATACAAGATGCTTAACAAAACAAGACAGGCTAAAGTTGCTTCAATTCTTAGGTTAATTTTACGAAGATTTACTTTAACAGATTTCTAGATTTAAACCTATCAATACGGTCTGGTAGTTTTATAAAATGAAGTAAAAAATGAAAAGGGGGCAATACCTTTTGCGGGGAAACCCCAGGCATGCTAATAACCTCTCTACTGGTTGTATGACTTGCATCTGCTTCTTCAGTTCTTGAGAAAGCTGCGTCTTTATCCGTGTGGCCTTGATCGCGCCTGTAGCTATTCAGAATATCATCAATAAGCGAGTCACTGTCGTATTCATCTGACAATGATCGTTGATCGAAATATTCCCTTCCCTGGTATTCATAGCAGCTACTGAGCAGCACGCAACTGGCGAACAGTGCCAGCACTAATTTGTTTACCATCCTATGAGAAAATGCAACAAATTGACAAACACGCGGCAATCGCACTGAAGCTACCAAAATATTAGTACTACAACCCTTGATAAATTTTTCTTAGAACCTCCCTCGTCTCTTCCACATTTAAAGATGATATATCTGCTTTGGAAAAATAAGGCTCTAGCTTTGTGGCTTGGAAAAGGGTGTTGAAATCAGATGAACGACGATATTTTCGACCTCAGCTTTGTCCGAGGCTGAAGATCAACCAAACCAAATAGGGCCGCATAAACTACTTCCATTTTGCTAGAGGACATTAAACTCCGCACATAGTCAAATCGACTTAAATAATTAAGCAGATTTTGATGGGCGGGAACAAATCTGATTGTGAAACCATTGGCATTCTAAAAGGCTTACAGTGTCTAGTGGCTTTTACCTTACAGCGAAAAATACAGATCTGCCTTTATTCAGGCTACATAAAGAATTAATAATAATTTGGCAAAACACTTATAGCTGTTAAAATGAACCCATAGAAACTGGCATCGATAAGAACCAGGAAGACAGAACGAAAGTTTGAGATTTAAATTGGTGATAATTCAGTTTGAAACGCGGTTATTTTAAGGAATGTTCATTAAAAGTACGCTCAAATATATATTTAGATAACTGAAATGCAAATAAAAGAAATAAAGATTATTTTATCTTCGATTAATAATTTTTTAAATATTTGAATATTTAATAAGCAAAATTACAAAAATAGTATGAAAACGAATAAAGAAGGGATAATAAGGAACAGTTCAAACTTGCAAGGCAACGAAAGTAAAGTCGTTTAGCCTAGAGTCCAGATGTACACTTTTGGTGTACAGAATATGACGGCTCTTAGTTTTTACTCAGAGTTTTTCGCTTACTGCGATCATGAGGCAACTGGCGGGTCAAAATGTAAGTGGATTCGCGACGGCTGACAAAGCAGAATACATAAAAAATGATTCATATTATGAAGAAAAAAGGGAAGCAGACAGCATCTAATGCAGATTGTTCTTGAAAATGTATTGGAAAAATTATGTAGATTCTTTCTGAGGAACTATTTCACCACTTAAAAACATACCTGAATTTAAATCCAAGTTGAGTTAATGAATCAAATCCGGTATTTGTTTATTGAGATGTTTGACGAAAAAATCGCCGATTCCTTTCCATGCCCAAGTCATATGGCAAAGCCTACACACGATACGAGAAAATCAAACGAGCTTCTATTTGCACCAGGTGGTTAGACAAACATACGCCCTAATTGGTTCTCGAGATATGCGTCAAAAGCAATCTTGCTTGAGTTTTCATGGATTTAAAGGAAGTTGAAAGAAATTAGCTGGATCTTTGGGAGGGGGGTTTGGTTGGAAACTGCAAGCACCCACACAAAATAGAAAAATTCCTTATGCAGGTCCTTATAATTGATATTTTATTAACTCATGAATGTGGCACCGGTTGAAGGAAAATGAATGAACACGGATAAAAATACTAGAGGTAGGGCTCAGAAAAGTAGATATATGAAAGGGTGGACTGTTTGCACACCTCCCCAAACACCGAGATGCAACTTTTTGTTTGGTAGGGGGCAGCCTATATTTTACAAAATAGAAGTATTTTACCTATGCTACTTAAGATTTTTGGGGGAGGGCCAAGGCCAACCTCAGCCCCCCAGTATCTCGCTCTCACGACACAGATCCAGGAGTCCTCGTATTTTTTACCAAGAGGGGGCAGGATACCACCTCGTTGATTACTGTGCATGTAAGATGAAGCTTTTATTTTATTATATTTTAATAAAAAATTATGCCATACATTATCTTTTTGCCTATAAATGAATTTTCAGTTGCTTGAAGGACATAAACCTTTTGATAATTTGTAGAATTTTATTTCAGGTATAGAACATTTCAATTGAAGATACTCTAAGAATCATTCTTCTTGACTTACTATCTTCAATAATTGTTCAAGTGAGAGGGGTGTACCTTTGAGCCATCTAAGAATATAAAAGTCTACATAAGCCAGTGGTGGATTTAAGGGGGGACAACTAGGGGCAGTTGCCCCTCCCTCAAGAGTTGAAGCAAGTCTGGCACCCCTTTTTTGGAAATTGTGCGCCCCTTTAAAGAATGAGAATCAGATGAAAAAGGTATTTGGACCAATAGGTTAATTTGCCTTCCTTCAAATTTTCACTGGATCCGCCCCTGCAATATGTATTGCTTGACAATGTACATATGTCCTTTAAAAAATGTCCTTTAAGATAAATGAAAAACTTTGTCTTTAAACAGAACTTTAGAAAAAGAAATGATTTTGCAAACTGACAGTGGCATGCCACCCTGTGGGGACAGGAAGGGTAGTGTAAGAAGGTGGAGGTAGGGAAATGGTACAAGAAGGTGAAGGTAGGATGGTGGGTGTAGGAAGGTTGGGACAGAAAAAAGGACCTTTCTAACAGAAGCATTTCACTGCCGGTAATTTTGGTGCTTTTATGCCTATCTGTCCAGTTTCCTCAAGACCAGCTGAAGTGCCAACAATAGGAGTTCTTTATTAGAAGCAAATTAAATGGTGAATTATTTACTTACTTAACACAGCTAAGAAAACACTCTTGATAGAAATGAGAGATTCTATATATACATATTTACTCTGAAACTAGTTTTTTGAATAACTGTATAAATCTTAGTAAATATAATGACATGATTGGTAATACATCAAGAATTGTTTGCTTAAAATATTAGCAAAGAAAACTTTTAGCAAAGAATTGGAAAAAGAAATAAATATTAGCAAAGAAAGAAACACAGAAAACAAAAAAAATCTGTGTTTACTTCACTTTTAGAAATGTAGGATATTATATTTCTACTTGAAACAATTTTATTTATAGTGAAAAATGTGGTTTTATTTGTTGATTGGAATATCAAAGAACCAAATATGCAACTGAGTTTGGTTTTAGAAAATAGAATTTCATGCATAAATGACAAAACAACCACTACAATAAATTACCGTTCTCATTAGAATTCTGTTTATATGCATTTTCACGTCCTTTTATTGTTCACACATAATTACCATTGTTTTAACGCATTTCAATATTCTTTGTTGTTTCTAATTGCACTGCACATCATATCAATGGAAACAATTTAGTTTATGTTAGTTCATGTTATGGGGTGTGATAGTTCAGTTGGTAAGGATCAAGGAATGAAATTGAGATGGAGAAATGAAAGATTTGTTTATTTATTTGAATTCTCAAATGGTGAGTTTGTTCCATTTATTTTAAGTATAGAGATCTCTTAGAAAACCTCTATAAAATTATTAAATGAATTAAGTAAGAGAGAAAAAAAGGGAAAATAGGCAAAAATATACCTAAAGCAAAGTAACTGGTCAAAAAGCAAATGTGAATGTGAGTTTGTGTCACAAATAAAGCTGAAAAATTAGTCAGCAGTTTCTAGCCATCTTACAGGATGTACTAGGCAAATGAAGTGATAAATGGATAGCTTTCCTTTGTGTAGATTTTCCTTCTGATAAATAAATGTAGAACAGAAAAAGGAAGTGAAATACTGGCAAATTACATAAATGTTTGCATTTTGGTCTTGATGTAAGACTTGATGCCAGCAGGGCCTTATGCAACATAGTAACAAGGTTGCCAATGCCTTTCTATTCCCATTTCTTTGTTTAGAAATGGGCGTTGGATGAAAAACTAAATGGTACTGGAATGATAGAAAGACTTGGTACAAATGCCAGTGAAATAATGACAATGAAAAGGAATGGAAATTAAAAAATTGCAATAACTTGAAAAAACAAGAAAAGACACTATAAATTGAATAGTAAATTTAATGTTTATTTTTTCTAAATGTGCTTGATGATCTGAGGCAGAGATGTAGGCATATTGATGTGGAGAACAGGATGGTCTAAGCAAGGGCGGATACTTGGTTCAATATGATGTCACATTTCCCATTGTTTTAGAACAAAATAGCATTGTCTGCTAAAGTATTGGGGGCAGTCACCCCCTCAACCCCCCCCCAAGTGTCCACGACTGGGTTTTAGCTACAGAGTAAACTAAACAGTTAATACTTGCAATATTCTTTCGTGGAATACTTGAGCTTTTTAAGAGCCACTAAATTCATAAATGAAGTGCTCCTCTTGAGCAGTTTCAGGTACAGGAGTTCAAGAGGCCTGTATATTATACAGGGCCCTTGCCACTGAGCTTAAACTTGAGGGGCCAGTGATGGAAAGAAAGTTTCTTCTTCCCCTCTCTAGCCAAATTTGTGGCAAACATTTTGCCACAGCTCATCAGCACTGCTCTATTTGTTGACTTTGGCTCAATAAATTTGTTGAAATCTACAGGTCCACCTATATAAATAATTTGAGCTGACTTGAATCTTTTATTTAGGAAAAAAGTGGGGAGGCTCTGGCCTCCCTGTGGCATGGGCCCTGTTATATGCATGTCAAAGATGAGAATTGTCCTAAGCCAACAGCATGATAAGGTAGGGTGGCTAGTCCCCTGCCCTAGAGCTGCTGTTTGTTGGATAGGAGACAAGCATCTAAAGAAACCTGGTTAAACCTAGTTTAGGATTGCAACCTCCAGTACTGCAGACAAACATACTAACCATTTGGTCACTTGGCTTTGATGTACCAGAAACATCTCAACTCAAAAATGGATTAATTTGTCTTTAAAGATGGAGGAGAAGGTTTAAATGAGTTGACTTATATACATATAGGTTTAAATGGCTTTAGTATAATTCTACTTATTTATTCATCACTTCTTTCACAAATAAATCCAAATTATTTAGAGATGGCTCAAGTGTGAGAGCTTTAATTGGGCAACTTTTGTTGAGTAATTTTGGCATTGAATGAATGAAATCAATGACAGGATATTGTAAAATTGCATCCTTTAATCTCTACTAGGTTGTTTGGTGCCAAAATAGGAAAGAACTTAGAAAAATAGGAAAGTCAGAGGAACAATTATCTGGAAAGGGAAACTTTAGATGGAAAATAAGGACAAAAATATCCTTTAAAGCAACATTTGCATTTGTCTCCATATTCAAAAATCTTAATTGGAATTGACAAAGGAAATTGTAATTGGTCATCTGAAAAAGGAAAAAATACTAGAAGTAGCTCAAAATAAGACTAAGGATTTGGATCCGTGTAATTAAACAACTAAAAGGTACAAAGTTTTTTCAATGTGAGTTGATGATGAAATAATAAACCAGTAAATTCGATGAATATATCGGAAGTCTGTTAAAACGAGATCGAATCAACGGAACTGAAAAAGTGATATCGGATAAAATGTTTTCAAATTGAAATACATCGCTTAGATATGATCTCCTTCCTTTCAAACAATAATGTTTGAATTCAGAAACTGATTTGTGAACCTGTCACACGGGAGCAGCACTTAAGCAAGGAAAATCATAACAAATAAACATGTTGGTGAAATTCATGAAAAAATAATACTTGCTTGGGTGGACATATCATTTTAGGCTTACGAAACAGGTTTTAATCAGAAACCAAACGTCAAATTCAAATTCAAATTCAAATTCATTGGCATTCAGCAACTAATTACAGGGTACTTAAATTAATTATTATAGTAGTTAATACAGAATATATGACATCTATTTTAGCTAATAACAAATAAGTTGCCTAGGACGCTGGGAGGAACCGAAACGGTTTTCGAGCCTAGCGCCCTAAGTTGGTAATAGTTAATCATGCAGTATAACAGTAACAATGGAACAAGTAAAAGTTAATTACAAGTAGAAACTAATTACTAATAATTTTGATTTGAATTTAACATATAACAGAAGAAGATAAAACATAACAAATGAAATACAGAAGGAGAGAAAATTTTCTTCATACAAATAAAAAACTAATTTTAGAAAATGATTTAGGAATCCCGTAACAATGGCCTAAAAAGAAATGGAACAACATTATAACAGTATATAATAAAAAATTACCTGCGGTGTAAGATTGAGTGGTCGAAAATGTCCCTTTTTCTTCACTAAAACTACCGTCGTATTTTTTCGCACCAACGAAAATTCATTTCTGTCAGAATTAACTGCGGCAGCTGCAAAATTCTTCTAGATGGCAAAGTGTTCCGGTCGACTCGAAAAAAGTTGCAGGTACCCACATTGAATGAAGTACGGGGGTACAACAATGTTGCGGTTCGTGATTTCGCGCACGACAAGTTAGGATTGAAGAAAAATAATCACCATTGGTCGATTAAACGAGTTGTAGTCACCAATATCGAAACTTTGTTTTACTAAGCTGCTTCTATTGATTTAAAATTGTATTTTCAACTTCCTCTTCAATTTCACACACACCGCCATTTTCAGTTTCGGTGGTGACCTCGATCTCATGTCGAAAATTTTGCGGTTTGTGCAAAAAAATAATCGTGTCACGAAAATTCGGAGAGGATCGCCTGTTTAGTTTTGTTCGAGATCATAACGGCATTTCTAATCAAACAGACCCAAAATTGCATCTGAGATAGTATCCTTTGTTCGATTGCCCAAACCCCTCCCCCCCACCCAGAAAAGCCTGTAAAACCAACGTTACAACAATATAAGCATTTTGAAATAAATTTGTCGAAACTTTAGCTCCCCACGGTAGAGACATCCTAGTTAATGAGCAAGCTCGACTAAGAATGGAGATAAAAATATTTTGTTAAACTTGCACAAGGTGAAATCTCTCCTTGTTTTTTTCTTGCAACTGAATGAGATGTCAAAAAGAAGGTTTATTATCAGCTTGCTGGCCCTTTCTTCGTGGAAATTCTCTTTGGAAGATCTACTTTACATCAGAATTATTTGCATAAAAGAAAAAAATGATCGCCGCCCTCATATCAGAAGCTCAATTAACACTGTGAATTAGCACAAACAGCATCTTGAGTAAATCAAAGGATTAACAAAGGGCTTAATATTCTTAGCTACACACATGTGGATGTTTTTGTTTTAAGCCAGCAGTTTTCTAATTATGTAAATAGAAATATTTTCATAGAGTCGACGGGAAGCTTTCTCTTGATAATCTGGTTTCAGGTACAATCTGTTTCTAACTGGATTAGCCCAGTTTCATCGTGTTAATCCCAAGGAGGTATAATCTATGGTATAATTAAAAAGATCTAAGCAAAACAGAGACTACCCGGTTTTTATTGTTTGAATTTTCATTATCTAGCCTCTTCGAGGAATTGCGAAAGTTATGACGTCATAAAACTCTACTTTTAGATTTCAACTTTGTCCGCATGACCATCAAGCAGGGTCTTTTTCGACGTACAAACTAGGGGGGTGGGGGGTTATAAGAAAACAGCCCCAGTGACCTTCTTTTGCTGAAAACAATAAGCTATTGCCGTTTAAAGCAACTCTACACATGCAGAGTCAGTTACATTTTTTATAAGAAAACTACACATTTTTTCCAGCCTCGATATTCTTAAGAAATTTTCATTTTGAGCCTGATTATATCCTTGAAGAATCTTATTTTTCAAAATATGGTCCGCTCTTGAAAAAACCTCGCTTTTGTAAAACGAAGTATGTCAGTACTGTGATTCTCTTTTTAAACATCGCAAACAGGCGACTCCTAAAAAATAACACACAAATATGCTTATAATATTCTAAAAATTGGATGATTCTGAACCTGAATATTCTTTTAAAACATATTCTCATAAAAAGATTGTAAGTCTGCTATAGATTTGGTATATCTCAGGCAACTACACTATGCAATAAAGTTCTTTTCGAAACCAGTGGCGGCGCCAAGGGGTGGTATGGGGGGAGGGGTAATTACCTCCCCAATTTTCTAAAAACATGGTCTATATATTTCTTCTAAAAATAGATCAAAAAGCACTGGGTAGGGGTAGATCAAATTTCTCAAGGAAAGGGACGAATCACTGGAACGAAGAAAAATGGGCGTGGTCACACTGGTCACGCCCATTACCCTCTCACTCTGTAATAGCTGGCGCCGCCACTGTTCGAAACAACCATCGAGCCTACATCTCAGTATGTATCTAAATCACTTTATATCAAATCAACGGTCCCTTGCTCCGACAAAAATCCTCAAATTCAACTACCAATAAGAAACAAGGATAGCATGGGCGGTATTTGCGTCAACACAAGCTAATAAGCAGCAATTTCATCTAGAAATAACACGTGCCTATAACGAGAATTCACGTAAATAAGAAATGATTGCCAAGTATTTGAATAAACAAGCAATGTTTACGTCTTTCCCACAATCCTAACGGGATCAACATGTTGTTCACTGTATGAATGGTGGAAAAACAACAATCGTACACCATTTTTCTATAAAAACCAGATATCTTTTGCTTAAGCTCGATTTTCCTAATTTTTTATATTTCGGTTCTCAATATCGTTCTTTTTTAAAAAATTTTTTTTCTACATCTATAAACTATTTATTATTTCTAAGACCACTAAAAACAGTTTTAAAAATTTCTTTGAAAAAAACAAACATTTTCAAACATAGTACTAAAGCTTCTTATCCAATATCCTTCACAGTATAAAGCGGAAGAACATAGATCGAAAACTCTACGCTAGGAAATATATATACCAAGTTGTGGATCAAAATAGGCCAATCAGAAACGCGAGCACATGACTTTTGAGGTTGCCCAAACAGTACCGCTTGCCTATGGAAAGTGTTACCAACGGAGTCCTAAGGTGAAAACGAATCCCTTCTGTATACATTTGCTAGAATAAAAACCCAAATTGTGCAAAAATCATAAATACGACATGTTTCGGATGGTTGATAGAGCCCGATCGTCGTTCCATCTAGCTATTATGAAATATATCTACATAAAAATTAAAAAAACACTACTGTGCAGACAGAAGGAGTGTGTGAAAACATATTTCTTATCTTTTATTTTTTATTGGGGCATGTTCCTATACTGTTCTTATTATTTCGGAGAATTAAGCCTTGGCTTTCTTATAAAATATTTTCTTATAAAGAAAAAAGTGTAGCATTTGCTAAAATAGCATTGGATTTCATATAAAAAGGGTATACTACGAAAAACAACTAATTATTAAGCAAATCTGCATTTTAGCAAATACAGATAGAAACTGTGTGTAGCAATTACGTTAAGAAAAATATGGCTGAAAGCAACGGGAAAGTTCTCCTCAGAGCAACCCCTCAGCTTTAAGCAAGCTGTATTTGGGTTTTGCTTTAGATTCAACTAACAGAAAATTATCACCATGAGAAAGCATCGAAATCTTATGAGTGATATCCGGTTGAGAATAAAAATGCTATAACTTGATGACAGCGGCCCTGCCCGCAGGTTTTGGGGAACAGGGGAAACTGCCATTTTTAAAAGAGAACATTGGTACCTCAGGTATTATTAACAAGGGAAACTTAGAAAGCATTCAGGGGCTTTTTTGGAAAATGCTAGAAACATTGTTCAGAACAGGAGATTTTCGAAAAATTTTTAAGGGGGCATGGGAAAACAGACTTCCTCCTAGGGGCCTCACGACACAAGCTAGAGCCAAATACAGGCAAGATAAGTAATAATTCGATCCAAAACAAAACTGACCATTTTGACCTGCAACGCCGTTGGAATCAAAACAAAGACGATCCTGGACCCTTACAATCGCTATTTGATAGATAAATCTAAAATTCTTAAAAATAAATATCTATTAAACCTAGAGGTTTACAGGCTGAAATAAGGTCTCATTAAAAACTTGCACATCTTCCATGTCCCTTCCCTTCTTTAAAATTTGGACTCTTGCCTTCAAGTTGGGCTTCAAGTCGTTGAAGAGGGATCTTAAACCAGCTTCAGGGTATTGGGTTTGTTATCAAGTAGGAATTGCAAGAAAGCAGATGTGATGTTCACACAAGAATCACAACGAACATCCTCATAACGGATACTTGTGGGATAACACCTTTGACCATAGCGGAAAAAAATTAGGAAAAAATCGTTTGCCAGTTGCTTGTAATAATCTTAGTTTTACCATGTTCTCTTTGGTTTTGCTTAGTAAGTTGGTTTTAACACAAACATAAGCATATTCATTATTTCATTCTTATCAGTTATCACACGTGCTGTGTTGAGGCCCATTGTAGCGGCCCACAAAACATTCTGCAGGAATGGGGGAGTTGAGCCCCCAGGCTAGAAGAGCAGAAGGAAAAAGAAAACGACACAAGAAAAGGATGCGAAACGATTGAGAGAATAAAATACTAGAGCTATGATGTAGAAGCGTTTTGGTTCGTAAAGGAATTGAATCTAGAAAAATTTATGTTTTTCGAGTGTATTGTTTGGTTGAGTCGTTTAGGGGCGTTTCTGGGTTGTTGTTATGTGCGTCTAATATTGCTATCTGTTAAAGTGAGGGCATTGCTCTATGTGTAAAATTCTGTGAAATTGTATTGCAGGGTCTGTTCCAACGTGCAGTGATGGCCAACTTGTCTAGTGATAACCTTGAATTTTGTGCAGAGATAAAGCTAAGATAAAGATATTTTGTTCTAATTAATTATGAATTTCGCAACGAATAAATACATTATGATACTGAGTTAATCAAGAAAAGAATAAAATGAGATTAACCGTCAGATGGCCTATTTGCTACTAAAACGTATATGTCACATTCCGTCGGATCGAGGGGAAGGGTCATAAAGAAACCAAAAGGCAACGCCCAAATTTTGTGAGTTTGCTTTGTGAGTCTGCAAATTTTGTGCAAGTGCAGCGATTGAAATGAAATTAAATGCTTGCTCTATAATTTTATCGTTATTTGTTGACCGCAAAATATTATTGTTGAGAAAACGTTAAAACTAAACGAAAGGGAACGGAAACAAAATTCTTTACAAAACAGACAAGGTGCACTCTGCAGACATTCTCTTGTCTTACCATGGATAAATTAATTAAAATGAAAGGAATGAAAAATTAAAAAATCATTCAAAACTCCAAGCATACTTGCAATGCATTGCGAGATTATCAGAAAGGCGGGAAAATTCTTTCAAAGTATAGAAAAAGGGCGGGATTATTAGAGGGGCGGGATTATAAGAGGGGTGGGATTATTAGAGACGGTGGGAATAAAAGAGAGAATACGGCAACTGTAACTTCCTTATTCGATTTAAAGATATGCAGTCAGTCTGGCTTTTAATCGCAGGAGCTGAACGACAAGCTTTCTCCTTATATCAGCCATACCGAAACCGTACAAAAACGGTTCAAAAAGGACCTTTGTGCATGCTAATAAGATCAATGGCCAATGAATCTTGACAGGAAACAGTTCACCATGAACGATGCTATGCAAATGGCTAGTTGACAGGGGCAATAGGCATACGATGTAATACCCTGCTAGTGCGCCCGTTGATACCGCCAATTTCACCTCATTTTTGAAGAACCGGTTGGACTCTGCCCGGGCAGTGAACGGGCCATGCGGACTGATCCGCATCTTTTGGCGACAGATGATGTATAGTCGAGTTTGTGTTACTATTAGTACCAAGGTGGTGATGTAAACTGGGAGAACGACCGTGTACGATAATAGAGAGGGCGGGCTGCGAGGAGAAATGTTGGGTGATGCCGTTGCCGGTAAAAACAGGACACAAATTAAACCTTGGGAAAACGCGATGAGGCAAAGAGCAGCTAGGCCAATGTTCACTCTCCGTGCTGTCACTATTGTATGTAGTCGTAGGCAATGAACACAGGCTACGTATCTTTCGATTGATAAACCAATAATCGTTCCACTTGAGACTAGCAAACTTAAAAGGCCTTGAAGCAAAACAAAAGTCTTCATAACCCGGCATTCAAGCGATATAGGCGATAAGGCCAAAATCTGACCAAACAGCAAAACTGTACCACTCAAAAAGTACAGCAGATTGGAAACGCAAAGTATCTTTATCAGCATATGCCGAGGCAGAACATCCGGGATCTTTCTTATCAGTATCCAGAGTAAAAATGCATGCACAGGGAGTGCGGGCAAACAGATGAGTATCATATTCCTGGCAGACGTTGGAACACACGGATATTCTCTTACGACCGTGCTGTTGTTTATAGATGCGCCCATCTTGCACAGGGTTCGGATTCCATAGTACATTTGCTGACGGCAGGCTGTTCATTTATACCGCCAAATACGTCAAATACTCTCTGCGTCATTTTTGCACCTGTGCTTTATAGACAGATCAATAAAGTAGGCTGCACAACACCAGATCAATACTCGCTTACAATTAAAAAATGATTACTCCATAGCCACTGGCAGCTGTCGTTTTAAGTTGTAAGTTGCCTACACATTCGTAGAGGAATGACAAAACAAAATGGTAAATTTTCTAGTATTTGGTTTGTTTTCATGCAAAATTGTCAACCGCTTACATAAATATTTCACTGCTTTACACCTAGACCCAATTTGTGTGTAGCAGAAAGTAACACGTTTTGAAACAAAGATATCTTAGCAATGCCAACTGTGGAGAATGATTTTATAGCCATAAAATTGGGAAAAACCCGCGGCATCAATAAATTTAGAAGGTGATCAGAGATCCACTAGGAGAAACGTGAATCCTTTTTACAATAATTGATAGGGAATAACGTTGAAATGGTGAGGTAGGATGACCAGCTCCTTTCCCTGCTGTCTTTCCTCGTTCCTACGTGGGCCTAATTTGCTAATTTAACCTAATTTAAAAAAAATGTTTGCTAATTTTCAGAATTCCTCTTACTTTATCGAATAACGTTACACTTTCGAGGCATTTCTTTATGAATAATATAAACTTTGCCAAGACACGATATTCTTGAGAGATTTTCGCTCTAAGCTTGAATGTATTCGTAAAATACCTTTCTCTTTTTTCAAATTTGATATGGTTAGTGGGAAACATTACACGCCCTCGAATAGAAAACATGTTTTTAGAAGAAAAGAGATATGTCAGAGTCATGGGATTCGCTGTTACAAACATCGATAAACTAGCCTGTGTTTCCCAAACCCCTAAATTTAAAGTAGACCTCTACTTTCAATTTAGGGGTCTGGAGCAAAGGCTACGATAAACAGACAACTGCTGAAAAATGAGACCCAAATATGCGACCAGAGGCTGAGCAATATTCTTATAATATTTTTAAAAATTTATGATTTTAAGCCTCAATATTCTTATATATAGCTTTAACTGTATATAAATAATATTAATGTAACTAGGGCATTTATTTTCTTATTTGGTATTTAGTTGTAAGTTGAATAGATTTTTGTGTATAAAGAATTTAAAATGAAAATGAAAAATAATCATTATTTGTATAAAAGAAAAAGCTTATAGCGTGCGCGTATTTGAAATACGTTGATACAGCTAAAATAATGCAACCGATGCATGTTATATTTAGCAAATATGGTTTGCTTTACTTTGCATACGTAGCAATTCCTTCTATTACAAAACATCTAAAGGGAGGATTACACGATCAAATTTGAGTCATATTTTACGTCAAAAGAACATATGATGGTCATATATCATCGTACCAAAGTGCTAAATAACAAATTGCTAAATTCGCATCATATTCAACTTTTAGCACTAAAATTCTTACAAAGTTTGAGAAAGTTTTCTCATTCATTATATTTTTTAAAGATTGCATTATGTTATGTAATCCTTTGGGGCACTTTGGGGCCTTAAATTAAAATGGCACTTTTTGAAAAAATGAACAAAGGCTGCTATTGAGAAAAAAAAAGTATATTATCTGTCGCCCAATGTTCTATTTACTACAAAATAGCCACATGATGCAACCAAAGTCTCCTACATTTTGGCATAAGCTGTCCACAATGTCCAATTAATGGATCTAGATACCTACATGTTAAATTACTTTGTCAAAACTAACAGCTTACATTGTTTTCAGTTCTGTGATCATCTTTTGAAATGCTTGAGGCATCAAATGTTTTTTCTCAAACTGCACTTCAAGTAAATTGACCTACGTTGTGTCTTTGAATGTCAGTCTTGTAGATGCACCATGCACAGCTGAGTTTCTATATACATGTGTACGTTAGTCAAGACCTTCTTTCTTGTCCTTGATTGAAGACTATAACAAAAAGAGCCAAGCACTGAGCAGTGGCACACAATTAAATATCCCTTCAATACAATTCAATCAATATAAGTTCGATTTCAAATCAATTAAGGTTTGGCCATTGGAGGAAAGCCACAGCTCTTGCTCCTCCTCAGGCTCTCCTCAAATGCTGAAGGAGAGCTACAGATTGCTCTCCTAAATTGTTTTAAAAAGCAAATTGCTCTCCTTGAAATCAATTTTTCTCTGTTTCCATTCTTGTTTACCTTCAAATAGCTCACCTGGAAATTACTAGGAGAGCTGTTTGCTGCTCCCCTGGTAAAAGTCTTATGGCCAGGCCTGCAATTTAATCTTGTTTGTACACTACAAAAATCATTACATGAAAATACTGCAATATATATAATTAAATGATAGATTCTGCAAAAATGAGCTGCTAAAATTTGATAATGGTATGAATCTGGCCTCTCTGACAGAGAAACAAGTTTTAATTGACAAGTGCAACCCCTCCCCCCGGGTTTTGTAATAGGACTGGACGCTAGTTTACATTACTCTATGATAATTTATGTTGCTTGTGTATAGTATGTATTGTTGTAATTATGTAATGATCATGAGTCAGTTTGGAGTCTCAACACAAGTTGCACGCTATCATCATCGCTTCTTACCGTATACGACTACTTGCAAGTTACAGCTAACCCTTAACCTGTAACAGTTTCCCTTGCAGGCAGGCAGGAAGTAATATCAAGAAATACCAGGGGAAGCATTGGAGTGCTCACAGTGCCTGAGTGGCAATTACTTTCAAAAAAGCAGCTTATGTCATCTTCAAATCAACAATTGGCCAATCAAGAAACCCCTTGATGGAATCAAGCTCGCTGATTGGCCAATGTTGATCAACATAAAGCTTAACCCACTTTAGTGTATGTCAATCACCTTTAAGACTTAATACTAAGTTCAGAAAATAGAAAAAGAAAAAACGAAATGCAAATACTTTCAAAATTTTTAACATTTTGACAAAAGTTTGATGAAAAGGCAAATTCATAGAATTATTTCATGGAATATCACACTATCGCTGAAAAGTTACTTACTTTAAACCTCTCTTCCAAAAGTGAAACTTCACTCATTAGATCTGTAATGGCATTAGTGAATGCTTCATGAGGGCTATAGTCTGCAGTGGTTTGCACTCTCAGTACAAATTTATGCTCAAGTGGGTGAGGCACTCTATAACCAGCAAAGATTACTTGTGGGTCTTTTAACAGTTGCCTAAAATGTATAAATCAAAGCTATGTGTCAAAACATTTTCTGAGTGAAATTGGATAAGATTGTTATGAATGGTGCAGAAGGGTGCTACTCTAATATAATATTTCAAAAAAATGACACCCAGGAGATCATAGAAATCAATTTCTAGAAATAGGAAGTAATTATATTATATCCTGCTATGCCTGTTTTAGCTTGACTCTTAAAACAATAATCAAACCAGAAAATGTGGGGCTGTACCAGCTGGCCCCACCGTCTCTCTATGCACTTTGTTGATGCGTTTTCAGTGCTTTTTCATTAACTTCTCATCAACATTTCTATCAAATTTCAAATTGGCCACTTTTCTTGATCCAAGCTGGCTGTGGGACGCTGGCTGGCAAGACGGTTTATTGAACAAGAACATTTAAAAACAAACTTTGGTAAACTTTATTTTCCAACAATCAAAGTATACCACAAAAATTAGACAAGATGTTTGCAAAGCAAATATTAAATGACTTACGCTCGTAGTAGGTTTCCCAAAGTATGATCCTCCTTCATGACAACAAAGTGAGCAGCATTTGGCACCTTGGTATCTTTTGTTATTGTAATCCTAGTTAGAACAATTGAATTACAAGATAAAAAATACAATAGCCAAAGGTTCCACTTAGGTTTATCCTGTCAATAGCATTCCTAGACTGCACTTGCATGTTTGAGCTCATCTAGCTCCAGAACTGAGCTAAACCCCTCATAGTTTTGACGAAGAGAACAGAGCTTCAATTTTGAGTAGAGATGCAGGTAATTTTATTCTTAAAACAATCAATAATAGTTGAATATACTTTTGTTGTCTTCTTTTTTGTTTTGGCTAAAATTCAGACATGAACATGGGAACAGATAACATTTAGACATTTAAAACCAGTCCTTTAACTAAGTAGAGAGCTAAAACCAGTCCTTTGACTTTAGTGTTTAACAATAAGATTTTTCAACGAGCATCAGCCACATTTACTTTATTATGTATGTCTGCTGCATACAAGGGCTTGATAGTGTGAAACTTAATGTCAAGATCTGTGGTGCACCAAAGCAACTTGGTAGCAAGTGAACGTATGCATAAGACACCAATTTTCTCAATTTGTGTTAATCTGACTAAAATAGATTCCAGTGCATTAAAGGTATATTAGCTTTTTATTAAGTCTCAGTATAAAGTGCAGTTAATAAGAAACATTGACAAGTCTCGATGTGATAACAACTTGCAGCTCAGAACAGTGCAATACCAGGCCTTCTCAGGAAAGGTGTGTGCGATCGCACTCGCACATGCTGGTACAAGCCTCCACACACCGAGGAGTGTGTTTAATCACATGCCTATTTTTGTAATCTTTATTTTGTTTTTTAACCAAAATGCTGAAAACTAATAAGGTGACAAAAAAAGAAATTGTTTTGTGTTTTTTATTTTGATGTGTTTCATCGCTCTTGTCTACCGTACTGGGTCACTGTAATCATTTTAAGAGCTGTTCTGTGGCTGTTGTGATGACACTCGAATGCAATCAAACATGGACCAAATGACTGTAGCATCGGAGCTAGTAGTAGCCCAGCAAATTTCATTCAAATTTTTAAAAGTTTTGAATATGTGCAGTTTTAAAAAAAATTCCTTAAAATAAACTCTGCCCAGTGCTCATAAAAACTAAGAAGCAGTTTTATCATAGACCTGTGTTAGCATGCACATGTTTCTAAAATACCATTTTTGAATAATACCTTTTTCTTAGATCTTAGATCAAGAGTCGCCATATTGTGTTACAACAGCAACAGCATCAATAACATAATGGCGGCGTCGCGGCCTAAGTGCAAGTAAACTTAAATAACATAATATGCCCCAAACTGTTAGCCGAGTCATAATTTGCAAAAGTGGAACAATAATATGAATAATAAACACTTCAGGTATAAATTCTCACTTCTTTTCGCCTTCAAGTAGCAAAAAAGGTGCGAATGATTCCGGAGCGTTCATCTTTGCACGTCCAGGAGCGTGACGAAAACTCTGGAGCAATGCATTGTGGGATGTTATGGATTTTGAGTCGGCGACTTGTTTATGAAAATCATCCTTCAAACCGACCATTACAATTGTATACGCAACACGTAAATCAACGTCATTGGCATTGTACACTTGCTGCTTAACTGCACGATTTGATTTCTAGAGTTCTAAAGTGATGATGTCACAAAAATGTATCTTTAGAATTTTTGAATCTGCATCCCATCACCTGAAAGAGCATCATTAAGTTCCTCTAAATGTGCAAAATCAGTCAATTGTGTCGCGAATTGGCAGAGATATGGCCACATGTGTATTGGCTCTTTCCCCATCAAACCTCTGTATACTTTAATAACAGAACAAAGCCAAAATAACAGTGATTCGAGTGGCACCCAGGGTATCGCCCTACAGGCCTCTTTATAACGCTGCGTAACCGATATAGCCCCCTCTCTATCAAAGGCGGTTTTACAAGAAAAATATTGAAATAAGCCTCCCAATACATTGTACGAGGAAGAAGATAAATGCAAGAATTTGTCTGTACTGATGTTCTCTGTCAAATATTTTAAGTTTGAAATGTTGAATTATTAATAATGCGAATAGTTTCTATTTCAGCAGCTCAACTTTTGTCATTCCTTCAGCCTTAGAGATCGCATATTTTTGCATTTCCTGATTTTTATTTTTCAATTGAGATTAGTACTAAGGATGTGACCAATTTTCTTTGTTCATGGACATATTCATGTACAAAAGATAAAAAGTTCTGATTCTTTTGAAGAACAAAACCCTATCCCTCCCTGCAGACTCTCTTTATGCAGAACAGAAAAATATACTTCTTCAAGTTCAGTAGAACTTGTATTCTTCCCCTAAAGAGAAATTCGAGTATATTTTTCCGAGGAATCTTGGGCCAGAACATGGTAGAGGATTTTGACAAAGCTCTGGAATTGGGGTAAAAACAAGGCTAGAATTCAGGGGTGTGGATGGATAAGGCAAGGGGGTTGAACTTCGCTTGCTAATGCTGAAAAATATTTTTTCTGATTTTTATTTGTTGTTTTTCAAGCAGTTTTGTGATGACCCCTTTGCTCTTTTTTCTCTACCCATGCCTGCATTGCATTTTGCATTTGGAACCTGTTACACAGTGAGAGGACGCTGGAATAGAAGGGAACAGCGGAGGAGGTAAACGTTTATATGCGGACTGCAGTATTGTATTTTGACCAGTTATTAAAGACAACATGGCTGACGAAAACAAGACTGAAAGGGAAGAGAGCAAAAGTCCGGCCTCAATACGTCGTGAGACCAGGTTAAACTTTTATTTTGCATTTCAACAATTGGTTTGATATTAGACTATGTATTTGTTACCTTCTCCTTTACAGATGGATTGCGATGCGCAGACCCGGCTTCCCACAGTCCCGGAGTTGGTGAATTGCAACTTGCAGGCTTCATGTATTTTGAACTAGCATCATTGAACTAGAAATCTGAGATTAAAGATGCACGATTAGTAGAATTATTTTAAAGGATAATTTTGCGCATCTGTGTAAAGGATCCTGCTTAAAAATGCATCTGAAATTAACCTTGTTTAGCCATTTCAAGTTTGTTTGCCAAATTAATACGATGTTTAATTTTCAACAAACCAAAAGCAAAAACAATTTCAAAGTAAATGCTTTACACTTAATGTTTGATTGCTGCTAAAGTTTGCTTTTTGGATACACTTTTAGCTCTAAGCCTGATAATATAAATAGACTATGACGCTAACGATTTTAGAAAGTCGTGGTTCCAAGGGTTGAAATGTTTTTTCAAGGAAGAGTTTGGAATAAACCAATCACCATTTATCAGACCAGTGATTAAGGTCCAACATTAAGTTTCAAGTGCAAAGCTTGGCCTATGCATGCAATTTAGAGCTTTTTAACTCTTTCAACATATGCACACACAAACAGGGGTTTCCACATTAGTGTAAAAGAGGTGTAATTCCCAGCAGTACCAAAGACATACTTAACAGGTGAAATCATCAAGATTTTTTCCATGTTTGCACAGCTTTAATTATACACTTAGTGAAGCAGAATTTTACTGAATACATTTTTTACTTCACAAGCAAAATGAGTATTGCCCTTCGGTACATAAGCTACCATTGTTTTCAGATATACATTTATTGTATAAAAATCTTGGATATGTTTAAATACTTCCAAACCAAGAAATGACAGTATATCCATTCAAATTATGAATTCTCCGGCTCATTGATTCCAAAAAGCCCTGCTGTGGATCATGCCACTTCCTGAAAGCACCACTAAAATGAAACTATTTATTTTTTTCTCAATTGACCAAGTATCAATTCTTTTAATACCCATTTGTATTTGTATCTGTTGCTGCCTAGTATCAAAAGATAGTTTCTTAGGACACAGAGAAGCCATGCCTGTTGCTTAGTGTTCTGGCCCTTCCTCGTGATGTGAAGGTCCTTCCACACCTTGTGATTCCTGCGTTTGGAATTAGGGAATGTTGACGAATCCTCCCAATTTAAGTGAAAGTTTTGCCATATCAGTTACTCGAACCACTGACCTTTGGATCTGTAGTCCATGACTATAACCACTGAACCATCCTTGCACCGTATCTATCATTTTTTTAATTAACCAAATAATCATTTTTTTAATACCCATTTAAGATCTAAATTTGTAGCTGAAAATGACTGTATGAATATGACTTAAAGCGATTGTATCTTGTAAAATTGATATCTTCATCATCTTTATTTCTAAATTATGACATTTCTCTACTCCATCAGTCTGTTTTGATTCTGAGTTTTAAAGGAAGCAATTTTTGTTAAGGTCGGACGGGCATCTGCTGCGAATGTCTCAAACGACTGAAGCCAGAGCTGCCACAAGAACAAGGAGTTATTCTACCAACGATTCAGATGAGTTAGAAGAGAAGCTCTATGATGGACCTAGAAGAATTTCTTTCTCTGAAGTTCTACTTGGCAGAAGAAGCTTGTTTAGTTCAAATCAGCCTGTTGTCAACCAAACTGTGTTAGAAGAAAGTATTAGCGCTCAGAGTTTGGCTGAACCAGATGGATTGTCGATGTCAACTGATAGTCACCAGGAAAGCCAAGATACTTTGACCAACCAGAGTGGCGTGGAGCAACAGCCACCTCGTGAAACAACACAAACAGATCATTTAAACAAACGACTACTTGATTCATTTCTGTCACGACTTGGCAATTTTGCTGGAGTGTTGACTCCGGGAACTGTCTATCACAGTGAGCATGCAAATGAAAATGAAATTCAGGAATCTGGGGATTACAGTACTGTGTATTCTGATGACTTATTGATGGACAGGATTTATAGAAGAATTAACAGTAAAAATGGACATAAGAAATAGTATCACATGCATAATATATAGATTTGTTTCTGTTAGCAAGGGTGTCAAACTCTAGCCCTACTGCTCCCTTTGTACATACTGTACGTACTATCCAAATTCAAATTTTTGTCTAGGCTTAGTCAGTTTTGGCTTGTTTCATAATTTCCTCTCTGGTTTGGATTGTGGCTCTAACCATGTTTTAAGTTATGGCCCTTCTATGGTTGAGTTTGGCACCCCTATGCTAGAATTATCACGAGCCGAGGCCATCGTCAGAATGATGTGCACAGCCAGATTGGGAAAAGTATTCCATTGATCAATGCACTGTTAAATTCCTTTGTGTCAAATCCGATGCAAAAGGCTTTCAATATTTCTAGGTTTTTATTCTATGATTTTACCCCAAATGTATATGCATCTGACATTCAAATCAAATCTTGATCATAATTGTATTATTTTCAAAGAGATAGTTTATATCATCAAACAGCTTAGTAATGTTGTCAGATTATTTGTGTTATGATTCCAATGTATAAACATCATACTATGTAATATACAAATAATAAATAATCATATATATATTCTTTAATTTTGATTTTAACAATTTGAGGTAAGTCTAGATTGATGTCAGTGCCCTAAGGTGTGGTACTGAGATAAACATTTACTTAAAATACACTGTATATAGATTTCATAAACATCCTGCCATACTATATTGATTTTTAATAATTTTCTAGCCAGAAACAAATCTTGGTTTTATCTAAAGTTTTATAAATATATTCCACCCCAGTTTTGTTATTGAATTTTAAGATTTTGTTCATTTTTCTGTTTTACTGATGTTTAGTACCTGTTCATGATATGCCTAAAGTTGGAAGTATGTAATCCTGTACATGATTCTAAGATTGTGATGGTAATATGAGAATGATTAAATATATAAAATCATTTATAGCAAGTTTTCATTCTAGATTTTCATTGTCTGCCAAAAGATATGTTTCAAGCTTGGCATCTCTGCTTATTGAGCATGTCAAATTACACCTCAAGACTAAGTTTCAGGTTAACAACTTGCATACATTAAATACAAAAGAATCCATTGCCAAAGATTTTGTTGGATTGATTTTCATGGGAAGAAATTTCCAAGTAAATTTCGGTGAGAACTTGAAAAGTTTCGGTGAGAAGAAACAATTTTGGTGAATATAGAAATAAAACGATTTCTTCAAGCTATTTCTATTTTCGACATAAAATTATCTGGAACGCAATCATAAAAGTAACAAAATCAAATGCTTGTTGGCAACTCAATAAATGTTGCTCTAAAGTGTAGGCAAGAATATGATAATTTTTTATTTAGAGAAGGTCTGTTTGTTTCATTTTTTATAAACCATGGAAGAAAATTAATTGGAAACGTTTACATTTTGCAATTTATTCGTTCGCCAATCGCAACGAGGGGACAAGAAATTCTGATCGATTGTGAGCTAAAAATTGAGGTGTCCAAATTGAAACATCTGGGGCTTTAAAACGAAATAATTGAGAGAATTTATGAAGAGCCAGTAGAATCATCTGCTCAGCCCATAGAGAACTCAAATTTTTTGGATGTAGAAGGCGAAAAAAAAGAAAGGTAAGATGAGCATGATATAGTATCTGTTGATGACGAATGAAAACTAAAAACTGATATGTAAAATGAAGGTATAGTAACCCATAAAAAATATAAAAGAAGTTTATTTTATTCATTCGAAAACCAATCGGTGTAAAACAAGATATAGGTGTATAAATAGGTGTTCGGTTGCCCTGCTTCACCTGCCTCAGGGTGTTAGGAAGTATCAAATATAATTGAATACAGAACATTCTAATATCTAAATTCCAATATCTTTTGTAATGTCAAATAAAATAAGTATGCGCAAAACGGAAATGAATTAAATAAGGAAATTTCGTACGATGCAAACGACTGAAAATTTACGACATCAAAATATTGGAGGGTAGGTCGAAGATGTACACTGATCGGATGCGACTACTTCCAGTGGCGTTGATAGGACAACTTATAGAAAGTTCATTCCCGTTCAATTCGTTTATTTTAAAATTCCACTTGCATATAAAGGTATTTAAATGAAATAAATACACTTGATATAAACATACAGAAAATGAAACTAAAAAAAATTAGCAAAAAACAACTAAATAAAAAGCTTGATTACATCAAGTAGAAAATAGATAACACAAATTATGGGAATTGTATGTCGGGACCTTTCTTGAGGAGGAGCACACTAAATAGCTAAGCTGATTGAAGAGAGAGCATCCTCTGTATTAAAAAAGATTATAGAACTTTGGAAATTGTTTCAAACTGATAACTCTCCATTATTGAATAAGAAATTAAATCTTTTATGTTTTTATATAAATCTTTGAACGAAAAATATTTTTTAGAAAAGTAGGAAGGGTGAGAAATTTAGATTTTCAGAGAAGTATCTGACATCCATTTTTATTTTAAAAAAAATTGAACATAATATGATATTAGAACTGAAATAGAGAATAAAAGTATTATAAACCATACTATTTGGAGATTTTTTGGTACTCTCCTCAAAAAAGGTACTTTCAAATGTCATACTTTAATGAATCAAGTTTTCTATCTTATTTAGGACAACAGAAGAATTCGTTTATTATCCAGTTGTAGATATCGTTTCTTGCAAAATGGAACATATAGTTGAAAAATAGACAACCGTGTTGTATTGCCGACAAGATCAAAAATTTTCCAAAAAAGATTAATTGTTTAGCTTTACAGGGCTATTCTTTGCAGATATGCTGTAAATGAAGCGTCAGCGATTTCACATCATCTCCTACTCACATCATCACATCATACATGCGTTCATTTTGTCACACGTGGACGAGTAACCTGGGACTAGCCGAGTCCTAGGCTGCACCATTTTCAAGGCACACTTTTCAAATCTTGTTAAGAATTTTTCATATTTACACAACAAAACACGAGCATTAATGAATACCTCCAAATATGCTAAATGTTAGCTAAATGTGTTCCAAATGAATGGTCCAAGAAATTGCTACATGCATGCTTTTGTCTTTCAAATCACTGTAACTTGGTCCCTGTCTGTTCATAACTTTATATAAAGGCGAACCAAAATAGTAAACTTCAAATCTTCCACTGACCATATATCAGTAGTGGCGGACTGACCGGTCGGGCTACCGGGCCCTCACAAAATTATTACAATTTTTTCTTAGTATTGCTATTAAATGAAAAATCGTATTGTTTGGTAGGGGCCCTCTTCTGTTGCCATGACACCGAGACTTTATCAGGATTAGTGGATAAAGAATGAATAAAAAGATCACTTTGCGGTATTTAAGTACTGGAAAAGCATTTTCCAAAATTGGGGCCCCATGTAAGCAAGAAGAATCCTGGGCCCAGAGCTTACTGTCTCTAATGCAATAGTACGTTATTTAACTGGAAGTTCCAAAATCTGATAAATTTTCATTTCGGGCCCTCAGTTTAAATGTTTTCATTTAATCATAGGTTAAGGTGGTAAGGACATGACAATTTTTGTGGCTCAATTTCTAGGAAGGTACATTATTTAAATGCTAAACAAATAGATTTGAGAGTATAGATCAAAACAGCAAAAGGGCACAACACCCTCAGCTCTGACAATATTTTTGCTCCAGTACATCCATACCACCAACGATCTTAGGTATAAACTATCGGTACTTACGCCAAATTTTGGTGTATTTCATCGGCAAAATTTTGTCATAATTCCATTGGCGTGGTCTGACTGTGCTAGTTTTAAATTCTAAAATTTGCTGACGTGGCGAAAACCATGCGAGATTTGCCCTGACGAACTTTGCAAAATAACAGGCTCGTAGACACTGGGGGCAGGGGGCAATGCACCCTCTCAATAATTTGCGAAAATTGCTGTAAGATCTTATAAGGGCAGCTTGATCTGACAGTATTTCGTAAGGCAGGTATAGAAAAGGCTATACTTCTATTCATGCCCCCCCAATCCAGTCTAGCAGTCTACGGGCCGGCAAAAATGAATAAGTTTTAAATGTCTCCCATTGTAAACTAAACAATAAAAAGAAACGAGATACAGCTGGAAGACTGAGATGCATTTCAAGCTTTATGCTCATAGAAGTGTAGACATGAATTGACATCATATCACAACTAAAATCGCAAAAAGTATTGGTATTTTGTCAAAAGTTATTTCACCACATACTAACTACGGTATAACCAATTGGGGCGGTGCCTATCCCAGCTCGCTAAATAAACTTAGCAAATGTTTAAAGAAAGCAGTGAGAATTATTACTTTTAAAACGCAAATGGAACCTTCGAAACCAATCCTAAAAAACCTTAAATTGTTGAATTTAGAAGACACATACAAACTGAAATGTGCCAAATTTATGTTTGAAATATCTAAAGGAAGCTATTCCAGCCTTTATTCACACTTATTTCAACTAGCGAGCAACCAGCATAATATCGATACACGGCAAGCCAAATCTGGTAAATTTTATACTCCAGCAGAAAGAACTAATTATAAGAAAAACTTCATTACACATTCAGGAATCAAAATTTGGAATAGTATCCCTCAGAACATTCGAAATTCTAGTACAAAAAAATCCTTCACTCAACTGTACAAAAGAATGCTATTTGACAATTATTAATTGTAAGCTTTTGGGAAAAATGAACCATTGGACCCATGAAAACCTTACTCCGGAACTTTCATTCTTCTTAATTTTATTTTACTTTTCCTTTAAATTTTGATTCGATTTTCCGAATTTTTTTTATAAAAGAGCACAGCAATTCTAGGAAATTATTGTAAATGAAAGCTTGAATGTGTTGCCTAGGATCGTCCTTTCATCAAAATTGATATGGCAAATATTCTAGATGCATTTTCTGGCCATCTCTGTAATGTAATATTTCGATAATTTTTCTTCAATTCGGCCAGAATCCCTAACCATGGTGGTGGCCTTTATTTAAGCCCTGAATAATCTAAACATTTCACCCCGTCCCCTACTTCGTTATCGTTTCGCCTGCCCCTACCTGTTACTGATGTTACCATCTTGGTTGCTGCGCAAACAATCAATTAACCTGGCTGCTTAACCATTGATCGAAAAAACATCAACCCCTATTATGCTTTGACTGGAAAATTACATATCAAGATTGTTTTGAATAACTTAGATATTTCTTGAATAACTTAGATATTTCATTAAGTTCTACCCTGGGTACCAGAGCCTCAGTGATCGAAAATGGTGACCCCTCTAAATACCATTCGCCGTTTTTTATCACTGAGGCCACCCTTTAAAAGTCCTTCAGCTAGAAAACAATAATTCCCCTCCCCGAAATGTCATGATTTTCTCTCATCTCTTATCTACATCAGAATGAAATTTCCAATGAAAATGGTGCTGACCTGGACTAAGGATTGTAAATTAGACATACGCCTAAATCCCTGGTGGCTACTAATTAGAATTAATAGCAATATTCCAATAACGTTTTAAGCCAGTATAAACAGGTGATGCAACAAACAGCTTTGGGAATACCCGTAAACTTATTTTTAATTTTCGGGGCCCTTTCTCGACGAATTGGCCCGGGCCCTAAATTTGGAGCCAATCCGCCCCTGTATATCAGCTAGGTATTTTAAGCTGATTTTCCATATTCAGAGGAATTTTATGGTGTTCTTATATGGCGTTATGTACAGTATGTATTTAAAGGAAATAATACTAAAAATAGATCTTCCAATGACGTCACATCGGGGTGTAGGGGTAGCGAATCTGCTAGGTTTTCCTGTCAAATTCTGAAACAACCAAAAATCTGAAATCCGCGTACAAAACTACCCAACCTCTGCAGATCGACAAACCCCTACAGCCCCCTCACACTTAAGAAATCTATTTCAAATGTTTTTCTTTAGTCTCTTTGAAAAAAGTAAGCATGAGTAAGATACCTATTACAGAAAAGCCATGCAAAATTCCGAACGACAAGTGAATGCTAACTTGATGGACATAAAGCGCTATGAACTGTCCTAAGCAAGCCCCTGCTTGGCCAGCCGCTTCAGAAATGCCACAACCGAAGGACCTGGTCGATGTTGGAATAAGTTCTGCCCCGTAAACATACACAATGGTGTTAAAAGCCGCAAATCCTAAACCTGAAAGGGTCATAAAGATGGTTAGGAGCCAGCCACGAATATCCCAATACAACGGTAAAATACACAAAGATAGGTATGTAATCAGAAAGTAAAAGGACTGTCTTCTTGTGAACTTCCCTAACAGCAAATACGATGTAAAAACAGCAAGCAAGACGGAAATCTCCAAAGCCCAAATATATTTGTAAGTGAAGTGCACTGAGCATGATGTTTCTTTGTTCAGATCTGAATTTTCACCAAACTGCATCGCTCCAAATCGCATCATTGCTGCATATAGAAATCCTAAAAACTGTATGTAAGAAACCAAAATGATTCTTTTCGCAATCTCAAGCGGAGATAAATCCTCTTCGTCATTTTTCTGTTCAACACTGAATTGTCCACCAGAGCTACTTCCCAACAAAGAAATATATCCTTTCTCCAAGCCATTGATTCGGGCGATCCTTTGCAGCGAATCTTCTGCATCGTCAGTCCGGCCAGAAACCAGCAAGTATCTTGGAGATTCGGGAACTAAAAACATCAAACATGCCCCCACTGCAAGGGGTATTGCCTCGGAGAGTATGACGAACCAGCGCCACGTCAAGTGTTCTATCGAGATTCTACCAGCGAAAATCCCATAAGCAGTTCCAGCAAAAAATGTTACATGCAACAAAGACGAATATTTTCGCTGGGAAAGTGGCAAAATTTCTAGTAGGTAGGTATATGCTATCACGTTACTTGAAGATACAAGACCAATAAATCCTCGAATTATGCCCATGAGATATAAGTTAGTAGAGAACGAGTAGAGTGCAGAGAAGTAAGAATTCAATATAAGGACCAGAATCAAAATCTTTCTTCTGCCATATATGTCTGCTAATCTGCCAAGCAAGATCGATCCAGGTATGCTTGATAATACTTCGGGAAGGACAAGCCATGTTGAAGTCCAGTAACTCAGATGCCAGTTTTTACGGAGGTATGGTTCAAGTATGGCGAGAAGGCTATTTGTCGATCCATAGCAGAAAAGTCTATAGCCCATAACGAATATTGCCATGATTTGAAACTTTCCAAAACCGATAGCTTCGAGCTGTGAGTTAATATCGAATCGATCCATATTGGCTTGGATAGTGGATAGACTTTAGTCCTAACCACGTCACTGCCCAATGCATTCTGGTACTTGTAGTTAAACCCAGGAACATTTGTTTATGTTTTGTACGGCGATCGGTCGAAGTTCTGTTATCATTCAAGGGTCTTTGCTCAAATAATCAAAACAAATCATGAAAATACGGCAGAATATACCGAGCAGCCAATCTTTCATATTTTATAAAGAGCGAGTCTGGTATCCAGGATAGGCAAACCTAAGTCTTCGAATATTTAATTATTTTACTGAGAGTGAATTTTTCTACACAGATCAGTCGGGTCTTAGGCCATTTTACTCCGTATTGAAATGCTTACTTAAGAGTACCAATGGCTGGTATCCGAATTTCGACAAGGGACTCTTGTCTGGAGTCATCTTCATCGACGTAAGGGGGGGTTATACATAAAATCGATCATTGTTGGTACATTTTAAAACCATTGTTATTCAAATATCCTACAACATAAAGATTTGACCTACATCTCATCTAACAAGGGAGCCTTAAGCTGAATTCACACTGGACGCGTCACGGCGCGGCGCGTCATGACGCTGACCAAATATGGTTAGCATTTTCGGCAGCTATGCGCACGCAGCGCGTTTTTTCAGCCACGCGTCACCGAGCGTCAAAGTTAAATAAATTTAACTTTGACGCTCGGTGACGCTTCAGAACAATAGAAAACCTAGAGGACAGCCAGAAACGTAAACAAGGAGTTTCTGAAATAGGCCATTATGAAACTGTATTGCTTGTACGGTAGAATATACTTTGATGAGTCTCTCTGATTAAAGCATCGGGGGGCTAAATCCTGAAAGTAACAAAAACAAATCGCATCTATATTAGTTCATGATAAGTAACAGTATTATTCGTGTTTAGAGTCTCTTCGATGATATAAAGTTGCCTCGTCGATTCAATTCAACAATGATTTTGAGTCATTATATGTTCCGTTTTGGTAAAAAAAGTATTTCAATCACTCCCCGTTAAGCTTTCAATACCTTCCAAAGGTATACTTCCGAGGGATTTAATACATGGAAATTTTGGGGAGTGTTGATAAAAATAAGGTGTTTAATTTTCCCTCGAATTTTGGCAGGAAAGGAAACCCCATGAATCCGTAAAGCCAAACATTTTGCTAATTGTAGTAAGACCTTCAAAATCTTTGATATCAATAAATATTTCAGTTCTCTAATGAATGCTTGAAGAGAATCGTCTTCCTGTCAAAACATTGGCCAACCTCTCGAACCGAAATGTCGAAGAAACCGCACGAGACTAATTGAAATACATAGAATACCTCGATGCCAAGATGACGATTCAGGCCAAGATGCTGTTTTTGATATATTAGCTTCAGATTACCGTTTCATCCGTTTCTGTAGCAAACTTAAATGTCCGGCTTGATTTTACAATGCAAGGAATCCAGTACAACTTGTCGAGAATTTTGCAAGTTTGCTGTGAACAGTATTGGAAAACAGAAGAAAACGCGCCGCTCGATGACGCACCGTGTGTGAATAGGATGAAAAATGCATGACGCGACGCTCGATGACGCTCAGTGGCGCGCTGCGCCGCGACGCGTCCAGGGTGAATTCAGCTTTATAGTGCAGTCGCTTAGCAGTTGAATTGTGCATTTCATGATACAAGCATGAAACTTGGTACAAGTACATAATTTGACATGCTGAAAAACATGGGTTGCAGACCCCAATTTAAAAACTTCCCCAAAAGCTATTTTTTAGACTGGGGTACTTGTACCCAGTCCTCCTTCGGGCCTTTCTCTATATCTTTTTACCTATGCAAGTTTTGAACTGGAAACTTTGTATTCTTGCGCAATTTGACGTGCTGAATAAGATGAGATGTAGACCCACTTCAAAACACCCCGAAGCTATTTTTAGAATGGGGTTCTTGCACCCAGTCCTCCTTTGGGACTTCTTCCTTTATTTATTATTTATTTTGTTTTTAATTATTTACACAGTGTAAAGCTATCAACTACATACATAAATTGCTTTCCAAGCTGCCCTGTACAATGAAAGCGATAAACGCTAAAATTTAACAATACAGATATACAAATATACAGATTAGAACAACAAATTAAAAGCATTTAAAATACTGGAAGTAACACCAGGAATAAAAAGGGTCTCTTTATGTTCTGGAGTTTTCGAGATAACATTTTACTTGTTTGAAATGTTTTGTTAATTTAGATTTTGCGTCCTGGCCATTCCATAGTTTTGCCCCTCTAAAAGAAAAGCATTTTTGGCCACATGATGTTCGTAAAAACAGGACACGAAGATCGGTTTCGATGTTTCGAAGTTCCCGGGTACTGGTTTCTGATTACCTGTCGATAACCTGTCGAACAGGCACGCAAGGTACGAGGGAGCCTCATTATTTGTACACTTGTAAACCATTTTCAAAGTTTCTTCTACTATCAAGTCATTTACTGTCTGCCAGCCAAGTTTCTCTATAATAAGAAAAGCAGAAGCGTTGTACGGGCTATTGGTAACTATTCTGGCCGCGCGATTTTGCAACTTCTTAAGCTTGTCTAGTGCCGTGATTCCGCATACTGGGCAACAATATCGAAAATACTGGGCAACGGACAGCATCCTGGCATAGAGAACAATTGTGAGAGTGTATGGTCAATTGAAACTTTTTTCCCTTGCTCGTCTGTTGAATATTGGTGCCTAGCTCGCTTAGAATCGCTCCTCGGTTCACTTTGCGTTGAGATCGAAGTTTCACAAACTTTCCCTCCAAAACGCTGGCATTCCCGAGCCTTACTGCGCATGTTCCATCAATACATTTTTCAAAAGTCTCGTTTGCATTTCAAACTTTGGCCGTTCGTATCCCCAACAGTATTCGTTAAGATTTACTTTTAATGATTTCAAACTTCAAATGTTTACTTCTAATTCATGATACAGTTTTCGCAAGTTTTTGAGATCCCGTTTCGATGAAACTTGGGGCAGATTTATAAAACTTTCCATGTGAGCATTAATATTAAAGGTAATGTGTCCAGCTAAAGCAAGCGATTCTGTGGGGGTTTTTAGAAACATTTGATATTTCATGTCATCGCCCCAGCCACTACGGTCGTTTTGTTTATCTAGACTGCTGCGAGGTCAGCTTTTCATGTGAGCAGTTTTGCATCGCAAGAATACTAACCAATCGCAAACTGTTATTTTGATGGGTGGCTTGACAAGTTGGGTATACGCAGTCCTTTTATATGGACACATTACCTTTAATTTGTCGGTTCGCAAAACGATTTTGCAGAATTACAATAGCTTCACTATAATTTGAGCCAATAACTTGAATGCTAGCCTGCGTCGCAGACCATATTCTGAAGGAGAACTATAAATAATTATAAATCCTCTATCAGAATATGGTCTGCGACGCAGGCTACTTGAATGCCAGGGAGCTCTAGTTTTGGTAATTTCGCTGCAGAATCAACATACAAAGAGTTGGTAGTAGTAGATATGTTTGGCTGTGATATTTCCGAATTTGATTAGCTTCCATTTTCAAGTTTCAGACCTGACAGTTTATCTTCAATTTCTACTAATAAACCGTAGATATCAGATTGAATTTCTTCGCATTGAATCACTTCGTTTTCGATATCATCGTGCTTCATTTCAAGAAACACCTCCTCGTCAATTTTCCTAAGAATATTCGATTTTTCCTATAAGAAAACTGATAGTTTTTGAAGAGCCAAAATTGAAGCTATATATTTAGTCCCTGGCATCGTTTAAGAGTTTACTAGTGTGCGCACGGTAACCAGCCCTAATTCTACTTCGTTTAGGGCGTTGAATTAATTCAGGTATGGAAGTGTCCGTTGCTTCACCCTCTTGTGACATAGTTCATAGTTCATGGCATGACATCAGATTTATGCAACAAGTAATAAAAATCCAAAAGATAAAGACAACAATTTGTAACTAAGAAAAGAACGTCAAACTAAGTAAACAGCGAAATCCGTCGAGGTTCATGGACCATTTAAGAAACCCCACTTAGAATCAGATTCAAGCGTAAACATAAACATAAAGAGCGTAAACGCTGTAGGGTAAAAAGTACCACAGAGTGGTTCACAAGAGTTCAGTTCTAGGGGACTGTATATATTCAGAACAAATGTAAAATAAATAGTTTGATAGTTTAACGAACGAGAGAAATATCGAAAGAAATCACCTGGTTGTCTTTAGAAATACCATAACATCATCAAAGAACCGTACAGCAAGAATGATTCGAATAAGATTTGATCTTCGTGAAATTAAATGCAACGACGTTTCGCAAGAGTTTTTTAGAATGAAGGTGCGTCTGTTCGCTAGCGTTTAGATAATAATAATAAGTTCCGATTTGCCACACCTATCAATATCGTAGCCTCGTTTTCTTGGTTCGCTCACACATACATCGACACTGTAACCGCTGATAGAGCCGAAATGGATCGATTCGATATTAACTCGCAGCTCGAAGCTATCGGCTTTGGAAAGTTTCAAATCGTGGCAATATTCGTTATGGGCTATAGACTTTTCTGCTATGGATCTACAAATAGCCTTCTCGCCATACTTGAACCGTACCTCCGTAAACACTGGCGTCTGAGTTACTTGACTTCAACATGGCTTGTCCTTCCTGAAGTATTATCAAGCATACCTGGATCGATCTTGCTTGGCAGATTAGCAGACATATATGGCAGAAGAAAGATTTTGATTCTGGTCCTTATATTTAATTCTTACTTCTCTGCACTCTACTCGTTCTCTACTAACTTATATCTCATGGTCATAATTCGAGGATTTATTGGTCTTGTATCTTCAAGTAACGTGATAGCATATACCTACCTACTAGAAATTTTGCCACTTTCCCAGCGAAAATATTCGTCTTTGTTGCATGTAACATTTTTTGCTGGAACTGCTTATGGGATTTTCGCTGGTAGAATCTCGATAGAACACTTGACGTGGCGATGGTTCGTCATACTCTCCGAGGCAATACCCCTTGCAGTGGGGGCATGTTTGATGTGTTTAGTTCCCGAATCTACAAGATACTTGCTGGTTTCTGGCCGGACTGACGATGCAGAAGATTCGCTGCAAAGGATCGCCCGAATCAATGGCTTGGAGAAAGGATATATTTCTTTGTTGGGAAGTAGCTCTGGTGGACAATTCAGTGTTGAACAGAAAAATGACGAAGAGGATTTATCTCCACTTGAGATTGCGAAAAGAATCATTTTGGTTTCTTACATACAGTTTTTAGGATTTCTATATACAGCAACGTTGCGATTTGGGGCGATGCAGTTTGGTGAAAATTCGGATCTAAACAAAGAAACATCATGCTCAGTGGACTTCACTTACAAATATATTTGGGCTTTGGAGATTTCCGTCTTGCTTGCTGTTTTTACATCGTACTTGTTGTTAGGGAAATTCACAAGAAGACAGTCCTTTTACTTTCTGATTACATACCTATCTTTGTGTATTTTACCGTTGTATTGGGATATTCGTGGTTGGCTCCTAACCATCTTTATGACCCTTTCAGGTTTAGGATTTGCGGCTTTTAACACCATTGTGTATGTTTACGGGGCAGAACTTATTCCAACATCGACCAGGTCCTTCGGTTGTGGCATTTCTGAAGCGGCTGGCCAAGCAGGGGCTTGCTTAGGACAGTTCATAGCGCTTTATGTCCATCAAGTTAGCATTCACTTGTCGTTCGGAATTTTGCATGGCTTTTCTGTAATAGGTATCTTACTCATGCTTACCTTTTTCAAAGAGACTAAAGAAAAACATTTGAAATAGAATTCTTAAGTGTGAGGAGGGTGTAGGGGTTTGTCGATCTGCAGAGGTTGGGTAGTTTTGTACGCGGATTTCACATTTTTGGTTGTTTCAGAATTTGACAGGAAAACCTAGCAGATTCGCTACCCCTACACCCCGATGTGACGTCATTGGAAGATCTATTTTAATATCTTTTCCTTTGAATACATACTGTACATAACGCCATGATAACACCATAAAATGCCTCTGAATACGGAAAATCAGGTTAAAAATACCTAGCTGATATATGGTCAATGGAAGCTTTGACGTTTACTATTTTGGTTCGCCTTTATATGAAATTTATGAACAGACAGAGAAAAAGTTACAGTGATTTGAAAGACAAAAGCATGCATTTTTGTGGTATTCATTTATGCTCGAGCAGGTTATGTTATGTAAAATTGAAATATTCTGAACAAGATTTTTGCAACGCTGTCAACGATTCATCTTTGATTTGGCTAGTCCCAGGCTACTCGTCCCACGTGCAACAAAATGAACGGATATCTGATGCACCCTATCGTTACGCTTAAGAGAAGTAAGAGATGGGGCCAAATGGCCGACGCTACATTTACCGTATATCAGCGACCCTGTAAAGCTAAACAATTATTTACTCGGAAAGTTTTTGATCTTGTCGGCAATATAACATGGCTGTCTATATGTTAACATTTTGTGAGAAACGATATCTACAACTGGATAAAAAACGACTTCTTCTGTTGTCCTGAATTAGATAGAAACTTTTATTGAATAAAGTATGATACTTAAAAGTACCTTTTTCGAGGAGAAGCCCAAAAAGCTTCCAAATAGTATGGTTTATAATACTTTTATGCTCTATTTCAGTGCTATTTTCATAACATGTTCAATGATTTTTTGAAAGATAAAAATTATTGTTAGATATTTCTCTGAGAACCTGTTTTACAAAGGACTTTATGTCTTTTTCAATAATGCAGATTTATCGGCTTGAAATAATTTCCAAATTTGTCTGATTTTTATTAATACAGGGGCTGTTCTCGCTTCGATTACCGTAGCAATTGAGTGTTCCTTCTCACGAAAGGTCTCGACATAGAATTCCTTTCATTATCTTCATTTATTGCTTTACATTATGTTAGTTTTTATCTAGTTTATTGAATAACAAAATTATGTTAGCTCAATTTTCTGTATGTTTATATCATGTGAAATTTAAAATATACGAACTGAACTGAACTTCCTGCAAATTTTTCGATCAACGCCACTGGGAGTAGTTTCATGGGTGATCAGTGTACTTTTTGGACCTTTCCTCTAATACTTTGATGTCGTCAATTTTCGGTCGTTTGCATCATAGAGAATGTCCTTATTTCATTAACTTTCGTTTTGCGCAAACTTTTTTATTTGACAGTTCAAAAGATTTTAGGATATTCTGTATCCAATTATCTTTGATACTGCTTAACACATCGAGGTAGTATTTGGCACAGTGACAACCTATGGTAGCCAGGGTGGGAAGTTTTAGGGGCAAGGATGAGCCCTGTATCAGGGTGTCTGGGTTGATAGACGTAGGAGCCAGGGGGCACGTGCTCCCCCCCCCATTTTTCACAAAAATTGATAAGTACTTACTTGCAGCTTACAAAGGTGCACCTTCTCTGAGTACGTGTGCCCCTCCACTTTTGAATTGCTTCTTACGTCTATGTCAAAGGTCTTACTCTGGTGTATTTTTGCCGGCTAAACCCTAAAAATGCAGGAAAACACCCCTCTTGTGACTGTTTTTGAAATAGGTTGTATAAAAAATGTATTTGAAATATCATCAGTACCCGACATACAATAGGCAATGACCATGATGATGATTGCAGTGAAGTTGCTTGGCAGTTGAATCATGCACTTGGTGATGGAAGCATGAAATTTGATAGAAAAACACAATTTGATATAATGAATAAGAAGAGATGCAGACCCGACTTTGAAAATGCCCCCAAAAGCTAACTTTTACTAGGGCACTTGTACCCAGTCCTCTTTTGGGTCTTGCTCTTTATCTTGTAAATTACATCAAGTATCAAAAATTTCGATGGGATTTATATTCGGTGAAGCAGGGTAGCCGAAAATTAATCCCACCGAATTTTTTCGAAACTGAAATTGTTTCTTACCGAGATTCCCAAACGCTGAAAGAAACTTGTTTTACACCGATTGATTTTCAAATGAATAAAATAAATTTCTTTTATATTTTTTATGGGTAACTATACCTTCATTTTACATATCAGTTTTTATTTTTCCTTCGCCATCAACAGATACGATATCCAGCTCATCTTCGCTTTCTTCTTTTTCGCCCTCCACATCCAAGAAATTTGAGTTCTCTATGGGCTGAACAGATGCTCCTACTGGCTCTTCATAAATTCTCTCAATTATTTCGTTTTAACGCCCCAGATGTTTCAATTTGGACAGCTCAATTTTTAGCTCACAATCGATCAGAATTTCTTATCCCCTCGTTGCGATTGGCAAACGAATAAATTGCAAAATGTAAACGTTTCCAATCAATTTTCCTTCACGGTTTATAAAAAATGATTTAAACAGACCGGTTGTGAATATTTCTAGAGATTTGACCCGAATTCGTTTCTGCATTGGAAAACTCCTTTGAAATGTAAAGAAAAAGCTAAATTTTGAAAACAGCGTTATTCGCGGCCAGCCAGACAAACTAACTTCAACATGAAGATTCCAATTCTGTGATCAATTTTTAGAGAAAATGAAGATAATTAATTGACAACGCTAGATGGAATCAACGTATAGTATTTTTCGAAGTGGTGTGCGTCCATATTATCAGGGTTTCAAATTGCATTTTTCTTTCAATCAGGTCTTAGCAATCTTAATCTAAAGCGTTTTTAAAAGGTCGTGCGGCACAAAACTGTAGAGGTTGGAAGAATATGCGAAGAATGAAGGTATATAACGGTCTTACGAAATGAAAGCGTTGCTCCTGTGCTCCGAAACATGGATCTTTCACACATGCGATGTTGTTTACTTTTCAATAAAGCTTCCCCATTCACTGCGAGTCCTGTTTTCACCTTGCAAACATGGCTGACGCGACGCCATTTCTGGGTGCCCCATCTCGATAAAGCCACCTTCTCGTCGTTAACAACACTTATTGAAGCAACCAACCAAAGCAAGTTCGTTAGTAGTCACGTGTTCCTAAGGCATGCATGCTTTGACACCTCAAATTCAACTCCCAAGTGAATTTTCACTTGTTTCGTCTTGGTTCGATTGGACAACAAATTAACAAGGGAAATAACAGATGCATGTTTATTGCCAGTTTAAAGCATTTTCAAAGCTCCATGGGATCAAGTACAACTTAAATTCGAAGTGTCAGTTTGGAAGCTTTTTCGATAACATGGATACGAAGGAAAAAAGTCAACAGCATCTCTTTCCTTCGAATGAAAAAACAAGCAAAACACGATCAAATAGCTTTCTGGAAAATATTCTTGGGGCACCTTACACATCTAAGAAGAGCACCTTTTTAGGTGATTTACTCAACGTAGATGAAACAGCGCAAGCTCGTCAGCGAAGCCATTCTATTGCCGAAGAGTCGCCTTCACGAAGGCCTAAGCAAGAAAACGAACGCGAGAAAACGCGGGACACTCACTTGATCATGAAGTCAAGAAACGTTTCATTGACTGAAGCACTTCTAGGTCGACGACATAGCACTAACGCTGTATCCATGGTCAATCTTAATATGGATTGCGATTCAAGTTTTGAAAGCAACAGTGGGAATTCCGGGCAGTCCCTGGATTATCTGGATACATTCGATGATCCACATTTCACTGTATCTAAACCAGATCCCGTTCTGGATTTAAAAGATTTCAAGCCGGATTCTGAATCTGAAGCTAGCGGTATTCGCTTCATAATCGAAGAGGCTCCAACCAATACAGCTCCTTCCCATAAGAAGCCTATGATTGATGCTTTTCTTGATCGGGTGAACAATCTTTCCTGGGTTCATGGGATGATACCAAAAAAGAAATTCGCTCCAGGATGCCAAGATAGCACCCAAGGCAGGAAAGATAGCGGAGCTTCATTTTGCGACGATCTGCTGGTAGACAGAATTTATAAACATCTCAATGATAAATAATGACTTTAAGACGAAACTGCAAAGAAATATAAGGACTAAAGAATTGAAATTGCAGATGTCACCAAGAGACTTACAATTCACGGTTTTTATTTTCATGTTCATCCTTTACAGGCTAGAGAAGGACTTTATTTGGCGACATCACAAGCTTCATTTTGAATAGTGTTTTCATAAGTAAAAATTTGACTAGCACACAATTTTGTAAGGTAAATTTCGAGATAAGAAATCCATGCTATCGTAATCTTTATTCATAAAATTGCCAATAAGAAATGTTGGTTTTAATTGTTAGTTGGATTAATTACTTGTCTTAATTGTAGTTGACTTATAACAATATAATTAATTGTCTTAATTCATTCTTGAAGCAGTGAAATTCAATAAACATCCTTCGTGTTTCGGTTGTATGTTGTATTAATCAATGTTATGTTTGGTTAAATTGAATTTTTTATATTCAATAAATGAAGTAAATCTTCGACTTCTTATGGATGACTATTTCTCCAGTTTAACCTACAATACTGTAAAAGATATGATAACTACTGTGTCGTAGGAATGAAATTCATATAAGTGAAGGGGGTTTGTGGGTCGGGGGAGTGACGGATAGGTGTTTGTGGGTTGGGGGTTTGTTGGTTTTTTTATTTAAGGGGTGGGGTTTGCAGGATGGGGCTTGAGGTGTTGTGGTTTTTTAGGGAGGGGGTTTGATGAGTTGATGTTTGATGGGTGAAGGTTGGTTCGCATTGAGTATTTTGTTATAAAGGAAACACTCTTTTGGCAATAACTAGGGGTCTGATTGTCTCAAGCATGGAGTCTCGGGGGGGGGGGGGGGGGGTTGGGGAAACAGGAAAGGAATAAAAAGACAAAGTAGATTTACTTTTTCTGTGTTACACATTTAATTATCATTTACATCGGAAAACTTTCAAAAAGCTCTAGTTTACAAACATCAATTTACCGATACCTCTCATTAATCTAATTCTTGGTAGGAAAGGCAGTAAAATTGCCACATGTGGTTGCAAAATAAGTGTTGCTAACGATGTGGAAGCATTTTACATTAATTGTAAATAGTTGGCTTAAATTAACTTAATGCTAGATTTACGAAATAAATCATTGCCAATTGTAAATAAATTACTTATTATCATATTACAATTATTAAGCAATTAACATCGAACGGTGGAGTTACAGGTAGGAACAAAGAATGCAAATGTGTAGTTAAATGGTTGGAAGTACTTGATGGGTAATAATAGAAGCTGAAGATGGACCAGCGTCAAACAATTGGGTTAGCAAATTTTAGTTAAGAAAATTTCATCTTGGTTGTTATGTTCAGTTAATCATTCGGATGAATAGCTTGCGAAAAGAGCCCCGAGAAAGACGCGTTTCAACCTGTGAATTTCATAGCCTAACTGTAAAATTAAAAGTGTTATTTCTTATCAATAACTTGTTAATATTGATACTTTGTTATGCTTGCGAGTGACTTAGGTGCATTAGCAAAGGTGCAGTTGTAGGGGTCCAATAGCAGGGTTGTAGTGACAAGAGTGCATTGGCAGGGATGCAATGGCCGGGGTGCAGTGGATTGCAGTAGGGTGCATTGGAAGGGGTGCATTAGCAAAGGTGCAGTTGTAGGGGTCCAATAGCAGGCTTGTAGTGACAAGGGTTCATTAGCAGGGATGCAATGGCAGGGATGCTATGGCAGGGATGCAATGGCGGGGATGCATTGGCACCCCCCTAGTATTGAAAATTGGCCGCAATGAACACCCTCTTCTATTAGAGACACTAGAGTAGCAACAGGTATTAGCACAGCCAAAATGTGAAAAAATTGATCGCCAGATTGTTCGAGCATGATGTATTAAAAAACATTCGCTAATATCATACTTTTTCGAGATAAATAACCAAGATAAATAACGCTGCCTTCTTTTTAAATGCTAAACAAAAATGACGTTTCATAAATTAAAATTAAATACAACAGAAACCAGCTCTTTAAAATTTGAAAATTTCATAGTAGTAATTCTTGCAGCTTGTAAACGTATTTTCAACAATTACCAGGTAGTTGTCTAGACTCTGTGTTGTGGTAAATTTGATGTTCGTTAAAAACAAAATTTTCGTAATACATAACATAACTTATACAAGCCTCCATAAATGCGTTTCAAAAACCAGGCAAACAGACCCAAGTGAAAGAAACTGACCTTGGTATTTCTAGAGCCAGGAGCAATTGTGCCTTAAATGACAAGGCAATCCATGATCAGTTGCATTTTTTATTACCATTAACAAATATATCATTTTCAACAGGGAGAAGCTAAAGAAAATTGTTTTGGGAGGGAGTGCAGATCAGTTTGAGTTTGAGTAGCCATTCGAGAATACACAGCCAATTTTTAGGAAGAAATTGAGCACATCATATGGATGAATTCATTTATCGCTAGTCTGTCCCTCAGTGATTGGCTAACATGAACAATAGGTCTTCCCGCCTTAACGGATTACGCTGCTCGCTTTGGCCGGCCTAGCTGCGGCAATGAACGAGTAATCGGGAATGGCAAGAAGATTTAGTTACTGGAATTGAATGATAATGATAATAAAGGAAGCATTTCCATTTGCTTTTGACATATCTGTCGCAGAAATCAAACAGGGAGTCAAAATTTTCTAGCCACAGCTTCACTATAACGGGAAAACAGCCATTTGATTCACAAGCTCTGGAATCAAAGCTGTCCCTGATTGGTTTAAATCGGTTAATTATCGATTAAGCTCAACAGTGCTTGAATTTCACAGCAATGGAGTTCTGAAGCAATGCCGTCACAAAATACAGCATTAAGAATTTTTTAATTTTGATCCTATGACTTGAAAGAGCACCACGAAATATCTCTTAATTTGCCATATCAGATAAATATGTTAGGCCTTGGCCGAGATATGGCCACATGAGCACAAACAATGGTTGCTGTATGTTTCGGGATCGTTGGCGGTTAACTAATTTATGTTTATCGACTAAATTCGGCAAGCCAAACATTAATGTAATCAAAATTAGTTTTGTGTGTTACCAAAATTTTCAATAACTTTCATCTTCAATTGCCTGTTTTCTTTTATTTAATTCAGTTTTTTCCAATTTCGAGATTATCTTAACATTCATTTGTTTTCTGTGGTTTTCAACACGCAGCAAAAATGCGACCAAATTTTGTTTTTGCACCAGATCAATTTTCGACTGCCAGGGGTTTTTGAGAACGGCCAAATGGCAACCCTGTATCGAGCCTTTGTAATATGATCTGTGTACATAACTTTATGAACAGACCCAATATAACAGTAATCCGTTAGTAAACTTAAAATCTTTCGTTGATCGTATCTCACCTGGCTTTTCACATATTTAACTGAGTTGCATATTTAGAAATATTTCATGGTGTTCTACAAACAGACTCTTATCGCCAAGTCCAAAGTTCGGGAGAGGGTGTCCCTGATTTTTAAAAACACCCCCTCATCTTTCGCCAATCTTGTTTGCCTGTCTATCAGTTCTATTTTCAAGGTAGAAAGAGTACAGAAAATCGATAGCAATAGAAAATTCCGAAATTATTGAAGTCGACTCTCGATACTTTCACAAGGGTGCAGCCAGGTACGGAACATTTCAGAGTTAAAGCACTGGACTTTAGCTTTGTTAAATTTCTGGATACGTTACTCTATGTAAATAATGACTCTATGTAAAGGAAATACTGTACCTAAACCAGATCCAGTTCCGGATTCAAGAGATTTCAAACCGGATTCTGAATCCGAATCTCCCTGAATCCGAACCTCCGGGTTATCAACATGGCATCAGTCAACACCGCCTCTCTACACGAGATTTCTAAGAATTTTTCTATTTCCTAGAATCTTATGAGTCCACGTAGGTCTGTCAAGAATTCGTTACCGTATTTATGAAGTCCTGGAACACAACTGTTTCTGTAATTCTCTTGAAAGTCGCCGATGCTTCCAGCGCTTTGCCTATCGACATCCATTGGCATTCTTCATGAACGTTTGTCTGAAATGCATTCATTCCTAAATAGATGTTGTCATGATTCGCATTCGTAGACTCACCTGGAACAACGATGATGAAAGCACCAATTCAACTAGCGTTAATTATGAGAGCAATGAGCAAAGCGATTCAGGTACTGCCTCGTGACGTCATAGGTACAGGTAAATGATAGCACCTCTCCGCAAACAAGGAATCTACTACTTCAAGAGTTTTCGAGTTTCAAAGGTTTATGATTTGTCAGGCTGGAATAGGTTCGAAAACAAAAGGAAGATGGTCTATAGGTTCTTTAGATTCAAAGTAAAACAAACGTTTCAACTTTACTTCAAACAAAAAATTAATGAAATTAAAAAGATCAACATGTTAGAGGGAGAGATTATTACCCTATTTTATTTGATTATTACCCGAATATCGCTATCAAAACCAAAAACAAATTGTTATGGTATAGAAAGTACAACCTTTATGGGATCCAAGCTCTGGCAAGAGCTTACAAATGACATTAAAACATCTTCTAGCCTCGCAATATTTAAGAAAAAGATTCTTGAAATATTCATCGAATAATTGTATATTTTTATCTAATGAGTCATCCTTTTAATTTTGTACATTTTCTATATCATTTTATTCATTCATTGTAATTAATTTAATATTTGTAAATGTAGTATAAATAGTAGGCTTTAATTAGCTGTTATATTAGCTTAAAAAAAATTTGCTTCGCCTACTGTAGATAATTTTATAATAATAATAATAAAATAATAATAATAATAATAATTTGTTAAGAGGCAGTTGTTAAGGACGGTAAATAAAGTGTTTACCCTCAGTGAAGGGAAAGAAAAAAAGCGAATGTCAGAGAGACCTCGTCATAGAACAGAGGCTAGAGGTTCATTTCTGTTATGTGGTCTGGTTTGTATCTCGTCCTAGAATCATGCTAGGAACAATCTCATCTCGCTGCACTGGATTGATGGGAAAATTTTATGGCCATGACATGATAATGGAGGCGGGAATGTAAAGAAACAGAAGAAATGAACAGAAACTACGAGAGAACAAAAGAAGGGTCTAATCCTCATGGGTGATTTGAATGCTGACTATCTGAACACTTCGAAAAACAAGGAAGTAAAGCGAATCATCAAGGGGCATGGGCTCAAACAAATAATAACAAAGCCCACAAGAGTCACCAAAACACAAGCACACTCATAGATATTATTGCAACAACCCACGAACAGAATGTAAGAAAGCATATCACACGCCCTAATTCTCTCAGTGATCACGATCTGGTGGGAGCAGTTATAAAGAAAAATTGTCAAAAGTTTTTATCAAGGACAACATACAAAAGAAATTTTGCGAAGTATGATGAAAATAGTTTCAGAAGAGATCTCCAAAGTCAGCCCTGGGAAAACCTTGAAAAAGAACAAAATGTTGACAAAGCATGGACAATTTTCAAAGGGCTCTTGAAGTCAGTAATAGATAAGCATGCACCCCTAACAAAGAAAAAGGTAAAAGGGCGTGATTGTCCATGGCTAACAAATGAAATTAGATCCAAAATGAATGAGAGAGATTACTGGTTGAAGAAAGCAAGAAAGACAGGAAAAGAAAATGATTGGTCCACATATCGTCGCTTACGAAATGCAGGAACTCGAATCATCAGATACAGCAAGGCAACTTACCCAAGATCTGTCTTTCAAGAAAACATTAACAGACCAAAGCAGTTTTGGGAGCAAATTAAAAAATGTTATCCAGCAAAATCCTCAAAAGATCGAAGCAGCAAAGTTTTTGAAATAAATGGAGAAATTACTTCTGAAAAGAAAACTATATCAAACGAATTCTGCATGTTTTTCGCGACGATTGGCAGAAAATTGCAATATACATTACCAGCAATAGTGAATCAAAGTTTGGAATATCACAAACACTCAACATTGGATCATAGACAGAACCCCAAAAAGGTAACCTTTAATTTCAAAATGACAAACATCAAAGACATCAGAGGCATTTTAACGAAACTAAAAAGAAAAAAGGCTGCTGGTTGTGATGATATACCAACAACGTTGATTGTTGATGGGGCAAACGAGATAGCTGGTCCTCTCTCAAATTTGATTAATCGATGTCTTGAAATGGCAATCTTCCCATGTGCTGAAAAATGCTCTAAAATTACACCAGTCTACAAGTCAGGTGAAAAAACGATCATGGATAACTATAGACCAATTTCTATACTCCCTGTTATTTCAAAAGTCTTTGAGCGGGTTGTGCACAATCAGCTCTATGACTATCTTGAGGCTAATAATATGCTTTCGGGGAGACAGTTTGGTTTTCGAAAGCGATCATCTACTCAACATGCAGTTACATTTTTCTCAGATTTCATCAGAACCAATATGGACAGGGGCCTTATGACTGGAGCTGTATTTATTGACCTGCGAAAGGCTTTTGACACAGTGAACCATGAGAGACTCCTATCTAAACTTCTTAATTATGGTATTAAAAACAAGGAGCTTTGCTGGTTTGAGAGCTATCTGTTTGGTAGAACGCAAATTGTATCATATGATGGAGCCTTGTCAGAAAGTCAAGCTATTTCCTGTGGAGTACCGCAAGGATCCATATTGGGTCCATTGCTTTTTACCTTACTAATAAACGATATCGATGAAAATTTAAGCCAATGTGAAATGACCCTTTATGCTGATGATTCTGTTTTGTACGTTGCTGGTAAAAATTGTGATATTATCGAACAAAAGTTAAACAGTGATCTAAAACAGATTGCTTACTGGCTTCAGCAAAATAATCTCGTTATTAATCTCAAAAAGACCAAGACCGAGTGCGTCCTTTATGGTACACACCAGAGAACTTAGAAATCAAAACCTATGGAGATCAAGATCAATAACACAAAGATCACAGAATCTAAAGAATACGAATATCTAGGAGTAAAGATGGACAAGAACCTGACCTTTTCTGATCATTTCGAAAAAACAATAAAAAAAGCCACATCTAGAGTAAAGTTATTGTCGCGTATACGGCATAATATAAGTCCTTACACAGCAGAAACAATTTACAAGGTAACAATTTTACCAATTCTGCTTTATTGTAACAATGTGTTCCTTCACATGGCACCATCAAAAAAGATGGTGTATGAGAACATTCAGAGACGGGCACTGAAAGTAATAAATGGCAACAGGGACAGTGTACAGCTGGAGAAAGTCAGTAGTATACGAAACAAGATGTGTGCTCTTGAAGTTTTCAAAAGTTTGAATAGCGTATCGCCACACGCCTTTCGAAACTACTTCACTAGAGTAAAACACAGGCAGTGTACTCGTGCCAATGCAAAAAATATTGTTTTGCCCAAAGTACATTTAGAAGCAGGCAAGAAGGCCTTTTACTTTCAAGGAGCAAAGATTTTTAATAAACTAACAGACGAAATGAAGTGTGAAATTTCAATTCTAAGATTTAAGACTTTTTGTAAAAATTTTAACTTCGACTTTTAAGATTTCATTCTCATCATGTATTTAATTTTTATTTCGGTAATCCATGTATATTTTAAACAGGTCCTTTATTGATAACAGCACGTTGTTGCTGACCAAAGTTAACCTGTATAAATATGATATTATTATTATTATTATTATTATTATTATTATTATTATTATTATTATTATTATTATTAAGGGATTGAATGAAAAAATAAAGAGAAAAAAGAACGACGAAAGCAGAAGAACATGACGGCAAGAAAGGAAAGTACAGGCAGTGAATAAGAACGTCACTTGATCTCCCTTAAAATCACAAAACTAGAAACAAACAAAGTGGCATTCACATACCATTGAGTAAAGTTCCTTCGCTGCCACGGGCTCCTGTTGTTCTCGGTTTATTCAAGCACAAATAATACCTAGTGAAATCACCTGATGGAGAAAAAGATGTTTACAATAATGCTTACAGCAACCAGCATTCGATTATGATAGGAAAAAACTGGGTTTTAGGCCAGTAGCGTTTGTTTAGCGGGGGAAAAGGGTATACGGAAAGGGGGTATACGGAAAGGGGGTATACGGAAAGAGGGTATACAGAAAGAGGATATAGGGAAAGAGGGTATACGGAGAGGGGGTATACGGAAAGGGGGTATACGGAAAGAGGGTATACGGAAAATGGGTATACAGAAAGAAAGTATAGGGAAAGAGGATATACGTAAAGAGGGTATACGGAAAGAGGGTATACGGAAAGAGGATATACGGAAAGAGGATATACGTAAAGAGGGTATACGGAAAGAGGGTATACGTAAAGAGGGTATACGGAAAGAGGGTATACGGAAAGAGGATATACGGAAAGAGGATATACGTAAAGAGGGTATACGGAAAGAGGGTATACAGAAAGAAGGTATACGAAAAAAGGGTTTACGGAAAGAGGGTATACAGAAAGAGGGTATATGGGTATGCACAAAACAATAAACATCCTTCAACGTGCAGTAAACGTTTTCCATTTTATTACGGACGAAAAGAGCTAACGCAACACAATATAATACCTAACTTTTATAACTTCTCTAATTCAAAAGGGCGTGGCATCAGTATATTGCCAAGGGATACGTTTATTACAACCCCCCCCTCCCCGCATTCCTACACAATTAATTTTGACATTGAATATAGCACTCAGTATATTCCCCCTTAGCAAGAGGAATATTAAGCAAAACTGAATTACCTTTGTGGGGATTGAAATTCTCATGTTCCAAGATCTCTATATCGACATATGGGAATTTGGCTATCTCCGATGGCGATATGACAATGCCGGTCTCTTCTCGCAGCTCTCGGTATGCGCATTCCGAGCTGCTCTCCATAAAAATACCTAAGATTTCAAAAAACACATATGGCAACGCAAGAAATTTACAGCAAGATGGAGGGTTGAATTGAAGAAATTATTTACCTAAATCTACTTAACTGACTACGGAAATATTATAAAATCCATGTCAGTTTTACTGCTTCAAAAACCAAAGAATATGTTACTGCTTTGAAACAAATCTAGGCCCAACCAAGAGCTTCTTTCCATCTAGGATTCTATCTCCACCTATACCACCGCCACCACTACAATCTTTTTCGCCATTATCAATATCATCGCCACTTTTGTCATCCTCATCAGCATTATCAACATCGTCACCATCATTACACCATCATGCTTATATTTATGCTGTGTACACAGTTTCTTTTCAATGTAAATGTGCCACATACAAACTACCTTGTAATAGTCAAACTACGTGAGGTTTGTAAGTGTTTTGTTTTTCAAAAGGAAAAGACAACTGGTTCAAAAAAGGATCTAAATTGTAACTTCAAATCGGTAAAGTTTGCTAACTTTTCCTTCAGCACTCTTGGAATTTTAAACAAATCTTGTGAAACTTTCGTTGAAACGTGTAAAACTCTTTCCTCTGATCAACAACACAAAATTATCTCATCTCTAAACACAAATTTTAATAATTTTGTCGGAGAATTCGAATATTTTGCCCATTTAAAAATTGGTCCCATTGTGTTCAACTGTCTAAAATATTTGCCCCACTGCCCCCTTAGTATATTTATCCACAAGAAAAAATTGGTCCCACTGTCTCCTTATCTGAATATTGTACCAACAAAACTAGCCCATTTGGCCCTATCCTACATAGCTCCGTTGCCTCCTTCAACCTTAAACCCACCTTAATTTGTCAACAGATATAAACACAAACCTGTTGTTAGAAGCCGATGCTTGAAAACACCTTTTGGTAAGTTCCACGGTTTCTCGAAAACATCGTTGCATTTCCGTTTGTTTCTATGGCGCCTCTGAAGTTCCCATCTGCAACGTTTCTGAGAAACAAAACATCTCCAAATTATTTGGCAGTGAAATACTTCAGGGACCTAGCATGTGAGCTTAGATTGAGGGAGGAGACAGGATAAATGAGTGATTACATGAAGGATTAGTGGAAAGCACCAACGAGAAACAGAATAGCAGAATTAATGTCCAGAATTGTTCCTTGTGGGTTCTTTTATTTTTCTGCCTCATAAAATCTATAAACCCCTTTTAAAACAATCAACAGGACAAACAGGGACAATAGAAGCATTTTAATGTTGGAGGGGAAAAGGTGGCATGGAGCACTTTGTCTCAGGAGAGGACGCAAAAGGTTCTATATAGGGCAGCTTCAAGAGAAGAAGCACTTTCCGCAATGCTATAGGGTATCTGTTGCTCGATATCATAATAAATACGTCATTGAACCTTGCACCTCAGAACGCTTTATCATTTTTCGAAAGGAAAGAATACGAAAAAGTCAAATGGTTTGGAAAAAAGGTAGGCGAAAATTTCTACTGAGCCATTTTTGCTGAATTGGTCTTAAGGTACACTTATAGGCCAAGTATGTGCATTTCAACAAATAAATGTTTTGACAACAATATAACAATTAAACTAAAGATCACGCACATAAAAGTGAAAAATAGGGGAAATGGGGGTCACGAGCCCTTTATTGATACAACACAAAGATGGGCAACTGATGTTTTTAGGCTTTGCTCGCCTGAATTTACATAAGAATAAAACTGCAAATGTAAAGAAGAGCTTTAAAACAAAACTCATTCATATGATTAAAAAACTTTGTAATTTCACATTTTTAAACATACTTGGAGTTTACGAAGGTCCTCTGGAAGATGCGATTGCAAGAGGCGGCTCCAAGAATCTTTAAAATTCCATTGCAGAAACAGCTGCTTAATGGAGGCATCCTTCATCTCGCTTAACAGCTTAACTTCAGAGTCCAGCCAAAATTGCACGTGCTGTAATATCTTATCGACATCGAGTTTCATTGGCCTACCCGAAAAGTATCGTCGAAACCATTGCGCTAACGAGGCTGATACGTGAATAAACGCGGGGCTTGTGACGTAACGTTTGAGCAAAACTTGCAAGGAGTCCCTGCGAAGAAACCGAGAATAAGAAATCTTAAACGCAGTAGCGCAGTGAGGGGTGCGAAATTTGAGGTGGGGGGGAGTTGGGGGTTGGGGTTGACGAGGGTATCTTAATAATCAAGACAGAATGACAGACAGAAGATGCAAAAACATCCTCCTACTTAAAGGCGAAACAAACAAGGAGTATTTTTGAGAAATCCGGCGACTTTAGAAAGTGAAAATTGAGAAAAGCCAAAAACAGTAATATGCTAATACGAACCTTATGAAATAGCTGGCTTCAAGCTAGTTTTCAAAAAAGAGAATTTTCAACCACTCCAAAGGCCACTCACATTCATATTTTGCAAGGAAAGCTTCCCAGCGCCCCCCCCCCTCCCCCGGCTAGGGTGCTTTGCTTACCTTTGCCTATCTCCCAAACTCACCACTCTGGTTGCGCTATTGCTAAAAGACAGATTTTTTGTCTATGTGTTGATTTATGTATATGTTTGTTTATTGTTTTATGGGTATCTTTCTGTTTCGGGATAGCTCTCCAGGAATGAACAGGGGAAAAATTATGGCTTTATCTACAGCTGATATATTTGGATCCTCGCATATGGAAGTGCAGATTTTCATGGCTTATACATAGGACCCTATATAAATACGCCCTATACAGCAGTATAAATACGGCTATCCGCACAAAAGGCTGGAAAGCTAAGTAAAATTTCGGTGACTATCCACACGATGTAAATTTTTCTACCAAAGAAACCCCTTAAAATGTTTGGCCACCTTGAGATCCAGCAATTCCAGAGTTGAATTTAGTAATCCATTTGACTTATGGATTACTTATGGATGAGTTAAAATCAGGGGTGTAGTGCTAGGGGGACTCAGGGGGGCTCAGGGGGGCTGAGCCCCCCTTGTCAATGCCGAACAGTAGCCAATTTCTACTTTTGCTATTGTTTTTCACAGCGTTTCGCGCAAAAGCCCCGCTTGTTATTTTGATAACACTACACCCCTGGTTTAAATGTAGGCATAGTGAAAAACTAGGACCTTAAATATACTGAAGCTGTTTTTCAATATTTTTTGGTAAATGGTTTTCAGCTGTGATCTCGAAGCAAGTGAGGCTATCACCAGCAAATGGTAACAAAGAAGGACATACCTGAGCTTCGTGTCGAAGTGAATCATAACGACACCGCAGCTTAACAAAACCGGTTTTGGCTTCAGCGGGTACAAAATTTCTTCGCAGCTTTTGCCTCGCAAATAAATCTGATTGCCTTGCTGGTAATATTTGCATACCAAACCACGGATATTCGCGCCTAAAGTAGAAGGATGACGTGTCTCATTAACGATGGCCACAATAGAACGTATTCGTTTATTAAAATTGCAAAACAAACTCGTAACTTGAAACGTGTAGAATTATAGCTTCGAAGATAGCATTGCATACACAGGTTAGGGAAAATGAACATAGGATTTAGTCAGGTTATATAATATCGTGCAAATAAGCGGTTTAAACGTTGTTGCACGCATTCGCTCAAAATATATAAGCCATTTTTAGGAAAAACCCCTATTCCCAGTAGGCGTTTTTAAGCCTCCTTTACAGTGTTGTCGCAAATGTTCAAACACTCGATACAATGGCCATCCAACTCCCAGTTGTATAAATATTAATTCCCTTGTGCCGATAAAAGCAAATCCAATTTTTCAGGTTACTGCGTTTTTTGATACTTCGAAATTGTAAATATGCGACAAAACAATCGGATACGGGGAGGGGGTGCTGTGGTGAGGTGGGCTGCAGACATTTCCTTTATAATTGTGTATGAATGGCAAGCCATACAACTGGCAGCCCCCCCCCCCCAATATTAATTTCGATCCGATGACACTGTACGGAGTAAACAATGTTTTCATATACCTGGTCTTAAACGGACTCTCCTTCGCTCTTTGTGACAGATCAGTTCTTTTGTGATTCCGAGACACTTGAGTGGGATCGAGAATTCAGTATTGCCAACTATAAGGATGTTGGTCTTATCAGGCCAGTCTTCACAAACGCTCAGGTCGGTGACCCTACTGACTGGAACACCAGAGATGCGTGGCTCACCAAGTCCCCAAACCGACAGGGGGTCGTGTTCACTATCGTATGTGTCGTCAGAAAGCAACGCCCGTTCTCGCTCCAGGATATCTTGGCTAATTTAAAAAGAAAGAAATCATTTACTGTTATATTAAATATAAGTATGAATACTATACAAACAGTAATAAGGTTTTTGGCTTTAGTATCCATCTACATTTTTTTTGTAAGTTTCTTTGCAGAGGGCCGATGGCAGAAATGTCTTTCCAGCAGGATCGATATTGTATTGCACCTTAATTCTACGAGAAGGTGTTAGGGGAGGGGTAATATTATGGCAAAGTACCCCTACGTGATGTGATTCTATTAATTCGAAATGCTGTTACGTTGCAAAAAGTCACTTATCACTGTTTTCTGTTGGTAAAAGTCATATTGTTAAGTAAAAAGGGGGTTACCTAAATCTTTCTATTTTTTAACCCTACAGCCTAATAGCTAGGGGGAGGGGCATTCAAATTTACTACTTCTGTTGAAGTGCTATTCTCTCTAATGATTTCAAAAGCAAATGACAGAAAAATCATTTTCTGTTCAACGAATATTGGGAGCATTTAGACCTACAGCCCTTGGTATAACCTGGTTTTATGCAATGTCTAGAGGTCGGTATGGTTCAATTCATTCCTTCCAGATAATTTTCCTACGTAACTTTACAGCCAGCATTGTTTAGGGGGAGCCGATGTACGTCCAGGGGCAGCTTGTACAACGAAAGAAAATTCAGGAAACAAAATTCAGTAAACAAAATTCAGGAAACAAAATTATATGGAGGCTCCCATTTTCTAGAGTTGTACGTTTATGGGGGACAAACTTTTACTGTATTTACAAACCTAATAAATTAAAATCATACATACTTCCTGGCACCATGGTCAAAATTAAACATCTGTGGATCACTGCTGAGCTTCTGTGACGCAATAGCATCCCCATCATGCCTTGCTCGCTTGGACGCGATGTCGTCGCCTATGTCTGATGATTTTCTCTTCAATTTGCTTGCAAGAGAACCATTCCTTATTCGAATAACCTTTTAGAAATAATAATTCTACTGAGAAAAATATGTTATAAGACGTTACCACTATCTGATGGGGTGGGGGCAGTGGCGTCGCTTGATCTTCCAGACTAGGGGGTAGATGGTCATCAATAGAAAAGGAATTTGGGTGCTATTTCATCGACTGATAGACGATTGTACCGACAAACTGAGGGTTTTGTAGACAAACTAAAGATTCACCGACGAATTCGTGAAATATTAGGGTGGTATCACACCCCCTACACCCCCGCTAATTACGCCCCTGGGTAGGGGTGAGGGTGGGAGAGGGTTTGGGAGTCGGGTTTAACAAGATGCGTATTCAAATCCCACAAGCAAACGTTGGGAGGATAAAAGGTTGGAGTGGTCGTCCCATACGGTTAACATTTTATTACATTTATCAAAGATAACTTGATTCCCAAGATCCCATATTAACTGCAACATTCATGATACCTGATAAATATAAGATCATGAAATTCCCTGATAAATAATTCCTCAGATTGTGTAACAGAAAAAAAATTGAATTTCAATCGATATTACAAGATGTTATATGGGTGAGTCAACTAAGTTGGCGAGTTTTCCGACTAAGCACCCCTAAAAAGGAAAAACTCCTCGTTTTTGCAATGGAACTTTTTTTCAAGGGTGTGTCACGCCACAGACGCCCCCCTTTGGCAACGGGCCTGGATGGGGGGCTGCAGCCTTAACCTCTGTCTAAATTGAAACAAGGGGGCAGAGCCACTAAAGCCCCCCAATACATGACCCCCGGTACACGGGCAGTGACTTTATGTTGTGCAAGAATAAAACATTGACAAAATCTGACACTAACCTTTTCAGGGTCCTCAATGCCAAGGCTAATTAATGCCTGTTTTGCTGCTTCTTGCTCAATCTCTTTCCGTTTTTGAATCGATGACTGAAGCTGGGTTTTCCAGCCTTCATAACCACAAGTGACAGTTATTGCCCCTGCAAAGCAAAACAAAACCAAGGTATAAGTAACTCATCACAATAGAAAAGAAAGATTAGAAATACAGTTCTTAAATGATGACATCACAAAAAGCTATTTTAAGAATTTTTGAAATTGTTTCCCATAACCTGAAAGAGCATCATGAAATACCTCTAAATTTGCAAAATCAGTTAAACGTATTACGAATTGGCTGAGATATGTCCAGATGAGCACAAGCTCTGGCCCCATCAAACCTCTGTATTTATTTAGTTCTCAGTAAATTGCTAATGTTCTTCTTTTCCATGGTATTTTGAAACCCTGTTTCATTACCTACTTCCAAAAAATTCTTGAAATTTTGGCTTCTGACAGGATGTCATTTGAATATTTTTTTATGGTTTTCTGCACCATGATACTTCACATCATAGCACCTTTTCTGTACTTTAGATTTTACTTAAATATCCTTTCCATCCAAAAAGATATAATAAGAAGTCAATCTTACCTCCAACAATTTTACGAGTATAAGCTGCCTGTGGTAGTCCTCTTTGCATTAGGTGCTCATCAAGAAGGCCCTTGTAATTTTCCACAACAGGTACACTTTTTGGTGTGTCTCCTCTGACATTTTGAGGTATAACTTTCTCTCTTATTTGACTGCTCCACAAACAAACATGATCACTATGCTCTGCCTGTTTAATTTCCCTTTGAGGCAAGTTGTCCACATGCAAACTATTGTTATTTAGTACAGCACTAGGTAAACTTTCGCCAACTGTTTGACATAACACTTTCTGACTGTCCCTCTCAAACAAGTTTTCATCAATTCCTTTTGGTTTTTTAATGTCAAGTGCTTCCCAACATGCCTTCGCAGCAGAGTGCTCTGCATTTTTCTTATTTTTACATGCAACTGCACCACAGTAAGTCTTGCCACAGAATTCCACTACTCCAAAAAGCTGGAAATTGGGCCCCTCTGTAATTTTTGTTGTATAAATTGGGCGTGGATGGTTATGCTTTTGAGCTAGTTCATTCAGCAAGCTCTTATAAGCTTTTCCAGAGACCTCATCAAATTTATCAGCATTAGATACTTTCCTTGAACCAGGCACTTCAATCTTAGTGTCTTCTATCTCATTATCTTTTGATGTAGATAAACCAGACCTCACAATATCATAGTCTTCGATATTATCTTTCTCAAAATCAAAGTACATTGGCTCAATTTGTTGCTCAACTGCATAAATGTCTGTTTTTGTTTCCTCCATGTTTACATCTCTCTGTTGTGTTTTGTTTGATGAAGTGCTGCCTATTTTATCAGCGGCTGAATGTATCCTTTCAGATTCATTAGCCACGGACTCTTTCTTGGCACATAAACTAAGGTATCTGCATGCAATTTCAGCAACATTCTGTTCTGCTCTCTTCTTACTTGGTTGTGGAGAGCTGGTATGGAATTTCTGTCCCTCAAATAGTAAAATTGCAGAGAACTCTTTCCTTCCATTTGAGCATCCTTCCACAATGGTATAAACTGGTTTTGTCTTTGACAAATTCTGCTGCCATAAATAATGTAAAATTGACTTGTAGCAACTATTCTTTGAATTTGGTCTTAAATCATCTGTTGAAAAAGAAGTTGCGTTGCTTATTGATTGATTCTGTGAATTTTGCAATGTGTAATAACATGAAGGTAATAGTCAGTAAAAAAGCAAAACAAGGACAAGAATCCAATGCTGTGTAATAGAATTTGAAAATAAATTAAATTTAATAAAAAATGATACTTCATCAGGCATACAGGGCTTCATCAGAGTAAATGTAAAGAGAGAGTAGATGAGTTTGAAATGTGAAATTTTTGCTTCAAATATAATTATTTAAGCTGTCACTCAAAGCACGATAAAAAGAAGAAGAAGAAGATGTTAGCAATTTATCTTTTTTATCAAGCACATGACAAAATATCATTTTGCAATTTTGAGGACTTTTGCATGTTGGGAAATGGAATCAAGCTTTTTTTCCATAGGAAAAAGATTTTTAAGACAAACAAACATTGCTATGATACCTTTCTGAGGGGTTTGGAATTTGCAGGGGGGGGGGGGGGGGCTTTGTGAAATAGGTAGGGCTATTGTGGTCAATTCCAAAATCTAATAAACAAAGGGTTTTGATAAATGAGGGGCTCGACCTTTTCTGGAGCAAAAGTATTACTTAAAGTGATAACAAGGACCTTTTGAATTTTGAAATTTAGTCAAATAAAAAAAGGGGTGATAATATCTAAACCCCAAGAATACAAAGTAACTAGTTACGTTTACCCCCCATTTAGCAGCACAGTTGTTGCTAGGAGAAGTCAAACAGGAGGTATATGCAGTTTGATTATTTTGATATTATTCAAGGAACAGACAAACTCCAACCATCAACCTTTACATGACAAAATATGCAATTAAAATATGATCGAAACATTTACAAATAACTCAACAACCAATTTTTGAAAATTTTCAACACTCCAATAATATTAAGGGGGATAGTTTGAAAGCCAACCTCTTGGTTACAGGGTGACCCTTTTGCCCCATGAATATTGAACAAAAAACACAAATGCTAGTCTTGTGCCCCTTTACTCATCATACCCTTTTTATAAGAACAATTTTGTATCTCAAAACTGATCAAAAGTTAAGAACAAGTTAAGAACAAGCTGAGGTTGAGCTCCTGTAAAATGCAATTTTGAACAACATATTATCTCAAAAACAAGGATTTTTAGCCCTGTGTTAGTGCTTTTCGGTGAATATTCAAACTTGTTGGCAAATGAAGGTTTTCACTCACTTTGTTGGCAATTGAGGCCTGAACACCTCCCTTGAGCGAAAAAGCTAGCAATCACACTGCTTACACTCTATAAATCTATAAACAAATTAAGAACAATCCAGCCTCAGATTTTCGAAAAAAATAAGAACAGTCAGCCTGAACATATTTACTGGTTCTTACGAAAAGAACGTGTATTGCCTCTTGTTGCAGGCCTTTGATGACAGAACTTGTTTAGAGAACAAGTTGAGAAGCTTAACTCTTGCATTTAAAGTTCAAGATACAACTTTTTGTTTGGAGGGGGGCAGCCCTGATAAATAAGTGTCAATAACAGCCATATTTTACAAAGGCCCCCGGTATCTCTGCCCTTGCTTGCATTTCAAAAACTTTTTATGTATGAGCAAAATTTTAAAGAAGTAATGTAAAAGTTTGTTTTTTTTTTGACCAGAATCTAGGACGCTTTTCTGGTTCTATTGCTTTTCTCGATCTGTTAAGATAAATTTATCTTGGCTCCAAGCAAATAATTTTTGCTTACTTTGCAATGTTAAGGCTATATGTATTATTTGCGTCATTACTTTTTAACAGGAAAGCTTAGATAAAAAACTCCATTTTAGCTTGTTTTTTAATGAAAGAAGCACCATGGTGCTATCAAAATAAACATTGGCCAGCCATGGGACGGGGGTGCAATTTCAAATTTCGTAAAAGCAGACTCTAAAAAGTAACAGATTTGGGTTTTCAACCTTATTTTTGGCTTAAGAAACTCTGACTGCTAAAGTGTTTATCTGGTTTTGTATAAAAGCCATTGGCCTAGGCATGCAGCGAATAACAAACATAGCAGTAATTGATTGAGGCGTTCACGAACATCGTGAAGGTCTGAAGTTTTGTAATGGGCCTACTTACACAACGAGGCGAAATATGAAGCAAATCAATTTTAAGTAAAACTTTTATGCTCACCTACAGAAAATGAAGGTGAAAAGGAGTTCTCCGTCAGATTCCCCTCCATGTTTTGTGAGATTGTTGAAAATGCAAGGCGCTTGCGCAAAAGGCAAATTTGACAAGAAAGTTAACGATTTCCGAATATATGGCAAATAGGCCAAAATGGGAAGGACATAATTATTTTTGTGCATTGATGTTTGAAAATCGTCTATTGAAATGACTTTATTATCGATTAAGTAGATTATTCAATGAATGCTGCAGATGATATTGACATAACAATTTTACCTTAATGTTCCACCTTTCTTCGTTAGGATTTCCATTGAATTGCCAACATGAATACCCTTCCGGCCAGCCTGTTAGTATGCCAAGAAGAACTTGGAAACATAACAGACAGACCTGGAGGGCAGTCCATGGCAGACACCACCGCATAGCACTATATGTGACGGCGCGGTCGCTTCGGCATTTACCAATTCTTGCCCAGTGTTAGTGTTTCAAAGAAAGGTTGTGAGAATTGAGTCATAAACATGGCAGCAATTCGTCAGATGGAAGTAAGCGTTATTTGTATGGCTCCTTAGTCCACATTGTTCGAAGTAAGCGAGATGAGTGCCCGGCCTAACCTAAAGTGGCTACACCTGAGATGGACACTGTTTCACAATGTTGCTTCGTGCGTATATATAGATGCGTATGACGTAATTTTCTATGAATAAACGCTTCCCCATTGGCCAGATTGTCCCGTGGTAGTCCCGTGGTGATTCTATTTACATCCCGTGATAAACGATGTCATGGTAACGTAGGACCAAGATAAAATAAGGAAGGACTTGCGCTCTGAAAGCGAGGCTATCATATTGCGACCATAATTACGACCAAAGTAAACATTTAAGTTACCGTCACATAAATACTAGGAAAAAAAGCCTAACGCAAAAAAGAAAAAGCTCCAGGTAACACTTACCTTTATGAATCTTTTCAATTAAAATTTTCGCAATAAATCATAAAATTCAATAGTTTTATAGGGATTGGATTTTGTTTATCAAATTTTTACCTAGCCTAAAGTGAAAATGATCCAGATCCAGATTAGCCTGAATGAAATTGTTCCCACCCTGTAGAATAAGTATGAAATGCCCCCTTTGGAAATACTTGCTTAGATTTAATACATTACCTCAAAGGGCATTGTTTGTTACCCAAGTTTTAAATTTTTTCAAAGAAATTGAAGTTTTTTGAAAGGGGAGCATTTTCATTCAGATCCAGATTAGCCTGAATGAAATTGTTCCCACCCTGTAGAATAAGTATGAAATGCCCCCTTTGGAAATACTTGCTTAGATTTAATACATTACCTCAAAGGGCATTGTTTGTTACCCAAGTTTTAAATTTTTTCAAAGAAATTGAAGTTTTTTGAAAGGGGAGCATTTTCATTCAGATCCAGATTAGCCTGAATGAAATTGTTCCCACCCTGTAGAATAGGTATGAAATGCCCCCTTTGGAAATACTTGCTTAGATTTAATACATTACCTCAAAGGGCATTGTTTGTTACCCAAGTTTTATATTTTTTCAAAGAAATTGAAGTTTTTTGAAAGGGGAGCATTTTCATTCAGATCCAGATTAGCCTGAATGAAATTGTTCCCACCCTGTAGAATAAGTATGAAATGCCCCCTTTGGAAATACTTGCTTAGATTTAATACATTACCTCAAAGGGCATTGTTTGTTACCCAAGTTTTAAATTTTTTCAAAGAAATTGAAGTTTTTTGAAAGGGGAGCATTTTCATTCAGATCCAGATTAGCCTGAATGAAATTGTTCCCACCCTGTAGAATAGGTATGAAATGCCCCCTTTGGAAATACTTGCTTAGATTTAATACATTACCTCAAAGGGCATTGTTTGTTACCCAAGTTTTAAATTTTTTCAAAGAAATTGAAGTTTTTTGAAAGGGGAGCATTTTCATTCAGATCCAGATTAGCCTGAATGAAATTGTTCCCACCCTGTAGAATAAGTATGAAATGCCCCCTTTGGAAATACTTGCTTAGATTTAATACATTACCTCAAAGGGCATTGTTTGTTACCCAAGTTTTATATTTTTTCAAAGAAATTGAAGTTTTTTGAAAGGGGAGCATTTTCATTCAGATCCAGATTAGCCTGAATGAAATTGTTCCCACCCTGTAGAATAAGTATGAAATGCCCCCTTTGGAAATACTTGCTTAGATTTAATACATTACCTCAAAGGGCATTGTTTGTTACCCAAGTTTTAAATTTTTTCAAAGAAATTGAAGTTTTTTGAAAGGGGAGCATTTTCATTCAGATCCAGATTAGCCTGAATGAAATTGTTCCCACCCTGTAGAATAAGTATGAAATGCCCCCTTTGAAATACATTCTGCAAAGGAAGGAAGCAGGAACAATGAAGGTGTCTGTTGAATGCTGAATTGCTGAATTGTTATTTTGTTATAGAGTTGAATGTTATAGATCTGATTTGTTGTTTATGTTGATGTTTCATTGCTTGTGTTTTTAATTTTATTTTAAAATAGGCAATCCTCTTTTTTCTTTCAAAAACCTGATTTTCTCAATGTCCAACTGGAGATTAGGCGAGACAACAACGTTTTTGAAATAGTCGTGTCGTCCAAAAATGCAGCTGTAGTTTGCATGGTGATAGCCGTTACCATAAACAAGCATCTCCTTCTTTGTTGTTTTGTTAAAAATAGATCTTCCTTCTACATGGCAAACCACAAATTCTTCATTTTCGTATCCATTTCGACAGCCCTGGCACCTTTTGATTCGCTTTGTCCATTTTTTCAGGACGAATGGAGCGTTTTCTTGTTATTGTTATTTTGGTCAGTATTTACATCGTTTATTGTGGCTGGTTCGTTTGTTTCTTGGAGAAGGTCGCAAGAAAATAAGTTTCCAATTCGATCTGGAAGGCATCTGCTATGAAATATTTTGTCATCAGTACATTTCTGACATTCGACCTTGGAAGGAAGTAGAAAATTGTATAAAAGATATTGTAGCTTTAGGGTCCGATATGTAGCTAAGTGAGAAGATAGCGCATCACCTTTGGGAGACAATTTGTCCATGGATCCTTTGTCAATAAAATGTTTATTTTTCTTATCGACTTCAATTGCTTCTCGCAGTAGGAGTAGCAATTTAGAACCTTCCTCTTCTATACACCAAAAGCCGGTAAAGCTCTGCCAATGGGGCAATTTATAGACAGGTGAACAATAATCATCATGACATGTACAAATGTATACAAAAATTAGGGAAAAGGTTCATACTTCTAACTTGTTCCTCGATTTTTGCTATTATTCTGTCAGCACGAAGTTCACTATCTAGAAAAATGATAGATCATAAAATCTTTACAAGTCCTTTGCCATTTGAATCTTTCTTCCTCATATAAATAGGTCAAGTTGGTATAGAATACATTTATCGACCTTGTCGGATTTCGGAATTTCTACATTGCCTGTCAAATATGAAACGATAGGTCGGTATCAAGAATATTTCAGATTTTTAACGTACTAAATAGAAAAAGCAGACAAGGACGTCAGCCAGTCTTATATGATTAAATAGATGCCAGAGTTAGGCGCTTACCATCTATCTCTGGTCTTGTGACAGTAGCTGTAGACATGCTTCGTGCCTGCGACGGTGCTTTGGACAAAACAGACGGAAGGAATATTTTTAATTCAAACATATAAAACATATATAAAAGAAAGGCATATTTTTAATTCGTTAGATTATTGGTACTTTGTACGTAAACCAAAATAATTTTCAAATAGAAAATAAAAACAAATTATTTGAAAAGCATAGCTTAAAATCAAAAAGCAAAAAGGTACTCAGAGTTGTACCTGGCATTTTTCTCCATGTAAATGTGAATTTGTCTTCTCCGTGTAGTTTTTCTCTTTTAATAAAAACTGATGCGTTACCTAAAACAAGTGATAATGTACATCGGAATACACCTGCCTAAAACAAAAAACTTTAAAAAAACATAAATAAAATTAGATCCGCAGAACCTGCTGAAGTGTTGCCGTTGCTTTCATTGGCAGCAACATCTCCAAGCGTGTGTACTTCTGGAGAAACAAATATGAAAAAGGGTTATAAGAACAAAATTTTATTTTGTTTCATTTTAGACTTTCAGTTTAAGGCAGCTATATTGCACTGTAAAGACCGCCAGCACTAAAGCAACTACAGTTTCAATAAAGATTTCAATTATCTGCTTCTTACCAATGATTGAAACCGCAACATTTTATAAGTCAAATAAAGTGTAGCGGAGCTGGGGATACGGCTGCTTAAAACAAAAATCGGTAAAACTTAGATCCACAAAAATGCAGAGAAAACTTTTTACTTTTGCCTTTCAAATCAGGTTCATCAACCAACGACTGCCTTTCTTTGTTGATCACAGCGTGCATTTTTGTTTCAAGTAACTCTGAAAAAAAGCAAAGTCAAAAGGGAATTAGAGAGGTACCTTGTCCATCAACAACACCAGGAGACAAATTAAAAAAAATGACAAACACAAAAATGACGGCATTTTGTAAAAAAATATTGTATTACCTGCTGAAGTGTTGTCGTTGCTTTCATTAGCAGCAACATCGCCAAGCGTGTGTACTTCTGGAGAAACAAATATGAAATCTCCCAATGCAACAAGATATATAATTGAAAACATAATATTTTAACCGTTAGAAGAAATTGGTACGCGAAAGCTTCAATAGTCTTCAACAAAAGAAAGCTCCTTGGTTTACCTAGGTGTATTCGGTGAAACTTAATGCTTTTCGTGACTTATGTATCAAAATTCAAAGTGAACTTTTAATTTGGCTGTTTGGTAACAACCTTCTTACCCTTCGCCTCTTTGTAAAGTTTTAAATGACTTTTGTGAACGGGGTTCTTCAACCTCCGTCCTTCCAAGTCCTCCAAAATCATCTTGTTCTTTACAGCATCCACCACTATCATAGGGCCCTTATAGCGTTGTTCCAACTTACGCCCCTTTTGATTTTTAAGGGAAATATTTGCCACCAGCACCTTTGCGCCAGGCTTTATAACACCTCCTTTCCCGCGAATTCTGCTCCTGTGCGTAGCAATTTGTTTTTCTTGTCCTACCTCAACATTTTGGAGTAACCTTGAATAAAGACTTATGTTGGCTTCTTGGAACTTTTCTAAGTGTTCCTCGATCATTTCGTCAGAAGGCAACAATTCTTTTGTCTACAAAATAAAGGTTTTCCAAGTTCCAGAGAGAAATACGCACGCGCGTATATCTTCAGCTTGATGAAGAAAGAACATTTGAAGTAAGATA